GCAACCCTGCTTGTTTTGATCACATCCATTTGCTAGAAACAGTTCATTACTCAAGAGAAATAGCATTTGACAACTTTTATGGACAATCTACCATTACCAAATTAAAACCAAATTCGTCTTTTTTTAATGGCAAACAGTCATTTCAGAAACTAAACTAGCCTAAAACGCTGAGATAGTGTTTTTAGTTATTTAGATATTAATGAAAATATGGTTTGCAACTAAAGTTTTTGGATTAAGTTAGACATGCATAGGAATTTGGAGTGATAAAATAAATAATAACATTGACACCTGACTAGAAGTTACACATATCTTGTCTTATGGTGTGATCACAGATAACTTAAGTTTTAACTATTTTTCACAATGTGTACATGGTTTCTGGTAGTTTCTTTAATAAAAAAAACAAATGCATGATTTTAAAAAATACATGTAAATTTACACAGAATTTCCTGGAGTCAGGAAACATGAGGAAATAATTCAAAGATGGCTATAGTATTTCCTGCAGGAAAAGGAAAACAAGTCAATTGTGTTTTTTGTAAACTGTGTGCAAATGAAGTCACACAGAGAGATTATGCGACTTTGAATAAAAAACCCATTGTGCTCTCTAGTACAAGATGTGAACAGTCACAACTGATATCTAGTCCATGTCAAGATGTAACAGCCCAGTTTACAAACAACAGGTAAAAGACTAAAGTAACCAGCTTGACTTGAAGGCCGGGGTTCAGACCTACACACAGATGGGGTGTGGCCTCCTTGCCTTGTTAAGCTGTCTTTCAATGCAAAGCAATGCAGTATTCATTTGTGAAGTACAACAGATTTCACTGGATTGAACTTTCAGTTTTATATTAAATTACCTGTACTTACAGTTTTACACAGTTGTTGCCTTTGCAACCATTCCTAAAAAAGCCTGAACTTTTTGTCCTGATCGATGGTGAGAAATAAGGTGGTCAAGTTCTGCACTAGGGTTCTGGAAAAGATTAATTTTGTTTTTAAATGGAAGGTTCAAATCCAGCCTAGATGATAAAATAGGTACACATGTCAGTCTAGATTCAAGGAAATATTATGTGCAGTAAAATGTGTTGAAGGCTAAATGTTACTCTTGAGATGGTCAGTAGATATAAAGGGAGATAATTCGAGAAAGTATGAGTATCAGATAAAATCTTTCAACTACTGTTTTGTTTTGAAGTGAAGAGGGATAGATTGGTTGGTAGTGGTGTAACGATTCATCGATAGTATCGATGTTTGCATCGTCAACTACGCGATACGAGTGCATTGATACAAAACACATTTAGGCAATATATCAGGATATTTATATCGCAAGGGTCCACGATACATCGATGTATCGCCACAAGAGACGATATATCCCGATACAACTTCAATACTAGTTAAAGTTGTAAGGAGTATTGCATTAGGAATAGGAAGGGAGTCTCTTTGAAATTCTTCTGAATTTTAAAAACAAATTGAACCTTTTAGGAATTTGTTTGTGTCTGTTATCTTTGTTACATGGACAAAGGAGTTGGTGTATAAGTGAAAGAGTGTGAACATGTTTCAAACTCTGTGAACTGTAGAATACTTGTCTTTAGTAATTGAAATATGTTTTAGTTGTTTGACAAATAACACCATTTATTAACATACAGCTAACGACGTCTTAGCTTTGTTAAGAAAGAGAACAAAGAGAAGATAAAATTTAGAAAGCATACTTAAGAGTTTTTTTCAGTGATTCTGAATTCTGATATAAATTACATTCAATTGTTTGTGAAAGCATCGGTGCAGAAACACACTTTCCCAAAGGAAACTTGGGTTTCAAACTTATATATGTTAGATCAAAGTATACTGAATATGTTTGACTGTACTTTAAAAGCATTAAATGCTGAAACTTTATTAAATGAACAGCTTTATAAGTGTGTGTGAATGTAACACAAGATCTGCTGTATAAGAAATAAAGATTTTAAAGATAAAGTCATTTTATCTATCATATATGTTCTGCTATTAGAAATTGTAAAGTATCGGGATACGTATCGTATCGCCACCATTGTATCGTGATGATAATCGTCTCGCAGGTTCCTTGCCAATACTTTCATGATATATCGGCTCGCCTAAGTAAACTGGTATCGGGATATATCGTCTCGCCACTTAGACCACGATACACAGCTCTATTGGTTGGTGCAATGTATTTGATGCATTAGTTGAGATATGGAGCTGCAACAAGTGCTTCTGATAGAGTAACTAACTTGACATGCAAGATTTTGGTATTCTGTTTTTGCTGAGTCCGCACTGTCTGGTTCTCTGTTTGTTTTGGAGATGTGTTTGGTGGAAAATGTCAAGATTAGTTATCTTCAACATGCCATGTGGTTGTTACTGTTTTCCCTCCTGAATATTTTATAGGATTGGAAGATAGATATCAGAATAGAGAAATATTTTTAGCCAGTAGATATCTGTAATTTGCGCTGTTTCAAGAGGTATTAAGATATAAATTATGGGAAATTATTCAGTTTGCATGACCGTTTTTATTGATAAAACATTGCATCTCAGTGTTGTGAAAGGTTTCTTCTCAATAATTGTATCAGTTAGTTTAAAAAATATTCAGTGTATCACTAATCCTCCCACTCAAAAATTATCATAACTATCAACCTGATCAATGAAGCACAATTCTTGTCAAAGTTATGTTTTTGTGTTCTGATGAATAAAAATATATGGTGGGGTATTTACATTTTCTTTTTATCATTAACGTTAAAATATTGTAGACAGAATGGTGACACTTTCACTGCTGTATGTTTCTAATGTATATGTATTCAGTTTTATCCATGCCACTTTCTGTTGATTTAATTCTGGTGCACATAGTTTTGTAAACATGGTGACAGCAGGCATTTTTCTCTAGGGTTCCAAACAATGTGCCCTTGGCAGGCAAATTGTATCAAAAATATTTTCCTATTTCCTAAGGGGCTGAGGTATACCCTAGTGGTTATGGCGTTCGCTCGTCACGCTGAAGACCCGGGTTCGATTCCCCACATGGGCACTATCAGGGGTGGAAATAACTTCTAAGTTGCTAGTGTACTCCGGTACAGTGGCACATGTAAAATTACTTGCCCTGATCATTTTTCCACTATACCAGACGATTTTCTTGTTGATTTTTTTAAATAAACAATGTAATTAACATTGGAAAGTCAGCTGGACACTGGTACAGCATGATATACAAATCTGCTTGCCAGACAGAAAAAAGCACTGGACTCGGACGTCGGACAATGGGTTATTTGCACACCTGACTATGTTTGAAGCCCATTTCTGGTGTTCCCCTCCGTGATATTGCTGGAATATTGCCAAAAGCGGCATAAAACTGAATCTCACTCACTCCTATTTCCTAAATTCAGAGATATTTCAGCATGTTAAGATTGTATTCAGTGTAATGTCAAAGTATTCAGTGTCCCTTCAACTTCATTAGACCTGAAGTTGATGTAAAAAAACAAGTCAATCTCTGTACAGTTAATGACATGATAGTATGAGTTTTCAATTCCATTTGCAAATGGTTTTGAGCTGGAAACTAGGGGCTCTGAGTGGGTCTATGTAAATCTATGAACAGTCTGCCAAACACTGTTAGTCTCAATGTCTCTTCTTGTATCATTTTTAGTAGATCTACTTTGATGTTAATGCCTGGAGTATTATTTTCTGAGCTTACTAGACCTCATGAAAATGTTATGCATCTCTGTGACTTCTGCCACTAGATCAAAGCTGGACAATTGTAATGAACAAACAGATTGACTGTCTGATCACCTTCATCCTCATCCACAATATGCTGGCATTGTTTCCCCAGCAAATTGTCCCACACTATCATCTCTCTGATATTTCGTTTCCATGGATCCTGCCATTGACACATCATGAGCTTTGTGAGATTCTCGAACCATTTTCGATGTACTGGTGTGCCCCACTGCTCAACAAACTTAGCTTCTGCCTGTTTTCAAGTGCACAATCCTGTCTCGTTTAACATGTCTTGTACACAGGTATGGTACAGCTGTTGGTCTTGTATTTTTAGACAAGCGTATGTTTTTGTGCGTTGGAATTGGGGAATTCACTGTGTTTGTTTTTGTGTGAGCCTGATGAAAGTTGCCAGTATTGTTGGAAGTTGGGGTGTGATGTAACAGATAGGTCGACTGATAATGCTGTTCTGCGAATCCTATTACAATCCTATTATGAAGAGAATTGCTAAAAAGCTGAAACAATTCAAACGTCCTATGTTCAACTGATTTTTTAAGAGAGAAAAATAAGTTATTTTGAACAATGTCGCACTCCAACATGTCAAAACATTGAAATATTGTTTCAGGATCAAGGGAGATAATTTGCCCTAAAACCTTATCAGATCAAAATTTTATCAGTCTGTTGTCAGTTGTAAGAATGTTAGCAATTATAAATATGTATCTGCCCAGGGTACCACTTTCTGGTTGGTAAAACCTTTGGCCAACTGTTTGCCTGATTTGAACATTGTTACCTAAACTTAGATGGTACACCATTTTTTGTTCACTCGTGCAAAGAAATCACAAGCCACTATGCTGTTTATATGACCAAGATGATGACCTGACATACCAGGGGTATTGAATCAACATAAAAGAACTAACTGGACAGTTGTGCTCCAATGATTCAACACCACCCATGTTTCAGTATGCATTCATAAGGTCTTATTTTCATGGAAAACTTCGTCAGTCATACCACAAGCAAATCACGTCAAGAAAATGTTTCCATCACCATTAACTCAACATCACAAACCTTCCTATTTATCTGTGTTGCAAGTGTGATTTGTTCAATTTGCAGTTTGCAGTGGGTGTTTTTTCTTTTCTTTTTATTTGTGAAGCAATAATATTTTAAGCTGTGATGAGTGTAGTGGTTTGTTCACATGTGCTAGACCGGGTGTCGGTGCCGTCCTTTTTTTTGCGTAGAGTGGCTTTGATTGATTTTGATATCCTTCTGTTTGGGGTGACTTTTGGGCAATGTTGTGTATGTGCTTTCCGTTTCAGAGGGGCACTGAGAAATATCATGATGGCGAGCAACCAAGCGAGCAGCCTGCGAAGTGGGGGCGTGGCATGGTACAAGCAAGACTACCCTGAAAACACTCTCGAACCTGATGTAATTATTTGCGATATTTACACGCCACATGCATTGCGTCACTGTCAGAATATGTTTTACTTGAACATATGAATAACATGTCTTTCAATTCTTCAGAATTGTTTGGAATATACTTTTGGCATACAAATGTTCGATGCAAATATTGGGGTGTTTTCAACGATGGGTTGGGCTGTTTGTAGATGAATATTTTCCTCTCTGTTGTGTTTCTGCCTGATTTCTCTCTACTAGTTGCCTCTTATGCATGGCTTGTCCTCAACCTACCTGAAGTATTCACACACATCTTGTCTTTGAACCCATTTCTTCATCCTCATTCATTTCATCACCTGTCACTCATCAATTCATCTCACCTATTGGTCAGATTCATCAATATGATATGTAATAATAAGGGTGCAGCAGGGTTATCAGCATATTATGTCACTAGTCCACGAAATTGCTCAGCTACAGAGGTTCTATCTACAAATTATAGCTAAAACACATGGAATTATCATGAAAGGGCCCTCCTATTATCAGAAAATGATATTGGACCGCTCAACATTAACGACGGGCCACTATCAGTTCTGTTGTCAAGTTACGTCATAGTGGGTGCGTCGGTTCATTCGACTTTGGCTTTGGGCTGGCAAATATTCTGGGGCAAACAAGTCAGAGCAACCCGAATTCCCGCTTTAAATAGCGGTAATATTGGCTTTCTAGCTGGTGCTAACCTTAACAATTGCACTATTAACATTGTTGTTGGACCAAAACCGAACACTGACAACTGACGTTGTGTCTGACTTAGTTGGACATGTTGCAGGCCATGGTCTTGCCAAAGGCCAAGGTCGAATATCGTCACGTTCTGTTGTTTGATGACGTAATTGCATTCAGTCAGTCAACCCCGTCAGAAGATGGTTTTGAGTAAACTTACAGTCAAATTCCTTCATTGTTTCCTTTTTCTTTTCAACACAAATTCCATGTATTTTAGTAATAATAACGGTAATGCTATTTTTGAGGGCATTATCATTTGCAGAAGCCCTCGGTCTTATTCAACTGCCCTCCTTCGTCGGGCAGTTAATGGAAGACCTCGGGGCTTCTGCAAGTGATAATGCCCTCAAAAGAAGCATTACCCTTATTTTAGTTCTTTCCAAGGAAATTTCACTAGTCCTTTCTGGGCCTCAATCTGAAAAGTGATCAAAGCTACGTTTAAGTCTATGTTTAAGTATGGGAGTTAAAATCACCACAGCATTAAAGTCGCTTTGGGATTGGGCCATCGAATGGTGATATCCTATGCACTTTAGACAGGGATATTTCTGCTATTGGCAAACAGGAATAACCATATCAAAATTTGAGTAGTATAGAAGTAATAAGCCTGTTAAAAAGAAGAAATGGAATCATTCCTATTTGAATCTATGAGTCAGGATAAGTATAAAATATCAATTTTACTCTAAAAATTACATTTTTATGATTAGTTGTTCAGTCATAGCAGTTTCTGCTGTTGGTTTAACTGACTGATGTCCTTATGACAGAGACAACTGCAAAAGAAAATATTCACACAGCTTATGAGACTTGTTAATGCATCTTTATCTGAGCACACTTACCGTACCTAAATTATAGTTATGGTATGTTTTACTCGTTTTGAAGCAAGTCAGATCCTTGTGTTCATAAGAATGTCTCCACAAACTGATGGCCATTCACACATTTTGGTAATGATTATTTCAGAACCCCAATGAGCAGCTTGCCCAGGATGTGTCCAGTACAGCAGTTCTCACCCCCCTCGATGATGACTTGGTGGGAAATGTCCAAGATCCATCTGATCGAGGAAACTGGACGGGTCGCTTTGACTTCCTCATGTCTCTGTTGGGATATTCAGTCGGTCTCGGAAATGTCTGGAGGTTTCCGTACCTAGCATATACAAATGGTGGAGGTGGGTCATCCTTTGACTTTGTTACTTAACAGTACCCTCAGTAATATTCAACCTCTGTATGACTGTCTATGAATGATTATGCCTGGACGAGACAATCTAGGGATTGACACCATGAGATCAACCTAAGCAAGTTGGATACGATAGGCATCCATCAAACATGGTTCAGAGAAATATAGAAATATGGGAATATCAGTTGTTATTTCATGTGTATGTTCATGCATATTAACACAAACGAAGTCCCAAGAGTTTATGATGTTACTTCAACATGTTTATATACAGGTTGTGTATCCTGATTGCATGGAAGGTGTATTGCTCACTATATCTGGTCTAGACATTTATTCATGTCCACCTGTATTCAGCGAAGTGATGAACACATTACAGCTGCAGACCCGTTAAGATCCGGGTTTGAATATTGATCTTCAGTAACCCATGCTTGTCGTAAAAGGCGACTAATGGGATCGGGTGGTCAGGCTCGCTGACTTGGTTGACACATGTCATCGGTTCCGAATTGCGTAGATCGATGCTCATGCTGTTGATCACTGGATTTTCTGGTTCAGATTTGATTATTTACAGACCGCCGCCATATAGCTGGAATATTGCTGAGTGCTGCATAAAACTCAACTCAGGCACTCACTCACTCACTATATCTGGTCACTGGTTTGTTTGGTGCAGACTATCATGTTCAGGCTAGGGTCATGTCACTGGAATGTTGCTGAGTGTAGTGTTTAACCCATCTCCTTGTTGGCGGAGTTCTCACACAAAATAGATTTGTGATTTGTAATTGTCTTCACCTGATGAATGAGTAAGAGTATACTTTGAAACATCATATCCCTCATAAAACAGAACCGACATCATAACTTCTCACCCTTTATGTGTATCACTTCTAAGTGCCATTCAAGCACTCTATAATTGTTGCTTGAACTCACACACTTATGTATTTACGTTTCATAATATCAGTTTGTCTCGCACCAAATGTATTTGTGATTTAGAAGTGTGTTTATCTCCTGAATTCTTGCACTGAATACATTTATGTTTAGAAGTGAGTTTAATTGTCTCCCTGCTTGTCACACTGAATGCCTCGTGGTTCCCAGGGGCCTTCCTGTTCCCCTTCATCATCATGTTGCTGCTTGTCGGACTGCCCATGATGTTCCTGGAACTCTCCTTTGGTCAGTTTGCTGCTCTCGGTCCAGCTGGCATCTTTGACCGCATCTGTCCTCTTTTCTATGGTAAGTTGGCTGTGTTATCACAGTGTTCAAACTTAAGCATCAATGTCAGTGGGTCCTTTAGAGATGGAAATTAACTAGAACATCTGCTTGCCTTGAAACATTTAGCAATAACCCGAAAATGTTTGAAATTCTACAAGACCATTATAAAACCAATATGGGTTGCTCTTTAGACACAGCATGTCGAAAAGTGCATGTAAAATCTCCAAATCATCATCCTTATTTCGGTCACAGTTTTGGTGATACGCCTCAGCACTTATTTTAAGAGTTAATATATAAGGGTATATTCAAATACTGGCTCTGTGAGAGTAATTCTTTTTCAGAAGAAGTCCTTGGGGTACATATAAGCATTAATATGTCCATTTTGTTTCTGATTTGTTGAAAAAAGTGTTTCACCAAAAGAAAGGGTTACAATGCTGCAGAGATGCCAACCCTTACGCTTTGGGCGTAGTTATTATGATTTTGATCATTAAATTACGCCATTACACTTAATCTGTGAAAATTACGCTTTTCTACCCGTTTTGCGAAAATCAATAAAGTGGATAAAATTTCACAGGGAATATTTTTCGTAACGCACTAGTGCAGGGGTTCAGAAATTGCCTTACACCGACAGGAATCGCTTACTCTTAGCATTGCCCTCATTCAAATTAACTTGTAAGGAATTAAAGTATTTTGTGTCACCTGACCAACAATTTTTGATGTATGGAACTGCATAATGATTGGTCACGTGTATTTCTGTCTAGAATCTTTCCTATTCATGTGAATAAACCTTTTTAACAGTTATTTTTATAAAGTTATCACCTTTCACTATGTAAGTGTTTTAAGTATTACACTTTTTAGGTCCAAGTTACACTTTTTGACCTCCAGTATTACACTTAGGCCCAAAAGGGGGTTGGCATCTCTGAATGCTGTTACGTGCTAAAGTATCTAATAAGAGGGTCTTCTGTAAGGTTTGGTTGCATCAAGTGTGGTATGTTTGCAGGTGTGGGCTACGGCATGGTGGCTGTATCTGCCCTGGTCTCCCTCTACTACACGGTCATCATTGCCTGGGCAGTACTCTACATGTTCACATCCTTCACCTCGGAGCTGCCGTGGCAGAGATGTCACTCACCCTGGAAGACAAAGGGTAAATATGGGCAGGTGGCACTGTGTGTTTATCTTGGGAATACTCTGTTTTAATCCAGTGGAAATTGCGTAGATCGATGCTCATGCAGTTGATCACTGGATTGTCTGGTCCAGACTCGATTATTTACAGATCAGTGCCATATAGCTGGAATATTGCTGAGTGTAATTTTTGAAGTTTTCATAATATCTTGGGATTAGTGTCAGGGTGCACTTATATCAATTCTGTTTATCATGTGATTATTTTTTAAATAAAACCACGCATATTTGCTGATTGTGTTTGTAATTGTGTGTATTTAACTTGTTGGCATTCAGTACGAGACCAGTGTGTATAATGTTCCAGATTGCTATTCCTACACGGATGCTGATGACTGTATGAGTAACAACGGCTCTGTATACTTTGAGAGTCACTGCTACAATTCTACATATGCTGCTGAAAATAATGTAACTGCAGAAGTCAATGTTACATCACGGCACGCACCAGCCCAGGACTTCTTTGAGTGAGTTCATTAGTGTTTTTAACTGTAAATACAATTTGGCTTTCATGGTATTTTCATGACTGCTTTCAAATAGTATTGTCGATGCCTATGATATTGTGACCTCTGTCATTAAAGTGTTCATTATATATTGGTATTGATTGCTCTTTTACAGAAATAACATCCTCTCAATGACAGACAGCATAGCCGATTTAGGAACAGTGAAATGGCAAATAGCCTTGTGTCTGCTGTTTGCGTGGGCACTTACCTTCCTTGCTTTAAGTCGAGGTGTCAAGTCTGTAGGAAAGGTTGGTATTATGTTTGTTATTATTTTCATGTGTGAGGGACCAAGTGTTTATCTTTGCTTGTAAATTATTGGTTCTAGACCAGACAATCTGGTGACTAATATTATGAGCAGCAATTCAATCTGCTAGGCAACGATGACATGCTAACACGTCACAGAGCCAGAACAGCAGATCTCCTACATTGCTGTGTACAAGAATTGGTTGCTGGGAACCAGTAACCTGGAATCACCACTGAGTTAAACCAACGTCAGATAACTGTCAGACAACATAACATGAATATTATCCTTGTAAAAGATTACCGTCTGCGGACATTTATGATAATTGCCTACATGTATTTTTTATGAATTAAGAAGCATTATTTAGTTTTATTCCACCAACTTCATTTATTCATGTCCACCTGTATTCAGCAAAGTGATAAACACATTACAGCTGCAGACCCGTGAAGATCCAGGTTAGAATATTGATCTTCAGTAACCCATGCTTGTCGTAAAAGGTGACTAACGGGATCGGGTGGTCAGGCTCGCTGACTTGGTTGACACATGTCATCAGTTCTCAATTGCGTAGATCGATGCTCATGCTGTTGATCACTGGATTGTGTGGTCCAGACTCGATTATTTACAGACCGCCGCCATATAGCTGGAATATTGCTGAGTGAGGCGTAAAACTAAACTCACTCACTCACTCATTACAGCTGCATGAGATCAGGTTTTCCCACAACACCAAGCAGGTATGCTGCGAAGTATAGCACTGTACTATTCATAGTGTCATTATCTCATCTCACTCACACTGATCCATTGTCTATTTCACAGGTGGTATATTTCACAGCCCTTTTTCCATATGTGGTTCTGACAATCCTTTTCTTCCGCGGAGTGACCCTAGAGGGAGCACAAGACGGCATTATATATTACCTCACACCAGACTTTGAAAAACTCAAGTTAGCTAAGGTAATTAATCCTAATCAGATGGAGCACACAAGGTGTCTTCATTTCTGTTCCCAGTAATCACTCCCCATTTCCATTTTGATCATACGATGACATTACACGTTGAAGTCCAACATGAGATTATTTCCCTGTATTCATGTACTGAAACATTTTCTTCAAAATATATGTTGTGTTATTTTAATCATTCATTGTCATTAAAACACATTTGGATAAGAAATCGAAACATTTCCTTACAGGATATTCTTAGTTCATCTTTTCTGTTTGTATTTCCAGACATGGGTGGATGCTGCCGTGCAGATATTTTTTGCTTTAAGTCCTGCCTGGGGTGGTCTTATTACTCTGTCCAGCTACAATAAGTTCCACAACGACTGCTTTAAGTAAGCATCTCCTATTTGTGTGAAGGGTGTCAAAGGAAATATTGGGGTTTGATAATGACAGCTGAGTGCCAGTAACTGATGAAATGTTGATTAATTAAATGTATTTCTATGAAATGCAAAGTCTGTTAACAGGGTATGATGCCACAAGTGTGTTAAATGATATGTAGACCAGTGTTGTACACCATTACATGTAACTGTTCCATTTTATCTTTGTCTTTTGTTGTGATTGTTCTATGATACGAATGAATTTAAGTTAACCCTTTTTTCGCTTATTTTTACAGGGATACTCTGATTGTATCTATAGGAAACATCTGCACGAGTATATTTGCTGGCTTCGTTATTTTTGCCATAGTGGGCTATCTGGCAAATGAGCTGAAAATGCCAGTAGATAAGGTGGTTGAGCAAGGTATGTACCCTTTTAGCAGTTCTTAGCATTATTATTGTATGATACTTCTTTTGACCTCATATAAGTGTGTGTGCATGCGTGCGTGAGTTGTGTTATTGGATACACATTTTTGGCCAGCTTCTATATTTTTTGAGCAGTATGATGCACCTGCAGTCTGATAAGTAGTCGGTGAAGAATAATATTTTTAAACTTATCCTATCTCACGACTTGCACCTCTCTCTCTTGCTTCGACTTTTAGTGGAACAACTGTAAACTTTTTCCATAGGCTTCCTTGTCCATTCGCCCGTGCACTCCATGCTGCTCTCCTTAATGAGGTTCCTTGTTCCTAATAAAATAAAAGTTTACAGTCATTCCACTAAAAGTCGAAGCAAGAGAGAGAGGTGCAAGTCGTGAGATAGGATAAGTATATAGATATACAATTTATATTAAAATTTCCAATTTTATAATCTCTTGTACTTCTACTAAAAGCAAGCTCTTCATTCTTAACCAGCATGGAATGAAATCTCTACAATTGTGAATAGTATTGCTGTCTTGTTTCAGGTCCAGGTTTGGCATTCATCGTGTTCCCAGATGTGGTGACGCGTCTCCCAATTTCCCCGCTTTGGTCGTTCCTTTTCTTTTTCATGTTGATCACACTGGGTATGGGAAGTGAGGTAAGGAACATATCAGCTCTCTACCGCAGGTCTCTATGTAGGGCACTATATACAGAAATACTGCTGATGTAACTTGAAATCTTAACTCACTTAATCTTGTCACGCAGGTGTCTATGTAATGTGGGGCAGTGGGGTAGCCTAGTGGTTAAGACATCCGCTCATCACGTCAAAGACCCAGTTCGATTCCCCACAAGGGTACAATGTGTGAAGACCTTTTCTAGTTTCCCCTGCCGTGATATTGCTGGAATGTTGCTTAATGGGCTTAAAACTAAACTCACTCAATGTAATGTAAAGTAATGAATGTCACAATTCCTTTGCACACCACACAGGTCCCTTTTCAGTCTGTCTATGTGGTAAAAGTTTATAATAGATTTTGAAATTGTAGACAGAATTTTTATGTGTATAATATAATCAGTGCGTATTTGGAATCCATAGTGGATGCACATGTCAGCAATGGTATATGCGTGTTTCAGTTTGCTTTGTTGGAGACAATAATGACGGCTGTCCAGGATACATATCCCCCTCTGCGTCAGAAGAAAACCTGGGTTGTACTCGCTGTCAGTGTCTTAGGCTTCCTCGGGGGCCTTATTATATGCACAGAGGTAAGACATAGCTTCAGTAATCCCTGCAGGGATAAGGGTTCCAAACACCCAATACTGGTTGTAACAAGTGACTTAATTGATTGGGATGCCATTGTACAAAGCAATCTTAGCGCTAAGTTTTATGAAACTCCCCTACCTTAACATATACTTACTGTAGTCCTATCACCAAGGTTGCATCATACAATGGCATGCAGGACATCATGCTCAGTGGTTCGATTGATAGTGTTGTCCTACTTTACCAGCTTGAATCATTGCTCTAGATATCAATCATTGGAATGTCCTGTTTAGACATGGTCATTTGAAGGCTGTGAGGTGCGCTTCTCAGAAGAAACGCAAAGCTTGACCCATGAAAATTATCATTTTTCCTTATCCTGACTCATGCTAATTATGCTTGTCTCCTTTCTCTTGCGAATGATAGTGGAACACTTGAAAGCCCTTGAAGTTCCCTTTTAAAAAGCGGACGTAAAATCACTCACCCAGAGTAGCGTCCCTTCCTCCCTTTGGCGCCCTTTTGGTCACCTGACCGACCATGCCTTGTCACTCTCTCCTTCTTCGCCCTTGCGGACGGTTGTGAGAGCACCTGGGTCCCTATACGGCACATATTCTTTAATATTTTCGGACCTTACATCAAAATTATTGCTGTATACGGTTTTTAGGATTATATTCTACATTACGGTTACTGCCCCCTTCGAACATGTTCCTCCTCTATCCTTACTGGACCAGTGAAGATCTGGGGTAGAATAGGTCTTCAGCAACCCATGCTTGCCACAAAAGGCGACTATGCTTGTCGTAAGAGGCGACTGCCGGGATCGGGTGGTCAGGCTCGCTGACTTGGTTGACACATGTCATCGGTTCCCAGTTGCGCAGATCGATGCTCATGCTGTTGATCTCTGGATTGTCACTCACTCTATCCATACTGTTTTCATGTGTCCTTTTTAACGTGCAGAGTGACATAGGGTGTTCAACCAAATTTCAGACATGAACTCATATCGGTTCAACCATATACAGATTTCAGGATAAAATACCCATTCTTTTTGTAATGTCCTATTAATCTGATCAGGATCTCTTTCCCCAAATTTATCAAATGGATATATCGTAAGCAAGTGTTAAAGTATGGAAGTCGAGATCACTTTAGCAGTAAGGTCATTTTGTGGATCAGAACCAGTTGTTATATGTTGGCCCCAATAGTGTGTGTGTCAGTGTTAATATGAAACATGGTTCATACTGTCAACCACTAGTTAGCTTGACCCAAACTTGAACATTTACAAATATTTGTGATTTCTAACTTTACCCTAATGTTGTGATGATAAGGATGATGTCACGTGTCCCTTTCAGGGTGGAATGTACATCTTACTGTTGATGGATACGTATGCAGCCAGTTGGTCGGTTTTCCTTATGGCGATCCTCGAGTGCGTTATCATATCCTGGATATACGGTATGTCTTCATTACTTCATAGTTTGGTTGTTCGCTTGTCACACCGAAGATAGGGTTCGATTCCCGACAAGGGTACAATGTGTGAAGCCCATTGTTGGTGTCCCTTTCCGTGATATAGCTGGAATATTGCTAAAAGCCACGTAAAACTAAACTCTCACTCACTCACTCATAGTTTGGTGTTCTTTGTTTAAACTCGAACTGCTATGACATCACTGATCCTGTGTTAACATTGTCTTCATTCCTACCCATGTAGATCCCGAGTTAGAATTGATCTTCAGCAACCCATACTTGTCGTAAGAGGCGACTAACAGGATCTGGTGATTAGACTCACTGACTTGGTTGACATGTCCCAACTGCGGAGATCGATGCTCATGATGTTGATCACTGTTACGCTGTACTAAAAGACATAGATGGTACTTTGGTAACACAGAGACACATGCACACTCTCAATGTGTAAGTGGAATAATCCTGAAGACAATGTTACACCCCATTTCGTCCCACCTCTATACCTAGGCCACAGTCCATAGATTGTAAGGTATGCTAAAGGCACTGGTGAAGCACCAATGGTCCTCTCACGTTCTATAAGACATTGAGATGTGACCACTTTTAACACAACTTCTATCATTTCTTCCAGGATGTGACAGATTCCTCCAAGATATTCAACAGATGATTGGCGTGAGGAGTCGCCACTGGCACAACTTCTTCAAACTTTTCTGGAAATATCTGACACCAGGGACACTGATTGTAAGAATATGTATTCTTTAAATCACCAGATATTTATAGATAGCTTTCCATGAACGACATCAGCAGTTTGTTATTGTTAGCAGCTATTTTCAGTTAGATTGAGTGTCATGGCTGTTAACCCCAACACTTTAATACTTTCAACAGTTGTCAGGCTGGGACTGCTTCGTATACCAGGACCCTGGTCAAATATATTGACTATGATGATTACTATAATACTATTTTGGCTGTGATGTTGGTTCATTTGCTTTTTACGACCCGTGAAGATCCGGGTTAGAATGTTGATCTTCAGTAACCCATGCTTGTCCTAAGAGGCGACTAACGGGATCGGATGGTCAGGCTCGCTGACTTGGTTGACACATGTCACCGGTTCCCAATTATGCAGATCAATGCTCATCAGGTTAAAAATGATCGTGTTTCTTGGTTTGTCATGTTAGTTCTTTGCACCAAAGTGGTAAACATCCAAGACTTGCGTCACTTTAGGATTTCAAGAACATCAAACTCATGTGCTGTGATAAAATGCGAATCTTATGCTTATCCTTCATAACCTAACTGGAAATGATGATCTTTTGTTTCCTTGATTGTAGTACCTCCATGGCAACCCATTTGAGTGTACACATCCCTTATATTCTCATCTTTGCTATGTTAAAATGAACTCATTGACAATCACATCACAAAACTCTGACACTGAAGACATGGGTTTGATTCCCCATATGGGTACAATGTGTAATGCCCATTTCTTTTGTCCCTGCACTGATAATGCTGGAATATTGCTAAAACCGTCATAAAACCATATTCGCTCTCTCAATACTGTATGATTCGGACTCTATGATTAATGAGACTTTTACTATGGTCTTTTACAGTGACACTGCACACTCATTTGCCCCTTGTTTTTCTTCACAGTTCCTGCTGTTCTTCAACTGGATTCAGTATACTCCAATCAAGTACGGAAAAAAGCGATATCCTGTGTGGGCCGATGGTGTGGGCTGGGTGTTGGCCTTTATACCAGTGCTACTCATTATAGGCATGAGTGTACATAAAGTTCTCATCGCTCCTTCAGACATGACACTGCTGGAGGTAAGTACTGTACCAGATGATGTAACCATGGGATTCCTAGTTAAGATTATTGGTGATACGGTACGCTCTTACCACAGTATGTATTGCAGTACAAGGCCTTCGGTTCTGTCCATTTCGGTTCCGTTTATTGAGATATGATCATAATACAGAAAATTGACAAGAGCCAAACTTTACTTTACTTTTTATTTTATAACATGAAAAAACCATAACCATAATCTTCGTTATTTTAAATGAACAAAACTTTCATTTCATGACTAGATACAAATGACGGTATGAAAAACGAAAATACCGAATTTTGGGATTGCATTACGGTATACCGAACCGAAGGCAAAATACTGTGGTTGTACTAGTACCGCGGTAAACCTTTTTACTCCTAGTCTCCAGCAACCCATGCTTGTCATACCAGGCGACAATATGGTGGAATGGATTGGGTGAGTTGTTAATTGTGGGTTGTATTTACTGGGATGATGTTAATAATACCGGACATATGCATCATTGTGGGATTTGTGCAATACCGGGTACATTCCTGTATTTTGAGGAGTCATTATTCATTACTGATATGCATCTTTGGTGTGCTAAGCGTTGCCACTGGACATTAATCTATCTCTAAGAGTACAGTAAACAAACGTGCATGCAGTGCTGAAAATGGAGTGAAAACGTGCTTGCTTTGAAGCCAGCATGTCAAATATCATGTAACACTGAATATGACTTATGTGCTGTTCGGTTCTTTCACAGAAAATCCGACACTTGTTGAAAGCAACACCAGAGTGGAAACCAGCTCATAAACTGCCTGAAATAGATATAATGGATACTGAGGAAAAGGGAAAGACAATTACCAACCCTGGATTCAATGGCAATGCCAGCCCATTTGAAACAAGGATATAGTCAGTGTGGATACACTGATGAAATCTTCGACTATCACCTAAATATGTCAGCCAAAGGGAGATAACTCATCTAGCATTCCACAACGCGGGACTAACAACGTACATTGTTTTAAGTGAACAACAGCCACACTTACTCCTGCATATGTCCAATGCTGCGCCATTCCCACAATCTCGTCTAGAATAGTCAACCAACAAATGAGTTTTAGATTTGTCTACCTTCTCCTTTGGCTGGTACACTGTTGTTGACTTTGTTGACTACACCAACGAGGGGTATGCCTCGGTGTAGTCATGCTTGGATGCTTGTGGTGGAGAGATGCTTCTTCTTGAGCTAAGTGCCTGGGTAGGTGGCTCAATATATTGATGCAGGCGCCAATTGAGTGGAGTTTTTTTTAACTTTTGACCCTTCTTAAAATACATCCACAAGTCGAAGCATTTCAAGCCACTGTTTATAGCACAGGACATGATTATGTTGGACATTTGCCCATTATGGTTCTGTTCTTGTTTATATTCCATGGCCAGTCATCACAAAGCTACCATATCATCATCATCATCATCATCATCAGAGGTTGTTATTGGTTTGACTGTCACTAAGTTTTGGAACTGGGCTGGTTTAACGGTGTACAGCTGTCTGTATGTGTCAATGTTACACCAACACAGTGGGTTCATCAGTGTTGCTGGCATTAATGTACGATTGGTCAACAAACTGAGGTTTGCAGGGACATTACTTCGATAAGTCTGAAGCTGCCAGTTCATACTTTACTCATATTCCAATGTGAATATACGATCCTAGTGCAGTACTTATGTAGGATGTTATCATGTGTTATGATCAGTATCCATAGGTAGATGCATAATCAAGTCCATGACAACATGAATCTGGCATCTAGATCTAAGAAAAGAGTGTACTCTGTAAAGATTTACAATATTATAATATTAAAGCATTTTTGCATTGATCTCAAGTGATATAATGAGATATTATAAACGGGTAAAGAGGAGCATATTGGTTAAATCCTTAGCTCGTCACGTCTAACATCCGGCTCTTCACGTTTAAAGAACTGGGTTCAATTCCCCACATGGATGCCCTGTAAAAAATTTCTTTGAGTCACTGATAATGGGCTGGGATAATGTTAAAATACATCTAAAAAACAACCTTCACACAATACCATGTGAACAAAATGTTCATTTACCATCAGAAATAAAGTGAATCAAGGACATTACAGTCATGTATTCGTCTAAACCCTAGATATATGGTTGTATAATTTGTAAGATGTTTAATTTTGTAATGTATGATTAAGTGGTAGCCCACAAGGGAATGTCATTAGTCCTTGTTGAATTATGCTAGTCTCAGACCCTCGGACTTGCGTTCAAATCAAACTGTGCCAAAGATAAACACTAGCCTCACTGCCTGTACTTATAACCAGCTGTAATTCCGAGTGACAAAAGTCTCCCAGCATCCCGTGCTGTCAGTTAAGGTGATCCATTGATCAGAGATCAGAGATCTGTCAATTTCTGTCATCCTACACCAACAGTGTGAATATTTGTTCATAATGCTAATCACTTGGTCCAATTTTCATTGTTTATCATTTGATATCATTTGGAAGCCGCTGATTTCCAAATTTTCAACATTGAACAACCTGTTGCCAGTAAATAATGGGCATACTTGACCAATGAGGGGTTATGCCAGTTTACACAGCTTTGTATGTAGGTGTATGTGTGTGGTGCAAGGGTTCAGCTTGAAATCTCCAACCAGCATTGTCAAAATCTTCTATTTGTTTATTCTTGAGTGCGAGATTGCTTGTTAGACGATCAGTTAGAAAGAAGAAGGGAAAATTTTCACATTTCACATTGAAAATTCAGTGACATTGTCTCATGATGCCTCAGTGTGTTGACCAATCAAATTTATTGTCACATGACCCTTTGAGGCAGCTAATTCTTTGCTTTTGTATTCTCAGTTGTTGCAGATGGTTTATTTGTTAGAGGTTACTCATTTCTTTATTTAAGTGTTGTGTGATGCGAGCTATGTATTGCTATTAAATCTTATATCTTTTATATTTAAGTTTGCTATATTTTGTTTTCTATCACTGGGTCGTTTTTCATCTCATCTTCACTGAAGCCAAGAAAGAAATCATTGGCACCCGGTGTAGTTGTTAGTCGTGTGTTCCAAATTTCAGATCTGATTCGCCAGGTAATATACTCTGTTAGTTTTGTATCAGGATAATTTCCTCTGTTATGGAGCATGTTTGTATGTAACTTACAATTTGGAATAAGTCATTTGTGCAGGATTGTATCAAAAATGTGTAATCTTGGTAGGTTCTGACTGGTCAGACTTCTTATCCTGAACAATTTGGGGTAATTTGTTTGCATTATAAAAAGTGTGGAAAAGTCATCAACAACTTTTTTAATGATCAAAGACCCTGCATAATGTGCCTGTATACTCTGATGCCTGTATTCTTTTTACTTTAGGAATCTGAATGGAAAATAATTATGAAACATATCATTAAGGAATGCTGTGTCCATTGTTAAGTTTCATGTTTTGTAATGTGAGGGAGATGTTTTACGACCTTTTTAGTTGAATGTATATGTAAACACCTTTACTTTGCTTGAATCTCATTTAACTCTCTGCATAATTTACACTCTAGCTTTTTAGCACCTCTATTTTAAAGCTGGCATTTTATTTGTGTTGTTGTTTATGATATGTAAATAACTGCAGTTGTAATTAGTGGCATCTCACTTCATGAAACTGTAAATATTACAATGTACAAACTCACGGAACATTATCATGTTGACATCCTTGTCCCTGGACCTTGTTTGGATACAGTTTCATGGAACAATTAACACTCATTGCTGATATGCAGCTATTAGTTTATTGCAATGTAATGTAACAAGCAGGTATAATTATGGTTGTTTTGAGTTTAGCTTATGGGAGCAGAAATGCCTGGTTTTGGAAAATATTGTCAAAGGATGATAATAATTGATAACAGTCCATATCTTTTTTGACATTACAAGCACAATCAATTTTAGATTGGGAATGTCAATCAAATTATTTAGAATTTGATCTTTACCCTCTTTATGTTTAATATAACAAAGCTTTGTGCTGTTTGACCATACTTCGATAATAGGGGCTATGGAAGGGAGGGTTTGTTATATAAACATCGCTTTGCTGATCTCTACTAGCTAAGCAACATCAATATTAATTTATTCCATCATGTGCAGTCCAAAAAGTTAACCAAATGGATTACAAAAATCATAAATTTTCAGCATGAAGTATAGTTCAATGTTTTCCTTACTTCAGGGCATTGATATACAGGCTTATGATACCCAAATTTCTTGCTTAGCTCTTTCACATTTTACATTCATTTTTTGTTGGTTACGAAATATTTGACCAAACATTTAGTGCAGTTGGTTACGTTTTGAATCAGCTTCCAGATTAGTATGGCTACAAATGAATGAAAAGCAAATTAATAGTTAACCCTTTCATGTAATTACTATCTTGAAAGATATTTAACTGTTTTGGGGTCTATTTTGTGAATTTTTGTTTGTATGTTGTATTTATAAAGATTTATATACTTATTATTCATGATTTCTTACCAACAGCAGTAACAAAATCTTCTGTTGTGCTTTGTGTGGATCTGCACACATTTGCTTGTGTCAATGCATTATACTTTATATTTTAGGTGTCTTTTTTCTTTTCTTTTTTTTTTTTTTCTTTTCCTTTTTTCTTCTTTCTTTCTTTGTCAGTTGATCTTGTTAACTTACTGAAAAACAATAGAAGGCCTTATATGCAATTACTTTTGGATTTGAGGTGTTGGAAGAATGTAAGCTGCGAAAAGAGAACAGCCATTTATTATGCTACATGGTTTATATGGTTCAAGATATTTTAATTATTTTGTGTGTGTTGAATTCGACCATACCTATGTACATTTATCTGTTGAAGGAGAAGGTAATGAGAGTTGTCATGGAGATGATCACCGTTGGTTACGTTCCCATAGATACATTGCCATTGTTTCATTTAGGAGAGTAATCAAGATTTATTTTGTTATGTTTAAGCAGACTGGAACCTCTTAAGTATTTATTTGTAGAAGGTTCCAGTGTGTTCAATATTTATTGCTCTGTACATATGTGACATGACCTTTGACTGAACTGCTGTGGATAGGCTCGTAGTTTCATCTGATTGTACTTGATATATGCTTGGGACCGGGTATGGGTGCTGCTAGTCAGATTGATACGTGGCTGGGTTGGTCAATGCACTGGCAACTACTGACCAGCACAATCATGTAGTCCAGTTCTATGAATCAGAACAAAGTTAAATTCTGAGTTTTTGGATGGTGCCTCATGAAGAGTACACATAGCTTACCATTTAAAGCCAATTTTGATAATTTGGAAACATCTTTGATTATTGTGTCAAATTCTGATTCTTCACAAAAAATGAGGTTACAGCTTTCTTCCAAATTTAGTCAATTTTGATATTTAGGAAAAGCATTTAATTGTTTTGAGTTATGAAAACAAATTCTGATACATATTCCATTGTTTGACAAGAAATACCCAACCAGTCCTTCCTATACTGATATCTTTGAGTTGTCTGGCATGAAGTGGAAATGTTTATGAGTGATTTATGCGAGAGTTTGAATAATTAAATGAGTATAAATGACAGGACTTGATGAATATGCATGGCAGTGTATGTACTTATCAGTAACCCCCTTTCATGACTTAAGCTAACAGCACTTACTTCCCCTTGGTGAGCTCTATATCCGCAGTATCCTATACTAGTCCAGTGAATACCAGCTGTATCAGTCTCATTACCAATACCAAAGTTTAACTTGCTAATGCATTTGTTTGAGTGGCATTATTGCTAATTCATTGATCCAATGCAAAGATGCTATCATATTAATATGATAGCATTGAAGCAGTATTGTACTAGTGGTATTGTATCTGATTTGAATCAATCAGTTTTAATGTTTTTCTATTTTTTAATAAAAGGTGGTATGGCATTGTTCATATTGTCATGGTGAGAATATGTATACATTAATGTGTTCAGTGATCAGTTTAGTCCCCTTTGTTGGAATAGGTTACTTCTTCAAGAAAGTTGTCTTTGTAAACCTTTTTATGACACATAGAACAAACCTGTGTATCTTGGAACACCATCTCCCAAATGCTAACATTGGTGTTTGTCTAATTATTTATTTAAGAAGTGCTTCTAATTTATTCACTGTCTCAAGATGTTTCTTGTGTTTGCATTTAAGTGCCGTACTGACGACCTGTTGTTCCCTATTGGTTTACAAATGTTCTTGTATAAGAGGCTGCTAGCAAGTTGAAAAAACTTTATTATACATGAAATATTAAATGGTGGTCCATTTTACAAGTTGCTGGTCCATATCGGATGTTTATTAACACTGTTGGTCTTTACTCCCCTGTTGCTGTTAAGTCTTATTTAAGAAAATTGTTTGTTATTCTACATGTTTTTGATTGAGAATGATTCGGTGAATAATGACAAATCTCACAAGACATGCCACATTAAGCAACTGTATGTGCTTTTTAATTTTATTAAATTTTAAATTTTTTAATTTAATGGTCCTATGACCAGACTCATCTTCAGTGGGACAGGACAGGACAGCAAGAAGTTTCAATCCTAAACCCATTCTTATGATATTCCTGCCATAGGTGGAGAGAGAATTGGCCTGACCGATTCAGTGGTTGAACAATGTCTTTCCTCATAGTCACCTTTATGCTACAAACATGTCTAGATACTTGCTTCCTGGTGCTGCTGGCGACATCATAACTCATCAGCTGATGGTTCAGGGCTAGCTTTTGGACCTTGTTCTTATCTGTAAAATGAATAATCAAATTGGTCTTAAAGAAAGGAAAATGGTTCAGAGGAAGACAAATGTTTATCAACCACTCCTATAACCTATTTATCCATAGCTTCCAGATACTTGTGGCATTATTGTAAGTTGTATGGCAGAAGCGAGTCTTGTGCTGTAATGCAGGACAAGGGCAATCAACTGTATGTAAGGGGCATTCAGATTTAGGTGATAATATGAAGAATATCTTATACTTGTTTTACATCTCTAAAGTTAAGGAACCCCACAATTGGAAGTATTTTTGGTAGGTGTTTTTAACTGCATTTTGTATTGAAAATAGTTTGATTCAGTACATACATTGTATATACTTACAAAGCATCCATTTGTTTTGTGGCTGGGAAGGGGTCGTGGTTCTTTTTCAGAAGAATGTAATTTTACCCAAGTTGTACCCAACAAATGTATTTCTTGAGCACCATTATATGTTCTATTCAATTTCTCTTCTAACACATCAATTGAGTCACTGCCACAAGCTATTCATGCTCATGAGCAATGTCAACAAACTATTCATTTATGGCATATTACTGTAACTATTCTTTTAAAAAATCCTACCTTCCCAACCCAAACCCCCCACCTCCACAAAATCAACTGGATGCCCCATTAGACAAGCAAAACATTCATGCTAATATTACTAATTTGCATTTATGTTTTAATAATATCTACTAAGAGCAATTAAAGTTTGAGCTGCACTGGTCCAAAGCTGACCATAATTATACTCCTATAAAGTTTCTACCAATATACTATACAGGTTATACGTTACTTGTCATTGTAGGTTCACAGTTTGACCTGCATTTAATGTTATTATTTAATGTTAACCTGTCCTTGCTTTTCTTTAAGTTAAGAGTTACTGTCATTGTAAACAGCATTTAAGAGACTATTATGGTAAAGTACATCACGTTTCCTTGCACTGTGTGACAGTTGTATTTCAAATTGTCAAGTTTGGAATCTGGTAGTAAATACTTAGTGACAAAGCTGTTGACAAATCAAGGTATTCAGGTAGATCCTAGACCATTTGGAATGCTCGGAATCCACTGCCTTTGTGTAGTTACCAAGTTAGCTATGAGTGAGTGAGGTTTTCATTACGTTGACACAATTGCATAGCTGTCAATCTCTCCACAACTTTGTACCAACCTAACACCATGACATGAACTGCAGGATGACTAGTACTTGTCTAATCCGGCACCCTATCTGAAACAGGCATTTGTTTTCAGTCCCGTGGGGTGCCGGTTCAGACAGGTTTCACTGTACTTGTCAGTACTACACAAGCCTATAGTGATTTTTCTGAAGGCAATTTCATAGTTGACACCGTTTGCGTCATGACCAAATCAGAAAATAATGTTTTGGACATTTTGGGTCAATATCCAAGATCATGACACCAGACATCCTGGTGTTAACTAGGCTTTTTTTCTTCAGTGATATAAACCGTCCTGCCAAGTATTGATGAGGACAGGATTTTTTTAGATTAAAATTCTGCTGCAGATGCCAAACGTGCTTTCAAGTCGCCACCCATAGGCGTGTTGAATCCTGTAGTTCAAGACACAGTGCAGTACACATGAGCCACCAAAGGCAGACGGAACATAGCCAGATGAGCTGTTGAATTCTTTGGGTCTCATGTTGTTGTCACTGGACAGTTGGTTGATACTGATAAGTAAGACTACTTTGTTGACAGCTATGCAATTGTTGGTCTATAAGTGCACTTTATATATGAACAGGAATAAAGGGTATTGTTAAAATGATTGTTCTGGTCTTGTTTTGGAAAGTTGATGTTTAGCATGTGATGGAGGTTCTGGGTGTCTAGATGCACAAGACGCTCAGCTTATCAGTCTGAGGATTCGAGGGTAGTACTCAGTAAGGAAACAAGTCATCCAGATGCTGGAATTCCTGGTTGGAACAGTCCTCAACCATACCTGCACTCTCATGCAGTTACCATATATACACATGGGGAAAGTATGGCAACACATACGGTTAATAGTAGTCTGTCATACAGACCCTGAAGCAAATATATCCAAGAAAGTCCACGCAAGTCTAGAAACTGTGGCAAGTCTAGATTTCCTCATGGCTCCTTTTCATTATATTTTTTTGTGTACCATGAACTTTTTTCAGTAAAATATGTTCATTTCAGATACTATAGTACTGTCGGAAATAGAAAAAAACTATTTTCTCATTTATCACTACAATTCATGTAGTTGATATGTGCAAGTGTGAAATATCTTTTAAACTAAGTTCGGCCTAACTACAGTCTCAATGGTAGGGACACAAGAAACGTAGAAAAAGGACTTTACTGAGGAGAGATTAGTGCAGAAATGAGCAATGCGATTCCAAAACGAATTATTTGGAACAAACCATGGCTGTATGCAAATTAGTGTGCGACGATATTGTATTATAAAGGACACTTTTTAAGTGACCAATTTTAAATTAGACGTAGCTTCATTATAAACGATAGCTGGCGTAAAAAATAATAACTTTCATGCTGAAACTATTAAGGATGTAGCTACCATGGAGTCTCACTGTCACTATAAAAAGAAACAGATAGGAGGGTTCGTCTCAAAAGCAAAAAAACCTGGACGGGTGTCGCAGACGATCTTTGGGGTCGGGCTTGGGGATAGAGATATCAGCTAAGATACGATAATCCTTTAGGGAATTATACTGGGGAAGTACACGGCATGTCAACAATTTACAAATAATATCCTGTCCTGTCGATCTTCGCGATCGGGTGGTCATGCCACCTATATATTTTGAGACAGTCAATACGATGCGTTTCTATGGTTATCAGGTATCAAACTCTTTTACATATCTCAACATAAACTTTATGAAAGAAAGACACTTATAAAAAAAATATATAAGCTGTTAATCAATAGATGAGGCATAGTCAACACACATGAAAAAGCACAAAATATCTTTGAGATGACCCCTTGGGCGCCTGTAGGCAGCACATGCATTTCATGCCAGGTGAGTCGACGGTCCGTCGTCATACCTGGCTGAGCGACCTAATTGCCATCTATAGTCTGATCTATTGTTTTCAGCAGCTATTCGTATATTTTCTCAGTTTTGCCCGATTTTACGAGTAAACATGTTTTTCTGGATATCCTATTACGCATCCCACTGAATGCCAAGTTAGGCCGAAGTGGGTTATTTCGACATATGCTATTTGCATTTGTGTAAATTTTAGGGATACAGAGTAAGAGCCTAAAAACAGTTTTTTTCTATTTCCGACAGTACTATAGTTGTTAGTCTAGGTTAATAGCTTCAATATGTTACCATTAACCATAGCAAAGGAACTTGTCTGGATAAATTGACCCTCATGGGATAATTAAATGGCAAAAAAACGAAAGACTAGTTTATTCATAGAAGTAAAAAAGTTACTCCTTTTGTAATACTGATAGCTATTGTATGACGTTAACAAAATTAATGCGTTCATTTTCAAGATTTGGTCATACAATCTTGAAGTCCTATAAGTATCAATTACCGACCACAATGTCAATACCTGGTGTAACCACTAACTGCAAGAACACCCCTGGCCCTCTTCCTCGTTGACTTTCAGAGGGTAGAATTTGGCGTGATATAGAGTTTCATTCCTGTTTCAATATATTGAGATTTTGTTCTGGAGGATCTCCGCGAGTTCGATGGGAAGTCATGAACAAAAGAAAAATCGAACTTTCGTCCGACCTGTTGACCTTTCCCCACGATCTCAAATTCCAGTGCTCCATATGGCTGAACTATTTCTGAGTCCGGCGTTAGACTACAGACAAAAAATCAAATTCCAGTGACGTCAAGCTTGACCACAAGCTTATCGAACTGTTTAGGTCGTCTGGCTCCATATAACCGGATGATTTTAGGCGATTTCTGGCCGTTCCGTTGTGCAAACGACTATGTGGAAGCCATTCGTCTTTAACACGCAACTTGACATGAACATGAACGGAGGTCTTGGGATTCTGAGATGGGTTGTATCCTTCCTAGGAATTGTCACCCGTAGTCGACTTGGATGATAACCAACCGTTCATGCAATATCCCTCAATGACATGCCATCTTTGAGCTGTTGTCAGTTGAACCTCTGGTTGATGGCTTTTCTTGACTACCCTGTTTTCGATGGTTTTCTTTGACTACAACGTTGATCGATGGCTTTCCTTGACTACCAAGCTGGTTGATGGCTATCCATAAACATCAAGTCGGTTGATGGCCTTCCCCATCTGCCAAGATGATTCGTGAGATTACCAGAAAGCAACGATGGTTCATCCAGACGATGTTTCAAGGTTTGCAAGCACCATACCCGTGCTTGTGTTTTTCATAACAGTGGTAAATGTTCAGACCTGCGTCGCTTTGGTAGTAAAAACACTATTCTGCTCGATTTGTCGCCCACAACCTAGAGTATCCCCGATCGAACGTTGTTGGCTGACATCCTTTTGTGGCAAATATCCCAGTTCGCCTTCTGAAACTGATGGCTCAAAGGGAATAGGCTGCGCGAGTACACTCACACACGCACGCACGCGCGCACACACGCACACCAGATCAACACTTGTAATATCAAATACAACTGATTCAACTGACCCTGAAACCAAAGAAATGAGGGCTATATCAAACAAAGCTTCTAAATCCAATTATATTGCTTATCTCCAGAAAAGGAAGGAAATACTGCTTCCAGTCTGTTCAACCTATCTTGTCACCTCAGTGGTTTATTTTGACATGGGAAATGGTACTGAGTGCACAAATCAGTCATCTTGTAACAAAGATGTTGAAGCCGATGGCTGAACTGATTAATGAACGTCACTGACCCAGAGGTTAATACTGAAAGACCTGGGGTCAATGTACATCCAACTTATGGCCAGATTGAGAAAGTCTGCGGCATAAACATTGAATACACATCTTCCATGAGATGGAGCATAGGAACATTTTCTGTGTAATGTTTTGGGGTTTTATCTTTCAATTTATTATTTTTTTGTTTAACGCCGCCCTCGTCACTACACCAATTTGACGGCGGTATGTAAATAATCGATTTAAGCAACTGGAATTGCATGGTTTTAGTAAGTCAGCAAACCTGTCCATCTGATTCCGTTAGTCATCTCCTGCGACAAGATCGACGGTACTAGGTGTATGCTGCCTATCCATTCCATCTTTTTCGTGAATTTACATTATTTGAAGCGTTCAAAGGAAATTAAATATTTACATATAAATTCACTTAATTTACTCTTTGTTATTCTAATGTTAGATTTACCACCACCACCGCCACTACTACTACTACTACTACTAAATCTACTACTACTACTACTACTACTACTACTACTACTAAATCTACTACTACCCATGAAGTGAAGATCCGGGTTAGAATTTATCTTCAGCAGTCCATGCTTGCCGTAAGAGGCGACTACCGGAATCGGGTGGTCAGGCTCGTTGACAGGGTGACGTATGTTGATCACCCATTATTCACAGACCACCCCAAAATAGACAGAAAATTGCTGAGTGCGGCGTTAAACAACAAACAAACAAAACTACTACTACTACTACTACTACTACTACTACTACTAATACTACTAATACTAATACTCCTACTACTTACTACTACTACTACTACTACTACTCAACAACCAACGGTGGCATATTAACATACCAACATACAATATGGATAATTAATCATGGTAACACCACTACCACAACCGTTGCCGCCTCTGTGGCAGTGGATGCCTCTAAAGCCGGCACCACTACCAAATCCCTGCGGCTGCTACTGAACTCCAGCAACCTAACTGACCGGTTGGTCAGACCGGGTAACATGTGTATCAAAATGTCATATATGGTGTATACATGGCAGGAATCGTCGATCACAAGATTGAAACCCTCCTCGATTATTTACAGGCTGCCACCATATATTAGCATATATGGTGTATATGGCGGGAATCGTCGATCACAGAGAAACCATCCTCGATTATGCCACCATTATATGGTATTTATATCACTAAACCTCGGCGTTGGACATGTTTTAATGAAACAAACAAAGGCAAATTCCACCTCACAGGGGTATTTTTTTAGCTGTATTTTAGCATAAGGTTACTATCATTTTACCCCTAAATTACGATATCAGCCCAAGATAGTTTTTCAGCATTTGCTGCTATATTTAAACAAATAAGTTTAAACAGACCCCCAAGAAAGTCTCCAAGCTACGTTTCACCTCATTACTATATAATAAACACGTGAAAAGTCATCTGCTATGTATTCAAGTATCGTGTAATTGTAGGATAAATAGCTTACCATGGTAACGATCCCAATAAAACAAAGTTCAGAATAATTCTAATTAATAAGAAGGGGCCCATCATGAATAAATTACTAGTTAGAGGGTTTTCAAACTGAGACCCCATCGGATTACACGAATCGGTTGTTAGGGTATGATAATTAATTTATTGTTTCTCGCTGGATCGCGTGTTGAAGGTATGGCAACAGGTTAAAACACGTTCTGTGGATTTGTAAGAATTGTACACAAGATTGGACTCGACGATTTACAATAAGTTATGTCCCTTTCCTGTTAGTTTGGCAGAGGGCGCTATTTCACACACCGGCAGCATGGCGGCGGTAAGCATTTTTGTTCCAGACGTTTCGTTTTATTTTTTGCTTATTAATTGCAATAACACACAGAGTTATTCGATAATGATCACATACCATATGTAGTATATCGGCATGACATTTCTTGAATTGTCCTTTTCTTGCTTTGTGATAGAAATATTGGATAGTTGCCATGGACTCAATGAATGTTTATCTTCGTTGTCTAGTTTTCGAGCAAATTCCTCACCCAGCTTCGTGAATATTTTGCTATCCTTTGGATGTACGACTGCTCGAGTTTAATCAGCGCAATCCTCATCGTGTTTGTTATATATACTTGTTGTGTTTTGTCATGAATTCCCAGCAGCATCATTACATTATTGGATGATAGATAATAATATTGAACCCTTTACTAGGCTTTGGATGTCAGACAACTAGATCAACAATTTCTTATGTGTGTTTCGCCCACTAGTGTACAAATGTCACTATGCCTTATGATCGTAATAAATGGAAAAATACCTGTTCTGTAATGGATACACATTTCATGAATAGATGAAGTGTGCACACAAAAAGGGCCCAGGTCTCCCTTCTTGAGAGCCATTTGGTAGTTTATAATTTTTCTTTCCATATAGGCAGCATTTCATTGCTACTTCTTGACCAATTGTGGGACGAACAAATTGGAAAGTCAACTGGAGAACAACTTGTCAAAATAATCCCTTGAACAAATTTAGCCCACTGCATGTTTAATGTCATTTATCAATGTGGCAGCTAAAATGTCTCACAGTCTAAGAATATATAATACCTTATAAGATAAAAATGCCTTGTATGCGAAGAAATGTGGTGGTAATTCGTTGGTTTCACAATACTTTTCTACTATTTATGATATTCAAATATCTGGCCGGATTAACCTCGTGTCGCATAGAAGCGTGTGAAAACTATCCACTGTCATCATGCTTCGGTTTAGTCGTATTTTTATCGATAGCATAAAACACTCCAAAGAAAAATAAAATCAAAACAAATATATAGTTTTATGTTGAATACAACTGATCCCAGTTGATTTATGAAACAGAAGCCGGATTTAAGTTATGTTAACAAGCTCTTGTATAAAGACATCTCACCACCACCGGCCCTTCCAGAAATATATTAATTGCAGATCCCCTTCTCACAACTAAACAAACACATCTCTGATGGAGTTACGGGATAATAACCAAAATAGGACATCAATTATTGAAAAGCAGAGGCAAATGGAAGTATGTACTCAGCTATGAACAGTTGTCACAACGTAAATAATTTTCATAACTTTTATTTAGCGTGCATTTACACTATCGATAAACATATGACCAAGCCGGAAGGATGCCAGTGGATTTTCGCTACGCGAGAAATGCGCATAAACGGCCGAGCCGAAAACACAGTTGAAAAGTAATGTGAAACCAACGTATGGTAAACCATCATGATCATCATGTTTAGTGGTTATTTCATCAATATACACTCATGTGTGCAATACACAAGGCAATACAGCTGGACTTGTCCTATATTCTTTTTGAGAATATTGATGCTGTCATATATATATGGGAATATGTTATAACAAAATATGAAATATAATGACATTATGCTTGCATAATTACTCAATTATATGTTTCTGTATTTCCAGACAACAGTAGAAAAGGTTCAAGAAGTAAGAGAGGTGACAAAGATTGAAAGAATTGGTAAGCTTTTAGTTTCTCATGAATAATACTTGGATAAAGTCATTATCAGATAACACTGTCAGGTACACATGGTAAATTATGTGACATTTTTTCTTGTTACGATAAAATTTTGAGATTTGCCATGAAATGACTGCCTAGTGTATCAGTACACATCTCAATATTTAAGCCATAATACAGTATATATTGGGATACTTTATCTTTCATGACAAAAATCATGGTCTTGAGTTCAGTTTGTGGTTTGCCCTGATTGTGTTTCTGCTTCAATTGTGGCTTTCCTCCTACACAAAGCTGACTTCCCGTGATCTAACAGGAAAACTGTTAAGAGTGGCATTAAAACTAACTCACTCACAAACATGCTTCTGATAATGGCACATTTTTGTATTTTGGGAAAAAACTTACGACAATTTTGAAACTCATATTTTCATATAGAGTATTATAATGTTTACTTGCTTAGGTCCAGTCAATGCATTGTAATATAAACATGGTAAAGTGATGAGTCGATTTTTCTGAAAATAAGTAGCTTATCTGGAGATCCGACCTATTATCACACTATATTATATGCAAAATAACCATGACCTTGTTTTATTAGGTGCACATTCCCACATCCGAGGCTTGGGTCTTGATGATGCGTTGGAAGCAAGGAAGGTATCACAGGGAATGGTGGGGCAGTCGGATGCTCGGCGAGCAGCTGGTGTCGTCTTGGAGATGATTAAGGTAATCTTTTGGATTGGTGATTATATCAAATATTAGTTGTCTCCATCTCTCTTCCCAATAATTCACCATAATTCTGTTGATCATTGAAAATATCTTCTGAGCATGAGTCCATACATCCTTAATTAGATCATGTTTAATCATGAACTGTTTTATAGTTGATGTATTTAGTAAAGACTGTTTTATATTAACTGTAAGCTGGAAAAGGTGTTTTTATGAGTATTAAGTTACTGAACATGCTGATTGAGAATAAAGTAATCATGTGTATCGTTTCTTTCCTGCCATATTAAGCTGTCATACAATGATATAACTAAAATACTTCTAAAATGCATCTCTTTGACATTATTCAAGACTGTCCACAGGAAACTGTTCCTGTAGTGAATGCTTTGATAACATGCTTATGGCAAATACCTATTAAAGGTGGTTTATTGTGATGACAGGGTACAATGTGGGAAGATAGCTGGTCCCCGTGCATGTTGTTGAATATTGCTAAAAGCTGGCCAGCCAGGAACTCTGACATTATTCAAGACTGTCCAAGACAGCTATAGCCATGGGTGAGTGCTCAGGATGTCAGCTACTGCAGTGTTTTCTGGCCAGCCAGGAACCAAGACAGCTATAGCCATGGGTGAGTGCTCAGGATGTCATTGATTGATGGATTGTTTTGTTTATGTACAGCCCTGGTTTAGGTTCAATATTTAGAAGCATTCAGCTACATTGATATTTCTGTGTGATTATCTGGACAGTTTAAGTGAGAACTGATTGCCTGCTTCATATTAGTTTCTTCATCTGATGATAACCATCAGTATTCAACTCTTCCTTCCTGTAAATAATCCATGAAGATCTGAGAAGGGGTCTTCAGGAACCCATGCGCCCGGAGAGCGGAAGTTCGCGGGTTCGATCCCCGGCCGCGTCATACCAAAAGACGTTAAAATATGGTACTTGTTGGTCCCTGCCTGGCGCTTGGCATTAATGGGTACAACAAGGACTGGTCGGCTCGGAGTCAGTATAATGTGTCTGAGTGGGATATTCATGCTTCACTGCGGCATGGTATCTCAGTGAGCTAGCACTATAAAACCAGCTTAAGTCTGGGCTAGTACAAGCAGCCACACATACACACACATGCACGTCGTCATATGAGTGAAAAATTCTCAAGCACGATGTTAAACCCAATTTCACCTCACCTCACCTCAGGAACCCATGCTTGTTGTATGAGGCGATTAAAGGGATCAGGTGGTCGGGCTTGCTGACTTTGTTGACACAAGTCATCATATCCCAGTTGTGTAGATCAATGCTCATGGTGTCAATCACTGGATTATCTGGTCAGACTTGATTATTTACAGACGGCTGTGATGTAGCTGGAAAATTGCTGAGTGTGGTGTTAAAGAACAAAAAACATCAACCATAAAACAACTTCTTGAAGATGTCCCAGAGGGATTCCGGGTTAGAATAGGTTGTATGATGAATCAGGTGATCACACTCTGAGTGGTGGACTCTGTCAGTGTACACCAATGGCAGAGATCATTGCTCATAATATCAATCACCTGCTAGGGCTCTATACTCCCCATGGAGCTGCAAGTTGGTGTGTTACACATGTGCATGTTATTATTACTGGACATTTCAGGCATTGCCCAGGCGCTTGGTTCAGACACACCTTTCACAAGCATCGCTGGCAGCGAGATCTTCTCCCTGGAGATGAGCAAGACGGAGGCTCTAACACAGGCTTTCAGGAAGTCCATTGGAGTCCGAATTAAGTAAGTGGACATTTGTACATGGCCCTGTTTCAGGGCCTTGAGTTGTAGTGAGGCATGGAGAGGATTTCTAGAGGGTGGTAAATGTTGTTTGTTAAAAGGGATTGTTTATTGAAGGAGACAGGTGGCCCACTTGTCTAAGGTGCTGCAGAGTTGTGTCCCTTGGGCATATCAAGTTAACTCAAATTATGGGTCTAGTTTGTCAGCACCATATCTGCGCTCATGGGATTCTCCAAACTGGTAAATGTCACAGATGTGCATCTTTTGGGCATACTCACAATAAACTCACTGCGATACTGTTAAAAGCAGGGTAAAACTCACTCATTTATTGTTAAAAGGGTGTATAATATTGCTTTATTTACAACTACCATTCCATGATGGTCATACTGCATGCTGCTCTACATGTTCTAGCCATCTATGGGCTTGCTTATACATAGCAATGAGAATACAGCCTTAGGATGCCATGCAAATTGTGATGAACATGTTGATGAAGTAAAGATCTAATGTCAGTCCTCATTGACAAGTAGATTTGAAGGCTGTAATCCTATCCTGAATCCTTTCTCAGTACTTCTATATTGGACGGATATGACAGAAATTGTGAAAATGGCAACCATTAAAAACATTTCTGAGGCTGAATAAGAGTTTCAATTTCTAGGAAGTTAGGACATGCAATAAATATACTAAGTAGTGAGAATCTTCACTGAAATTGTCCACTTTTTTAAGGGAAGAGACAGAAATTATAGAAGGTGAAGTCGTGGAAGTACAAATAGACCGTCCAGCCACAGGAACTGTAAGTATGAACAATGTGTGCCACAGTTTCTGCATTAACACTGGTTGTTCTTTAGAGCTGAACATTGAAGTTTCATTGTCACAAGCGGATTGCTGCTGGAAGTCACTGCGTGGATTTGTGTAGTTTGTTGAAATTGAAAATCCGCCATATGGCTGGAATATTGCTGAGTGCGGCGTAAAACTAAGCTCACTAAAGAAAAACTAAGTTGAAAGTCTGTTGCTTTAAGAACATGGTTAATTCAGCTCATGGGTACAGCACCTGTATGTCTTTAAGCCCCACTGTTATTAAGTCAATGAACTTGGATATAAATGGTTTACATTCTGTTGAAAAGTCAAGTGATTTCCTGTCCCGGATGTTTGTCAACACATGTTTTATCACATTTTTGTATGGCCATGCATATTTTTTCTTGATCATTTCCTATATGAAAAAGTGTCATTGTTTCATTCCATTGAGTAGTAGGTTGATTAAGCTTGGGATAAAATATAGGATTTTAAGCAAAAGTAACATTTAGGAGTCAAGGTCCATAATAAACCTGATCAGTAGATGTTGATAGGGTTAAAGATCACCTGATACTGGCTACATCTCAGAACTTGATTGGCTGAACCACTCATGTTTTGTTTCCATGGAGACATGTGTCTGTAGTCATGTTCATGTTGCAGGGAGCCAAGGTGGGAAAGCTGACCCTCAAGACAACAGAGATGGAAACAATCTATGACTTGGGACAGAAGATGATTGAGTCTCTCACCAAGGAGAAGGTTCAAGCTGGGTAAGGGAGGAAACTCAGGCTATATTGAAAGATGAACTAATTTTGATCTTAGAGCCATTTGTGCTGCTTCACTTAAAAATACTTCTCCTGCTACTGACAATTTTAACATGTTCAGTGGGTTGTGATAGAACTATTGCTCATGATATATCTCTTCATCTTCACCTGCTTCACATGTCTGTTTGCACAAGTATCTGAAAATGCCAAGTCAGTATGCATGATTTTGATCACAAAGATAATCTATCTTCCAACGCCATTTCCATGTCTTCCAAGCTGTATGTATGATGGCCTTAATAGAAAGCATAGGTTCTATTCTCTTCATGGGGGCTGTGTGTGGAACCATTGCTGCTGGAATATTGCTATTAGACTCACTCATCACATGACTCATCACATGACCTGCACCTATATTTTCTTCCTATTGGTAATTGAATCTCTTTCACCATGTTTTCAGAGATATTATCACAATTGACAAGGCTACAGGAAAGATCACAAAGCTTGGAAGATCGTTCACACGAGCACGAGACTATGATGCTATGGGATCCCAGGTAGGATCTTTGCTGCTGTATCCCTTCATCTTTTAATGCCAGCTTTACTGTGTGTCACTATTGGAACCATGGGCGTACCAATATGCTCTGTCTGACTAACACTGCACTTCTGCTGACTGCTTGGTTTGGCTACAGTATTTTTAGCATCCACACATTTTGAATCTTAATCACTTAGCTCCAATGGCATATACTTTTTGTTTGCTGACAGAGAGCTTTCAAAATTCCAGATGGTAACAAACACTGTTGGTGTTTTTTTGGTGGTGGCCATCTTGTATTTCAAATCCCATGCCAGTTTCTGTTGAACTATAGTCACCTTTCACTGTGTATGCTGTACCCATTACCTTTCAAAATCAAGGAATTTTAGTCAGTGCTTTGTTTGAATCTGAATGAATGTTTTCATTGTTTGCAATTTCTGGGGCTTTCGCACAAGATTTTCTTACTGCTCTTCAGACAAAGTTTGTCCAGTGCCCTGAAGGTGAACTACAGAAGAGAAAGGAAGTGGTCCACACTGTCACTCTGCATGAGATCGATGTCATCAACAGCCGTACACAAGGGTTCCTTGCCCTCTTCTCAGGTAGGCACACAGGAAGTCTGGCACCACCACACTAGAGGCAACCTTGGGTAGACTCTCTAGTAAGAATGTGACATCCATGAGGTCCTATTATATCCCCCGCAACGCCGCTTTAAAGGGGTATTAAAATGGACTCCTCGATCCGTCCGTATGCCGCCCATCCGGCCCATGCACATTAGTCTTTTTTCCCGAGCAGAACTCTAAAACCGTTTCACTATTTCTTCACCAAACTTGGCACATAGATAGATCTGGTGGTGTACTGGTGCCTTTTGGTAGTTTTAGAATTTGAATAAAAAGTTTTGGCTTTTCCGTGGCAACAAGTTTGACTTAGCCTGAAATTGGTGATAGTGCTCCATTTTGGATATTTGACATAATCATAACTCGTAGACATAATCATGAAGAGTATTTTGCCATTATGGGGATATTGATGACTTTGTCTTCTTGTTTTATGATTGTATGATTTCTACTCTCAGTCAGGCTCTTGATATCCATGAGGCCTCTGTAGTGTTTAGATTTTTAACAAGCATCTCTCTTTGTTGCTTTTCTGAAAGCCCAGGGTGGTTATTACTGTGACTACTGTATGGCCAATACACTGCTTAATATTGTTTTAAAAGTTAGATAATGGAACCTTCTTTTTAGAGTAATGCCCGCAAAAGATAGGGCAGTCAGGAGAATACAAAACAGATTAAAACTCTTTGTATCTCATTTTCTGTCGCCTGAGAAACAAGAGGAGAAATAAATACACAGCCAGATATTTCATTCATATTGGAAGATGCTTGGTATCTATCAGACCTTGTATGGCTTTAAAATGCAGATTATGATATTCAGTGTACAGTTCTTCACCAAGTCCAATGTCATGTTGTGTTTCAGGGGACACTGGTGAAATCAAGGCAGAAGTCAGAGAGCAAATCAATGCAAAGGTTGCAGAATGGAGGGAAGAGGGGAAGGCTGAAGTTGTACCTGGGGTATGTTATTTGGTTCAAACAGTGTGGAAAGAGGGGAGGGTGTGTGTGTGTGTGAGAGAGAGAGAGAGAGAGAGATCGTTTCCTTGTCATGCCAGTGAGCCGGGATTGATTCCCTTCATAGATAAGATGTCTCAAGACCATTTCTGGTGTTTCCTACCATGATGTTGCTGGAATATTGCTAAAAGTGGCATGAAACACTCTCACTCACTCACTCGCTGGGCCATACTTGATATTTACAGGCAGTGGTAGTGCTTGAATATTGAATGAAGTATGAAAAAACAGTCACTTTCTCAAATACTGACTGGCTCAGATGATACAGGTTCAAGTCTGCGTATGGGTACAGTGAAACCCATAATTGCAATTAACAATATCTGCTGTTTATGTTGTAATGGTTCTGAATGTATGCTGTGTTTCAGGTGCTGTTTATTGACGAGGTTCACATGTTGGACATCGAGTGCTTCTCCTACCTGAACCGCGCCCTGGAGAGTGATATGGCTCCCATCCTCATTGTGGCTACCAACAGAGGCATCACAAAGTCAGTTGGCACCGCATCATATATTTTAGTTTAGGGAGGGGGTGTTAGTTGGATGGGATTCTGGAGATGCCCACAAGCCTGTGCTTGTACAAGGCAACCAACTAGATTGGGGGGTCGAATCAATTACTTAGCTGATTGCATGTCATACAGCATGGCATGAAGTGTCGCTCATAATGTATAAACACTGAATTATCTAGTTCAAATTCAATTATTTACAGGCTGTCAAATCCCAGGTTCAACCTGATTGTGAGCCTTGGTTTGTCAGCACCACACTTCTACACATAGGTTTCAGATATGTAAGGCATGTATCACTTTGGAATGAAAAAATGTTCAAAGTTACATAGAAAGCAAACTTGCCCACATTACATTCAAAGTGCATTGCAAAGTATTTGAGGTAATTGGCAGGAGTGTTTGCAGTTGCCTATTTTTATTATTAATATAAGGTTTGTTACAAGAACTAAATTGACTTCTATGCTTATTGGGGCAGTGGGGTAGCCTAGTGGTTAAGGTGTTTGCTCGTCACGTTGAAGACACCCAGGTTCGATTCCCCACATGGGTACAATGTGTGAAGCCCATTTCTGGTGTCCCCCACCGTGATATTGCTGGAAAATTGCTAAAAGTGGCGTAAAACTAAACTCACTCACTCTATGCTTATTTTCATAGCCTTAACATGTAGTGGGTTCATTGTTATTGTAAAACTACTCGACCCACAGGATGATTTCTGTCTCTCTCCACATTGTACTCCTGTGTTGTCTCACTGCACAATAATAATCCACCTATTTAATGGAGTACTTCTTTCTGTCCAGGATCCGTGGCACACAATACAAGAGCCCTCACGGTATCCCCATCGACCTGTTGGACAGACTTCTCATCATCACAACATCCCCCTACGAAGAGAAAGAGATCAAACAGATTCTCAAGATCAGGTATGGAACCTGTTGTTTGTAGTTAATTCACCTGTTGTGTGGTGCAGGGGTTGTGGTCTGTCAAAATTCCCTATTGATAAAGTGTTGTCGGATGTAAGGTGTTTTTCTCTAAATGTTGTGTGATATCGGGTGTAGTGGTGTGTCAAAATCCCCTGTTGAACTATTGTTATATGTGATACAGGTAGATTTCTCTATCTCAGTCCATCATTGACTGTTGTGTAATGCAGGTGTGAGGAGGAAGACGTAGAGATGAATGAAGATGCCCTGACAGTACTCACCCGCATCGGGATGGAGACATCACTGAGATACTCCATCCAGCTCATCACCACTGCCAGTCTGTGTTGTCGCAAGAGGAAGGTTAGTCACTGGTTTGCATAGTCAGGCCTTTGTTGGAAATGGTCCCAAGTGATCTGTACTTGTAGATGCCTTCTGTTATTATCCATCAGTCACACTGATTTCAGGTCTTCATGCCTCAGGTAGCACTGTTGTCTAAGCTATTGCAGTTTGCTGTGCAGAGTTGCATCCTTTGGGCATAACTGAACCTATGATCGAATCCCGGTTTGTCCTGTTTGTTTTTCCTTGATGGAATACTGCACAAAGTGGCTTCAAAACCACCTCTCAAAAATGTAACGGTCAGCTGGTGTGTATGTTACTGTCTGGACAAGACAATCCAGTGATTGATGTCTTGAGCATTGTGCTATTCAGTTAGAATGTGATGACATGCATCCAACAAGAGGTATGATGTAACTTCATTGTGATTTTCCATTGGGTTCAGGTCAGAATTAATCCCAAGCAACCTTTGTTGGTTGTTGGAGGTGACCAAATGACTTAGTTTGCCATCATAACCCAATAGTGTAGATCCGTGTTTATCATATCAGTCACTGGATTGTCTGGTCCAGATTCATTTATTTACATACCTCTGTAGCATAGCTGGAATATTGCCTAATGCAGCGTGGAGTGACAAACAAATGAAAATTGAAGCTAGTTCCTTACAAAATTATGAAGCAAAACTGTACGCTTTTGTTTGTTGTTAACGCTAGCAATATTCCAGCTATATAGTGGCAGTTTGTAAATAATAAAGTCTGGACCAGACAAGCCAGTGGTGAACAGCATGAGCATAGATCCATGCAATTGGAATACAATGACATGTGTCATGATATTTGTATTTGGATGACTACTGTTTATGCAGTGTTGATGTTTGTGTGGTGTTCTCAGGGTGCCGAGGTTGATGTGGATGATATCAAGCGAGTTTACTCCCTGTTCCTTGACGAGTCAAGATCAACACAGTTCCTGAAGGAATACCAACAAGAGTTTATGTTCAACGAGATGCCAGAGTCAGGTAGTCACGAGTTGAATTAACGCTTTCGGTTTCATATGAAATGTAAAGATTATCAATTTGGTCAAACATTCATCTAATTTTCAAACATAGTATGTTTATCTCCTAATTCAGCAGATTGGTTTAATAAATCAATTAGCTTGTATTCATTGATACTATTTCAGTTATTTTACAATGCAGTGATTTTCATGGAAAATGTAATAGAAGCTACTTGAGATGATTTTTCAATTTTTTTAGAAGGAAATATATTTGGCCTAATTGTAGTTTACTTCAGTTTTTGCACATGACAGTATGTCTCATTATTGTAATTCGTTATTGGAAACATCAGAGAGATGAAAACATTTAGTGTGAGAAGCTATTGTTTTACCTCTTACGCCATCTGTTTTCAGAATCAATGGAAACAAGCTGATGGCCGACTCAGTTGGCAGCCATACTGGATCTGACAAAGGACTTTATTCCATGCTGGGCAGTCTCATTGTGTTCATCATTGCAAAATTGTACAAACTTTTATAATAAAATTCAAACTACAATCGTATGTAGTCGGAGTACATATTGAAGTGATGCGGCACAGTGTGAAGGGTTTTAACTCCAGTTTCCGTCCTCTAGTTTAAGGGTCCTTGCAGGCAATGTGAGGGCCCTGTGAAGTAATGGTGTAGAGAACTGTATGTTTTGATAACGTTTTAGAGCCTGGAATGAATTATTGAACATGTGGACTGATGGATGAAATGATGCATGTAACTGCTCTGAAAGAAACAAACACTCTAACAAAATCATAGATGTGTTGTAGGTACAGAGAATAATACTGTGCGTCCTTCTGCACACAGCGTCCATCCTCTACATGTGTGCGTACTGGACACACATTGGCGTGTTGCGTAAAACCCTGATGTGTCATATTTTGGGTTGATGCTTATCCAGAGGATAGGGTTGTGACAGTTTCAGTGATGTGTGACCAGCTAGGTGTGTGTGTTCTGAGTTGTTCAACACCACTAGCCAAAGCGGTTCGAATTGCACATGGGTACAATGTGTGAAGCCCATGATGTTGCTGGAATATTGCTGCCTGTAAACAGACTATTGCAAGATTCAGCGGCCTGTAAACAACCAAGTTCAGGCCATACAATTGATACTGTGTAACAACCCATGCTGTAGGGCACTATGAAATTCAATCAACCAAGTTAACTGATCCAGACCACATGCTGCATTACGTCTACATACAACCAGAGTAAGTGTGGATCTGTGCTCATGACATCAACCCCTGGTTTGACCAGTTATATATCCAGTAACAGTATCGATCACATTATTACCTGTACCAAAATGCTGCAGAGTTTCTTATAAGCATGAAGATGGTTACACTTGAATATCTTCATAAAGATCACGCAGACAAGGTTTAGGAAACACGTTTATTTCTATAAACATAGAAATGCCACAAAGAACAACAGAATGAGTAAAAACTGCTAAACCCATATGGAAATGTTCCCAATGAAACCAACAAATGTCTGGAGACGTGTAGTGGGTACTGAGTTATGTCCCTTTGTACAGAAATCGCCACCAGGTGAACACCGAATTTGATGATGAAATCCTTGATATTTCATACCACATACCTTGAAACGTAATCATTAAATAAAACAACCTCATGCTTACATTATGTTTCTTACATTCTTTTAAGTGCTGAGTTCTGTTCAACAGAGCTATCAGCTAACAGTTTTGACAAGTTTCTATTAATGCCAGTTGTGGAGCTAATATCAGTTGTGGAACCAGTCCATGATGCAATAAACTTGTACGAATCCAAAGGTAGGAACATTGCTATATGGTGTGTAGTTCAACTGTCACTATTTTTTAACAAAGTCTACAACTTGGTGATGATAAAATGGGAATATAATGTGCAAACAGCCTCTTCCTGCCGACTACATGACAACACTTTCAAGACAAGTCAAACCGAGTCTCCATGTGAGGACTTGAGTTGCCAACAACGCTGTCACTCCACGCCATAGTGGGCACTGATGGCATCAATCAAGTCGGCCTTCTTTGATCCTGATGATGGGATCTTCTCTTTCTTGATAAACTCCTTCAGCACTGCCACAGTTAGTTTACCCAGCTGAAAAACAAGAAAATATGTCAATCACAATATAATTCACTCTCTGACTTGCTGTGTTATAACCTATATGTTATTCTTACCCAACATATAGCTTTGATAAATAATGAATCAGAAATGAAATGCCCCTGTCAGTATTCCAGAATTAATCCCTGGCATCCTGTGTAGGTTGTACAAAATAACGTAAATATACAGGTCAGACACAGTGGCCTTGTTGATTGGTTGTTGGTGTTTAACACCGCACCCAGCAATATTCCAGATATATGGCGGCCTTGCAGGGTACCAGATAAGGGTCGTAACGGCGTATGTACGGAAAAAAAATATGCACGATATGGTAGGAAATAATTTAGAAACCGTAGCAGATACGCACCACAGCAATGGTGTACGGTCTTAGAATCATTTACAGTCGTATTTATCTGATAAAGTATTGTTTTATTGTTCATTGCCCTGTTTACACAAGAGAAGCAATGTTGTGCATATATGAAATGAAACACAAGATTACTCATACTCCATTAATTTCCATTCAGTACTCTAAATGTACACTTAAGGTTTTCCAGTACTCCTATATTGAACAAATAAGGAGTACGTACTCCTGATGTTGAAAAATTATCTGGAGCCCTGCCTTGTTTATTGAGTGTCACAGGATTTAACACTGTGTTCTCTGGTCTAGCATGACAATGTACAGGCTGGCATCATTTAGCTGAAATATGCTGTGTATGGTACTAAAAATCAAATGAATGAATGTCGTATTATGCTTGGTCAGCAACATTCCAGTAACAATATCACTGAGGTCCAAGTATTCACTTCTGGATCAGACCAACCAAAGTTCCAGTTACAAATCTATTTTGTGAATCATTGTGTACACATGAAGCTTATCATATTTCTAGGTCTACCTTTCAAGCATCAGGAACCTACAGTGTCATGATTTTAACAATGGTATTGTGCTAAAATACAAACAACATTTGAACACGTGCAGGTTGGTGGGTACCATTTCCGACCTGGAGTGAGCGCGGGAATAATCATGTTTAGTCCAGCCAAACCAGTGAGTGACGATGGTTTTATGCCACTTTTTGCAACATTGCCACAATATCACGGCAGGGCACACAAGAATTGGACTTCACACATTGTACCAATGTGGGGAATCAAACCCAAGTTTTCGGCATGACTAACGCTTTCACCACTAGGATACCCCACTGCCCCTCCACCCTGGCATCCTAGATATGGCATGTAGACATCAACAACTAGGAGACAGAACAAGGCACCTACCCGGCCAGCCTGGGCCTCCTTCTTGATGTCGAGGTCCACCATCGCTGTAGCGAGCTTGGCGGCCTTGGCAGCTGCTGACTCACTCGGGGCTGCCTGAAGCACATCGTGAAACATTAACCTTAGCGGCTTTTATAGTCTGGCCTTCACAATTACAACCATTTTCAATCTGATTCTTTCAATAAAGTAGTCTAGTGTGCAAAATAGCCAACCGGCTGGCAAAATTTTGGTGAGACCTGAAGGATTATCAAATGTCATTTGTCATTTGCCAATATCGCCACTGAAATTCTATCAATACCTTGTTATGCACAGTTATCTGAGTTGATTACCACCTTGTTACGCAGATGAATACAACTGTTTAATTAATATCACTATTATCCCCCTTCAAAATATTGGAGTCACAATTTGCAGATTTGGTTTACATTATTGGTTGACCTGAAAAGCAAATTTTGCGAAAAATTATCCTTTGTTTGAGAATAACAGTAGCAACTAACAATTGTAAGTTTTACACCAAAATTGTATTGAAAAAAGCAAGATTTATGGATGTCAACTTCTTTATTTAGAATATTCACAATAAAGAAGTTGACATCCATAAATCTTGCTTTTCTTATGCATTCCAGTTTTAAATGCGCTTCAAAGATTTAAAATTGTAATGGTTTGCATGTCTGCATCAGTGCCTGAAAACATTATCTGATAAACTATTGTGTGCAATCATCCCCTTAGTTCGCATCATGAAGAAATAATGCAGATGGTCTACATGGTGTACAGAGGGAAACACCACAGGTCACATTCAACAGAACCGTTGGTTATGTAAGGGCAACATTTATAACCATATCTTGGCAACAAGGTACTTTGAAGCAAGAGGAAGACAAGGGCAGGTAACTCTGAAAGGGTGGCCGACTTCTAGAGTGCAAGTTTTTCTCCCTTGTAATTCTGAAAGGGTGGCTGACTTCCAGAGTGCAAGCTTTCCTCCCTGTGTGTTAAGATCAGAAGCACACCGCCCACTGTTGTAGCAGGATAGTAATATGTACGTTTCCAGCTTGCTGACTGACCCATACATAGAGTTCTGGTCCTGTTTCTCCAATATGGCAATACTTTCAAGCTTTACAGACAAAATCCTTCCATCCTATTTTTGTTTGATCTGTAACATAAACAAGTTTCTTTTCTTGCCCCAAATAACCCCTAAGTCAGTCAATGCTCAATAGCCAAAAATAATCCCATTTGTTAGAAAACTATCACTGCTGGTGTAGGTGATTCAACTGACTGGTCAGTGCTCACCTTCCTCTTGGCCCCCGGGACATAGTCTTCAGGGAACACAAGGTCTTTGAAATCATCAATAGTGTGTCCAGCACGCTTCTTCATCTTTTCATCATTGGGCTCTGGAGATAAACACAGAGTGAGTGAACAACAGCAATCTTTTTCAAGGGCGGCCTTTAAACAATAAGTCTCAACTAGGTCAACCAGTAACTTGCAGCTGGAAAAACTCTTCACACCATCAGCGAGGATGTTACGCTCACACCATCAGTGGAGGATGTTACACTCACACCATCAGTGGAGGATGATATACTCACGTCAGTGGAGAATGATACACTCACACCATCAGCGAGGATGTTACACTCACACCATCAGCGAGGATGTTACACTCACACCATCAGTGGAGGATGTTACACTCCAACCATCAGAGGAGGATGTTACACTCCCACCATCAGGGGAGGATGTTACACTCACACCATCAGGGGAGGATGATACACTCACACCATCAGGGAGGATGTTACACTCACACTATCAGGGAGGATGTTACACTCACACCATCTGGGGAGGATGTTACACTAATACCATCAGGGAGGATGTTACACTGACACCATCAGGGAGGATGTTACGCTCACACCATCAGGGAGGATGTTACGCTCACACCATCAGGGGAGGATGTTAGACTCACACCATCAGGGAGGATGTTACACTCACACCATCAGGGAGGATGTTACACTCACAAAATCTGGGAGGATGTTAGACTGACACCATCTGGGAGGATGTTACACTCACACCATCAGGGGAGGATGTTACACTCACACCATCAGTGGTGGATGATACACTCACACCATCAGGGGAGGATGTTACACTCACACCATCAGGGGATGATGTTACACTCACACCATCAGGGGAGGATGTTACACTCACACCATCAGGGGAGGATGTTACACTCACATCATCAGGGAGGATGTTACACTCACACCATCAGGGAGGATGTTACACTCACACCATCAGGGGAGGATGTTACACTCACATCATCAGTGGAGAATGATACACTCACACCATCAGGGGAGGATGTTACACTCACACCATCAGGGGAGGATGTTACACTCACATCATCAGGGAGGATGTTACACTCACACCATCAGGGGAGGATGTTACACTAACACCATCAGGGGAGGATGTTACACTCACATCATCAGTGGAGAATGATACACTCACACCATCAGCGAGGATGTTACACTCACACCATCAGTGGAGGATGTTACACTCCAACCATCAGAGGAGGATGTTACACTCCACACCATCAGGAGGATGTTACACTCACCACCATCAGGGAGGATGTTACACTCACACCATCAGGGGAGGATGACACACTCACACCATCAGGAGGATGTTACACTCACACCATCAGGGAGGATGTTACACTCACACCATCAGGGAGGATGTTACACTCACACCATCAGGGGAGGATGTTACACTCACACCATCAGGGGAGGATGTTACACTCACACCATCAGGGAGGATGTTACACTCACACCATCAGGGAGGATGTTACACTCACACCATCAGGGAGGATGTTACACTCACACCATCAGGGAGGATGTTACACTCACACCATCAGGGAGGATGTTACACTCACACCATCAGGGAGGATGTTACACTCACACCATCAGGGAGGATGTTACACTCACACCATCAGTGGAGGATGTTACACTCACACCATCAGGGAGGATGTTACACTCACACCATCAGGGGAGGATGTTACACTCACACCATCAGGGAGGATGTTACACTCACACCATCAGGGGAGGATGATGTTACACTCACACCATCAGGGAGGATGTTACACTCACACCATCAGGGAGGATGTTACACTCACACCATCAGGGGAGGATGTTACACTCACACCATCAGGGAGGATGTTACACTCACACCATCAGGGAGGATGTTACACTCACACCATCAGGGGAGGATGTTACACTCACACCATCAGGGAGGATGTTACACTCACACCATCAGGGAGGATGTTACACTCACACCATCAGGAGGATGTTACACTCACACCATCAGGGAGGATGTTACACTGACAACCATCAGGGAGGATGTAACACTCACAAAATCTGGGAGGATGTTAGACTGACACCATCTGGGAGGATGTTACACTCACACCATCAGGGAGGATGTTACACTGACACCATCAGGGGAGGATGTTACACTCACACCATCAGGGAGGATGTTACACTCACACCATCAGGGGAGGATGTTACACTCACACCATCAGGGAGGATGTTACACTCACACCATCAGGGGAGGATGTTACACTCACACCATCAGGGGAGGATGTTACACTCACACCATCTGGGAGGATGTTACACTCACACCATCAGGGAGGATGTTACACTCACACCATCAGGGAGGATGTTACACTCACACCATCAGGGAGGATGTTACACTCACACCATCAGGGGAGGATGTTACACTCACACCATCAGGGGAGGATGTTACACTCACACCATCAGGGAGGATGTTACACTCACACCATCAGGGAGGATGTTACACTCACACCATCTGGGGAGGATGTTACACTCACACCATCAGGGAGGATGTTACACACACCATCAGGAGGATGTTACACTCACACCATCAGGGAGGATGTTACACTCACACCATCAGGGAGGATGTTACACTCACACCATCAGGGGAGGATGTTACACTCACACCATCAGGGAGGATGTTACACTCACACCATCAGGGAGGATGTTACACTCACACCATCAGGGGAGGATGTTAGACTGACACCATCTGGGAGGATGTTACACTCACACCATCAGTGGTGGATGATACACTCACACCATCAGGGAGGATGTTACACTCACACCATCAGGGGAGGATGTTACACTCACACCATCAGGGGAGGATGTTACACTCACACCATCAGGGGAGGATGTTACACTCACACCATCAGGGAGGATGTTACACTCACACCATCAGGGAGGATGTTACACTCACACCATCTGGGGAGGATGTTACACTAATACCATCAGGGAGGATGTTACACTCACACCATCAGGGAGGATGTTACGCTCACACCATCAGGGAGGATGTTACGCTCACACCATCAGGGGAGGATGTTACACTCACACCATCAGGGAGGATGTTACACTCACACCATCAGGGAGGATGTTACACTCACAAAATCTGGGAGGATGTTACACTCACACCATCTGGGAGGATGTTACACTCACACCATCAGGGAGGATGTTACACTCACACCATCAGGGGAGGATGTTACACTCACACCATCAGGGGATGATGTTACACTCACACCATCTGGGGAGGATGTTACACTAACACCATCAGGGGAGGATGTTACACTCACACCATCAGGGAGGATGTTACACTCACACTATCAGGGAGGATGTTACACTCACACCATCTGGGGAGGATGTTACACTAATACCATCAGGGAGGATGTTACACTGACACCATCAGGGAGGATGTTACACTCACACCATCAGATGTTACGCCTCACACCATCAGGGAGGATGTTAGACTCACACCATCAGGAGGATGTTAGACTCACACCATCAGGGAGGATGTTACACTCACACCATCAGGGGAGGATGTTACACTCACAAAATCTGGGAGGATGTTAGACTGACACCATCTGGGAGGATGTTACACTCACACCATCAGGGGAGGATGTTACACTCACACCATCAGGGGAGGATGTTACACTCACACCATCAGGGGAGGATGTTACACTCCCACCATCAGGGGAGGATGTTACACTCACACCATCAGGGGAGGATGTTACACTCACACCATCAGGGAGGATGTTACACTAACACCATCAGGGAGGATGTTACACTCACACCATCAGGGAGGATGTTACACTCACATCATCAGGGAGGATGTTACACTCACACCATCAGGGGAGGATGTTACATACACCATCGGGGAGGATGTTAAACTCACACCATCAGTGGAGGATGTTAGACTCACACCATCAGGGGAGGATGCAAATATGAGTTTAAAAGTTAAAAGTTTAAAATGTTTCAGGCACTCTTAAGGGATGAAACTGTTCTGTGGGAATTGCAGCACATGATTCCATTGCTCTGTTATACTTACTGGTATAGTCGACCAATTCATCTGGAACATCCCGGTCCAGTGCCAGAGCTTCTATGTTCCGCCAATGGTTCTGCAGGACTGGGTTCTCGAAGGACTCACTGGAGAACTTAAACTGCAGCTTTTTGATCACATCCTTGGCCTTGTCAATCTGCTCTGTAGTTGCTGAAACCACAACAGTCATGGGTTATCTCCCTTCCTCCCAGTTCCGCAATATTGCTGACAGCATTAGTAGTTGGTGAACGAAAAGGACAACATAAGCAGCTGAGGACCAAAAGTGACATCATGTTGTTGAGGACAGAAATGGGTTGACCGACATGGAATACTGATTCTCAACCAATGTCTGAAATGGTCACTGTGAGGGACACTCATGAAATACTGATGGTTCATGTTATGTGAAGTCCCCACCTCTTGGACAGTCCTCGGCAGGGACTTTGCGGAAGTCGTCGGCGAAGGGCAGGAAGATGACGTGGAACCCTGGTGGAATGGTCTGTACTTTGTGTTCATCAACTTCCTCCTCCTACAACAGTGAGTGAGTGAGTGGGTGCATGAGTGAGTAATTGCATGTGTTACTGTGTGACAAGTGATGATTAAGTTAGCAACTGTATGAGTGAGTGTACAAGTGATTGAACAAGTGTTTGAGTGAGTGATTGAACAAGTGAGTGAGTGAATGATTGAACAAGTGATTGAGTGAGTGATTGAACAAGTGATCATTGAGTTAGAAATTGTAGGAGTGAGTGTACAAGTGATTGAGTGAGTGATTGAACAAGTGATTGAGTGAGTGAGTGTACAAGTGATTGAGTGAGTGATTGAACAAGTGATTGAACAAGTGATTGAGAGTGATTGAACAAGTGATTGAGTGAGTGATTGAACAAGTGATCATTGAGTTAGAAATTGTAGGAGTGAGTGTACAAGTGACAATCTCCCTCTAGATCATGACTGACGATACCAGACTGTTGTTTTGAAGGTTTACCTGAGGCATCAAAGCAACAAACTTGGGCGGATTGTTTTTTCCAGGAATGTATTTACAGATGGGTGCAACGTCACGGTCCAGACATTTCCGCAAGAGAGCTGTGAACACGGTCATGCTACCAGCGTAAGTCTGAAACAACACACAGTCAGTATGAGACAGCTTGTTTCCCTCATGGGTCATGCTACCAGCGTAAGTCTGAAACAACACACAGTCAGTATGAGACAGCTTGTTTCCCTCACGGGTCATGCTACCAGCGTAAGTCTGAAACAACACACAGTCAGTATGAGACAGCTTGTTTCCCTCACGGGTCATGCTACCAGCGTAAGTCTGAAACAACACACAGTCAGTATGAGACAGCTTGTTTCCCACGGGTCATGCTACCAGCGTAAGTCTGAAACAACACACAGTCAGTATGAGACAGCTTGTTTCCCTCACGGGTCATGCTACCAGCGTAAGTCTGAAACAACACACAGTCAGTATGAGGCAGCTTGTTTCCCTCACGGGTCATGCGGTCACCACCAGCGTAAGTCTGAAACAACACACAGTCAGTATGAGACAGCTTGTTTCCCCACGGGTCATGCTACCAGCGTAAGTCTGAAACAACACACAGTCAGTATGAGACAGCTTGTTTCCCTCACGGGTCATGCTACCAGCGTAAGTCTGAAACAACACACAGTCAGTATGAGACAGCTTGTTTCCCTCACGGGTCATGCTACCAGCGTAAGTCTGAAACAACACACAGTCAGTATGAGACAGCTTGTTTCCCTCACGGGTCATGCTACCAGCGTAAGTCTGAAACAACACACAGTCAGTATGAGACAGCTTGTTTCCCTCACGGGTCATGCTACCAGCGTAAGTCTGAAACAACACACAGTCAGTATGAGACAGCTTGTTTCCCTCACGGGTCATGCTACCAGCGTAAGTCTGAAACAACACACAGTCAGTATGAGACAGCTTGTTTCCCTCACGGGTCATGCTACCAGCGTAAGTCTGAAACAACACACAGTCAGTATGAGACAGCTTGTTTCCCTCACGGGTCATGCTACCAGCGTAAGTCTGAAACAACACACAGTCAGTATGAGACAGCTTGTTTCCCTCACGGGTCATGCTACCAGCGTAAGTCTGAAACAACACACAGTCAGTATGAGACAGCTTGTTTCCCTCCACGGGTCATGCTACCAGCGTAAGTCTGAAACAACACACAGTCAGTATGAGACAGCTTGTTTCCCTCACGGGTCATGCTACCAGCGTAAGTCTGAAACAACACACAGTCAGTATGAGACAGCTTGTTTCCCTCACGGGTCATGCTACCAGCGTAAGTCTGAAACAACACACAGTCAGTATGAGACAGCTTGTTTCCCTCACGGGTCATGCTACCAGCGTAAGTCTGAAACAACACACAGTCAGTATGAGACAGCTTGTTTCCCTCGCGGTCATGCTACCAGCGTAAGTCTGAAACAACACACAGTCAGTATGAGACAGCTTGTTTCCCTCACGGGTCATGCTACCAGCGTAAGTCTGAAACAACACACAGTCAGTATGAGACAGCTTGTTTCCCTCACGGGTCATGCTACCAGCGTAGCCCAAGTCTGAAACAACACACAGTCAGTATGAGACAGCTTGTTTCCCTCACGGGTCATGCTACCAGCGTAAGTCTGAAACAACACACAGTCAGTATGAGACAGCTTGTTTCCCTCACGGGTCATGCTACCAGCGTAAGTCTGAAATATCACACAGTCAGTATGAGACAGCTTGTTTCCCTCACGGGTCATGCTACCAGCGTAAGTCTGAAACAACACACAGTCAGTATGAGACAGCTTGTTTCCCTCACGGGTCATGCTACCAGCGTAAGTCTGAAACAACACACAGTCAGTATGAGACAGCTTGTTTCCCTCACGGGTCATGCTACCAGCGTGAAGTCTGAAACAACACACAGTCAGTATGAGACAGCTTGTTTCCCTCACGGTCATGCTACCAGCGTAAGTCTGAAACAACACACAGTCAGTATGAGACAGCTTGTTTCCCTCACGGGTCATGCTACCAGCGTAAGTCTGAAACAACACACAGTCAGTATGAGACAGCTTGTTTCCCTCACGGGTCATGCTACCAGCGTGAAGTCTGAAACAACACACAGTCAGTATGAGACAGCTTGTTTCCCTCACGGGTCATGCTACCAGCGTAAGTCTGAAACAACACACAGTCAGTATGAGACAGCTTGTTTCCCTCACGGGTCATGCTACCAGCGTAAGTCTGAAACAACACACAGTCAGTATGAGACAGCTTGTTTCCCTCACGGGTCATGCTACCAGCGTAAGTCTGAAACAACACACAGTCAGTATGAGACAGCTTGTTTCCCTCACGGGTCATGCTACCAGCGTGAAGTCTGAAACAACACACAGTCAGTATGAGACAGCTTGTTTCCCTCACGGGTCATGCTACCAGCGTAAGTCTGAAACAACACACAGTCAGTATGAGAGACAGCTTGTTTCCCTCACGGGTCATGCTACCAGCGTGAAGTCTGAAAAACAACACACAGTCAGTATGAGACAGCTTGTTTCCCTCACGGGTCATGCTACCAGCGAAGTCATGAAAGTCTGAAACAACACACAGTCAGTATGAGACAGCTTGTTTCAGTATGGAGACCTTGTTTCTCCACGGGTCATGCTACCAGCGTAAGTCTGAAACAACACACAGTCAGTATGAGACAGCTTGTTTCCCTCACGGGTCATGCTACCAGCGTAAGTCTGAAAAAAACACACAGTCAGTATGAGACAGCTTGTTTTCCCTCACGGGTCATGCTACCAGCGTAAGTCTGAAACAACACACAGTCAGTATGAGACAGCTTGTTTCCCTCACGGGTCATGCTACCAGCGTAAGTCTGAAACAACACACAGTCAGTATGAGACAGCTTGTTTCCCTCACGGGTCATGCTACCAGCGTAAGTCTGAAACAACACACAGTCAGTATGAGACAGCTTGTTTCCCTCACGGGTCATGCTACCAGCGTAAGTCTGAAACAACACACAGTCAGTATGAGACAGCTTGTTTCCCTCACGGGTCATGCTACCAGCGTAAGTCTGAAACAACACACAGTCAGTATGAGACAGCTTGTTTCCCTCACGGGTCATGCTACCAGCGTAAGTCTGAAACAACACACAGTCAGTATGAGACAGCTTGTTTCCCTCACGGGTCATGCTACCAGCGTAAGTCTGAAACAACACACAGTCAGTATGAGACAGCTTGTTTCCCTCACGGGTCATGCTACCAGCGTAAGTCTGAAACAACACACAGTCAGTATGAGACAGCTTGTTTCCCTCACGGGTCATGCTACCAGCGTAAGTCTGAAACAACACACAGTCAGTATGAGACAGCTTGTTTCCCTCACGGGTCATGCTACCAGCGTAAGTCTGAAACAACACACAGTCAGTATGAGACAGCTTGTTTCCCTCACGGGTCATGCTACCAGCGTAAGTCTGAAACAACACACAGTCAGTATGAGACAGCTTGTTTCCCTCACGGGTCATGCTACCAGCGTAAGTCTGAAACAACACACAGTCAGTATGAGACAGCTTGTTTCCCTCACGGGTCATGCTACCAGCGTAAGTCTGAAACAACACACAGTCAGTATGAGACAGCTTGTTTCCCTCACGGGTCATGCTACCAGCGTAAGTCTGAAACAACACACAGTCAGTATGAGACAGCTTGTTTCCCTCCACGGGTCATGCTACCAGCGTAAGTCTGAAACAACACACAGTCAGTATGAGACAGCTTGTTTCCCTCACGGGTCATGCTACCAGCGTGAAGTCTGAAACAACACACAGTCAGTATGAGACAGCTTGTTTCCCTCACGGGTCATGCTACCAGCGTAAGTCTGAAACAACACACAGTCAGTATGAGACAGCTTGTTTCCCTCACGGGTCATGCTACCAGCGTAAGTCTGAAACAACACACAGTCAGTATGAGACAGCTTGTTTCCCTCACGGGTCATGCTACCAGCGTAAGTCTGAAACAACACACAGTCAGTATGAGACAGCTTGTTTCCCTCACGGGTCATGCTACCAGCGTAAGTCTGAAACAACACACAGTCAGTATGAGACAGCTTGTTTCCCTCACGGGTCATGCTACCAGCGTAAGTCTGAAACAACACACAGTCAGTATGAGACAGCTTGTTTCCCTCATGGGTCATGCTACCAGCGTAAGTCTGAAACAACACACAGTCAGTATGAGACAGCTTGTTTCCCTCACGGGTCATGCTACCAGCGTAAGTCTGAAACAACACACAGTCAGTATGAGACAGCTTGTTTCCCTCACGGGTCATGCTACCAGCGTAAGTCTGAAACAACACACAGTCAGTATGAGACAGCTTGTTTCCCTCACGGGTCATGCTACCAGCGTAAGTCTGAAACAACACACAGTCAGTATGAGACAGCTTGTTTCCCTCACGGGTCATGCTACCAGCGTAAGTCTGAAACAACACACAGTCAGTATGAGGCAGCTCTTTTCCCTCACGGGTCATGCTACCAGCGTAAGTCTGAAACAACACACAGTCAGTATGAGACAGCTTGTTTCCCTCACGGGTCATGCTACCAGCGTAAGTCTGAAACAACACACAGTCAGTATGAGACAGCTTGTTTCCCTCACGGGTCATGCAGGATAAGTCATATGGCGACAAAAAAGATATTAAATACTAATGGAAAATGACTTTGACCGTTGATATCTATTCAATTTGATGTTTTAGGATTTAAGAAGTTACATGCAAGATACTTGTTACTCTGCCTGGCAATCAGTATCATGGGGATAAAACAAGCACTGGTTGTCTCATAGTTAGTATACAGTGTCTGAGTGGGGTGTCCATATTAAACTGCTGCATGGTTACTCAGTGGGTACTAATTTTAACTAAGTTATCAAGAAAATAAAGGAGCTCTTGAATATAGGTTGTAAATGGAGCATTTTTGTATAAAGGGCATGCATAAAGTACCTATATTCTCAATAGATGATATTCACAATATGGAAACACATGAAGGTAATAATCTCTTGTGTGTGCACACACACTTGCATGCACACTGCTACTGACGGACCATAATCCTGAAAGCAACATTAAACCCTATTTCACCTGCCAGCCTCTAAGTGAGTCAGTGAGTGAGTTTAGTTTTATGCCGCACTCAGCAATATTCCAGCTATATGGCAGCAGTCAGTAATTATTCGAGTCTGGACCAGACAATCCAATGATAAACAGCATGAGCATCGATCTGCGTAATTGGGAACTGATGACATGTGTCAACCAAGTCAGCGAGCCTGATCACCCGATCCCTTTAGTCGCCTTTTACAACAAGCATAGTCACCTTTTATGACAAGAATGGGTTGCTGAAGACCTATTCTACCCCAGATCTTCACGGGTCGCCACCCTCTAAGACTGAACTAGGACACATCTGCTTGAGACTCAGACCCACTTACACTCTCATCCGGGTATATGAAGGAGGCTGGTTTAACATGGTGGTGCTTCTTTATAGAGCTCCGAGGTTTGAACCCCATCAGCGTGAGTCCTGAAACAGAGGTGTTGACCCATGAGTAACCACTAAACTAATGGGTTAACTTTCACTTCAGACTTACTCATGTCAAAATAATTCTGCTTGACCTTGCTGTAAGTAATCTGAGTACAGTCGAACCCTGTTTACTCGGACCCTGTATGTCCGGAAACCCTGCCTTCCGGAAGAAACGAAACTTACCTTCAGTAATTGTACTCGCTTAGCTGGATCCCGCGCTTCCAGACCCAGATGGAGATTTTCAAGCCATTCCCATTGAAAAATTATCCTGTTATCCGGACGGAAAGATCTGTGCGCATGTGCATGCATATGCGTATGTGTATGTTTACCGCACGACTAAGTGTATTAATTCTCTCGGCAGGCGTTTGATGACACACTAGGGAAGCGTGTCACGTCAGTTGATAATTAGGATTTGGCAGGTGTGAGAACATCTCATCAGTAATGAAAACACATGTTAATTAGGATTAGGATTAACTACATTGTAATCGTACTGTATGTACAAGAGACAAGAGATCCAAGGATGAGTCTTGGAGTTTGTTTTCTGCTAATTACCAAAAAGCATTTTAATAAAATGACATAACATCTCATCTCTCTCATATTCAATCACTAGTGGTTAACAAAAAATCATGATCAATACTCATATTAGCAGAATTCCTATAAGTTGTTGGTTTCTTGTTTAATGCAGCGTTCACTAATATTTCAACTATATGGCGGCGGTTTGTTAATAATCGAGTCTGGACCAGACAATCCAGTGATCAACTTTATGAGCATCGCTCTACACAGTTGGGATACGATGACATGTGTCAACCAAGTTAGCGAACCTGACCACCCGATCCACTTACGACAAGCATGGGTTGCTGAAGACCAATTCTAACCCAGATCTTCACGGGTCTATTTCTATAAGTACAGTTCCAGGATGTCATGATGACCTACCTACAGACCAGTGGTGAATTGTTTTCATGTTGTTTCAAAGTGTAATGCTAATTTAATTCATAGTTGTTCTACAAAGTGTAATGCTAATTCACAGTTGTTCTACAAAGTGATCTAACGTGCAAACATATGAGATTGTGGTATCAAGTTTATTGTTCTGCTTTCTGCTTCGTAGAGGTGGGGTAGCCCAGTGGATAAAGCATTCACTCGTGCACACCAAAGACCTGGGTTTGATTCCCCACACGGGTACAATGTGTGAAGCCCATATATGGTGCCTCCTACCATGATACTGCTGGAAAACCATACTAACTCACTCACTCTGCTTCATTTCATGAATAATGCCAATCATTATGACAAATACAGTAGTAAAAGTGAAAAATATACTGAATCAGTTTTGTGCAGTTGAGTGCAGCAGTCGGACTAAGTCACACAGCTTACCTGAAGAGCCGAACCTGCGAATCTCAGTCACCTCATCATTTTCAAAACAGATTCTCCTACTGCCATAGGTCTGAGCTTTCTTTAGATCTTGTGGCATCAGAACTTCTCCAGTATCCTGAAACAGTTTCACAGAAAATCTCACCTGAAATCTGGAATCATGAAACTAATCTATAACTGAATTATCAAGAAAATAATTGAGTTCTTGAATATCGGTTGCGATTGGAGCATTTTTGTATAAAGGGCATGCACAAAGAACTTATATTCCCAATAGATGATATTCACAATATGGAAACACATGCGGGTAATAATATCTTTATCCTATAGGGATGTTTCTGAGGCAGATATATGACACCCAGTCATAATTTGTAGCTTATATAATTAGGGTGGCAATGATTCACGCAGACCTCGATTTGATTCGAAGTTTGATATTGGACCCTCGATTCGATCTTTTTTTATTCGATTCTTCATACAAGTAACAACATCAGATTTCATTTAACTCTCAGAGTCGGCTTTTTTCCATCGTGAACTTGGTGATATCTACTAACAACAATTCTCATTGGATAAGTAGCCTGGCATTAATCAATCACGTTTCGCCTTATTTCAGCACTCGAAACTGCTTCAGTTGAGAGTCAAAATTACGTTCTCGCTGTGTGGAAATAACATAAATAGGTGTTCAAATATCGAATCTAAATAGTGATAATCGTTTTTAATGTATATTATTTTTCATACATTTTTCTTAGCTTTACATCACTGCATTGAATGCAAAGTAAAGACATTCCAACTTACAGCAAGTTTTCCCCCCAATTTCACTGCCTTAGTTATACATACTAGATGAGTCCCTGTCCTATAATCTAAATCTTGAAATAAGCAGAGTTCAATGGCGTCACAACAGAAATGTAACAAGTGAACCATCTCCATATTGTGCCAATGACTTGCAGCCAAGTCACGTTTTGATTGGTTCATTGATCAATAACTCTATCCATAATGTGACACAGGAATATTCTTACCTCCAGGTATGTCTTGGAGTGACTTTTTAGTTCCTCGTTTGTGTCCCGAGACAGCTTCACAGCTGATGGTTTAGGACAACTCCGAACAAGATTGTACCTAGAACGTGAAATCCAATTAAACATTGTATTACTTCACAGCATTTTTCAGTAAAAACAAAATTGAAAATGTTAACTATAAATTGCATATTAATAATACTTCTCATATCACGTTATGCACATTCCCTCACTCTGTCAACTGTGGAGTCAAAACGACCTGAAACATAGTTTTTAGCCACACATAAACTCCTACTATTCTGTACTGTAACACAATGGTTAGATACATGTTACAGTTAGTCTGAATATCTGGCAGGTTTCTTGATCACTCGACCACTCACTGGGCTGACAACATGACCGGACGATGATGATGGTTTCAGCCAGTTACAACATGTATCCCCAACACCCCCATCTGTTGTAGGTAGTCACTATAAGCTACTGTTAAGCATGCATCTTGCCCCGACTGACAACATGACCGGACGATGATGATGGTTTCAGCCAGTTGCAACATGTTTCCCCAACACCCCATCTGTTGTAGGTAGTCACTATTAGCTACTGTTAAGCATGCATCTTGTCCTGACTGACAACATGACCGGACGATGATGATGGTTTCAGCCAGTTGCAACATGTTTCCCCAACACCCCATCTGTTGTAGGTAGACACTATAAACTACTGTTAAGCATGCATCTTGCTCTGACTGACAACATGACCAACTGAGGTCAGTGCTTTGTCATGGACCTGGAACCAATCTTGTAATCTGTGTAGCAGGGTTGGTGAGGTGGGAATACATTGTGTGAGATAGGATAATAATAAGTGCATTTGTTATGCACTATTTTCCATCCGTTGCGGTTGCTCAAAGTGCACACAATCTGATCATTATTATCCCAGTTAACTCAGGCTGCCTGTGTGGCGTTTGAAGGTTAGTATCCACATGACTTCTCATCGGGTACCCATTTTCTTCTGGGTGAACAGAGTAAGGTAAGACCATGTGTATCACATGTGCTTCATTGTGGGGCAGGACTGTAGTCCTTGAAACTCTCAGGAGTCAAGCTGCCACACATGGTCCCCCATCCAAGGACTCGCTGTGCCCAACGTAGCTAAATTTCAACTGATTTGTGACCTGAGCTCCGTGCACACGACCACACACTGTATTATGTATACAATTCACATTTAACATTTTCATATTTTAAAACTTATCCTATCTCGCATAATGCACTTATTTTGTGGTTGGACAGTGGGATGCTAATTACCCCGGTCTGTAGGCAGACGACAACTATGTGATGAATATTCACAAGGGAGGCTGACCTATATTTAGCCTTCTGATGAAAGACCATAGGTTAGAACTTGTGATGGGTTCTCTCAGAAGGCCCTCAGCAATACCTTACACAAACTCCCAAGGACTCGGTGATCCTACCAGTCACGTCAGTATAGTTGTATAGCAACACATCGTAAGGTATGTATGTCAGACTCTACTCACACTCCAACAGAGAAGTCCAGGCCATCTCCAAGAGAGAAAGGAATCCTACGGAGCGCCCTCTTCTTGTGGTCCTTAGATCGTACTCTGAAATAGCAATGAATCACAAATGTGTCTCTGAAAGATAGGTTTGAGAGTATGCAAAACAATCCAGAATTGGATTTCAAGGTTAGATATACCTTCATAAAAATAAAAGGCAAGAATGACCCTTGATTTCAGTCATATTCAATCTGTACAGATCATTCAGATGTGAACTAAACACCACACACAAATGTTTGGGTGCAGACATGTTGATAAACAACGAAAAGTCAGTGCTACCTGGTGAGCAGTTCTTCCAACCTCTCAGCAGGGTCAGGTAACTCTGTGAGCTCATCATCATCTGCGTACAGAAGATCCTGCAAACAAAGCCTCCTGCGTGTTAGCATCTCAGCATCAGCACCACAACAACATACTATTCCCTTTATCGTGTCTACTCCTGTTTTCAGTATGTCAGAGGTACAGATAAGCTGTGTATCTGGTAAATTACACAAATATTTATGTGAAAACTCAATTCCTACAGGTACGCTTGAATTTTTGTAAATACTCAATAGTACACTGACTGACTGACTGAGTTTAGTTTTACGCTGCTTTTAGCAATATTCCAGCAACATCACGGCGGGGGACACCAGAAATAGGCTTCACATATTGTACCCATGTGGGGATTCGAACCCGGGTCTTCGGCGTGACGAGCCAACGCTTTAACCACTAGGCTACCCCACCGCCCCTCAATAGTACACACAAAATGTCAAATCTTAGCTTGCGTACCGGTGGATAGATAAAATAACTGAGGTATAGTGAGAGGTTCTGTTTCAGGACATGAACTTGACAACTTGCAGTCTTTCTTATCGTTTCTCATACTATAGATCAAATATAAATAACAAACACTAACATTTAAACTTTATTATATTAATACAATTAATGGAAAATGACAAAATACCCAATTGAGTTTGAGTGAGGTGGGTACAATTTATTTGATTACTCAAAGGAAAATTAGGATACCCATTTGAGATGAACACAAGCGAGTACATAACTCAATGACCCAAAAAGTTATCTGTAGCTCTGCATGTTCAGGTTGGCTTTTAGACTTTGGATGAATTTCTTATCTCAGGGAATAATGTCAGTATCATATGTTATATTTGGGATTACACTCTCTCAGTAAAGCACTGATTCTAGTACTTGTTTGGGTTGAGTCCCATCCGGGATTTGAACCCACGCCCTCACAAATGCCTGACTCTGAGGACTCAACCCAAAAAAGTACTAGAATCAGTGCTTGACTGAGAGCGTGTAATCCCAAATATAACATATGTTACATTTGACCACTTTCTAAAATGGCATTGTGTATTTCAATGTCAGTATCACTGATCAAGAAAATTTAATTTACTGGAGTAATGTGGAAACACTGCAACACATGAACACCTTATGTGCTAGAACAAATTATATAGATATTTGTCAATCTGTCATATTTTTTCAAGAGTGATCTTAAAAGCTAACTTAAGTGTCCTGTCACTGTCAACCAACCTTGTAGAACTTGGACACATCAAACCTCTCCCCTGGCTTCTGCATGTGCATCAGTTCAAGGTCAATCCCAGTCTCATGAAGGTCACTTGCTTTTGTCTTAGCCTGGCGCTGAAATTCAAATATTAAAAAACTGTGACCAAAGATCCACAGAAACACATAAAACGTTTGGCACAAACATGTCCTTGATGACCTTGAGAATGCTGTTGAAGGTGAACTTAGCCAACTGAAGTCTTGGCAGTCAATGCAATGTTGGGGTGATTATATTCTATATACCTGATATTGAGCATTTCCTGCATGTGGATCATCATTGTTGGTGAACAGCATCACTCTCTTGTAGTTGATCTTCTGGGTGCTGAAACAAGTAGACAAAAGTCACAGTGATGTTAGATAAAAACCTTCTATGAATTTAAATTTTGAAATAGTACCTCAAGCCAACCTGGCCAAAATATGATGAAAATCTGCCCATTCAAAACGCTAAATACACCTTGTAGTTTGACATCCATCTTGCCATGACAATACCATTTGCATACGTGAAAGAACCTGTTCGAAATCAAATCCTGCAACCATTGAATCATTGACGACGACCTTCTAAATTACCAAATATGGTAACCATTTCAGAAAATGGCATGGGACATTGATGTAAATGAAATATATGCCGACTTCCCATGGAGGCATTGTACAGAAAGAAGTTCCAGCTATATGAGTTTAGCGGCGGTCTGTAAATAATCGGAGTCTGTCGAGTCCAGACAATCCAGTTATCAACAGCATGAGCATCGATCTGTGCAATTGGGAACCCGATGACATGTGTCAACCAAGTCAGCGAGCCTGACCACCCGATCCCGTGGTCTGTTACGACAAGCATAGTAAGCCTTTGTGGCAAGCATGGGTTGCTGAAGACCTATTCTACCCCGGATCTTCATGGGTATCAGGGATCAAGGACATACAATCTAACTATGTCACCACACCCAATTCACGTATGACTGCAAACTTCTCAGTGGCAATCCCTACAGACAACGACTAATTTAAACATGATACATACCAGTTTGAGAACATGCTAGCACATGTCCACAGAGCCTCACTGAGGGAGAAGGCATCGCTGTGACCATACTTGGTGCCAAACTTCTTGAAACCCTCTACAAAACAGAAAGCAGTCAGTAGCCATGACAACTGAACTCAGTTCTAGGAGCTTGATGCACATTGGTTGATTCAGAAGAAGTTGTTGATGAGGTCAGCAACACTGTGATAATTTTAACATTAATGTGTGGACTTTTACTGAGCTTACAACATGTATTATATAGAAAGAGATTTTACTAGACTTTGAGTTTTGGGCTGATGGCACTTACTCTCTTGTAGCTCCTCAAGCTCTAGAATACGCGGAGCACCCGGCTGGTCCAGAGTCTGAAACAACAAAATAGCAGTAAGAGACTTGGGTTTAAGGCTCCTGTGAACAGTAGTTTCATTATCATTGTTACATCATGGAGAGAATTCTATCATTTATATTACATCCACAATCACAAAAAAATATTGATGTCAATTCTAAAATAACCGCTACACTGCTGAAGGACTTGGTGAAACATTAGCAGCTTCTGGTTACAGATCAAGTTTGTTGTCAGTAAGGCCTAAAAAAAAATGTTGTGGTTCCGATTACCCAACCGACCCTTGAATTCCAGTGCCGACCCTATTTTTTTTCAAGCAGAATGAATAAAATATGCTTTCAGATACCAATGTTTTTTCCCGGCACCAACAGATATTGGTCATTCTGATAGAGAAAGTCGATATGATGGCCGCAAGGTTGATTGAATAAACAATTACATATTAATAAATGTGTTATTAGTTTGTATTTTACTTTAAAAAATATGTAAAAAAAAAAAGTTTTGACCTACCTACCCTAAATTTTAAAGAGGTGTAATCAGAACCACAACATTTTTTTTTATTTGGCTTAATGGTACAATACATCAGTGTCCTGACCACACAACTATTACAGAGTAGTCCTGACAAAAGCATAGTGCTTTATCCAACAAAAAGATGTGCAACATAGCTCACCTGGTAGATGTAGATACGTTTGAAATCAGTTGGATTTTCACTTTTGTCCTGGAACATAATAACAACAAAGATCACCATCAGCGCTTACAACAATCACAGGTTTTTACATAGCTCTTTGAAACTTAACCAAACCTGAAGAGGTTTTAAATTCTTAGAAGAGAGTCGTCCTTGGGGTACATATTATGCATTTTCCAAGCTGAAAATGTCCTGTGACAGTTGTATCAATGTTTTTTGAATAAAAAGATTGTACAATAAATAAACTTTTTTATTCATTATACGGCTCCCACCTAGGTGGAGTTACCTCCCGTTAAGCATGCTAACCAACTGGGTAAGCACCTAGGCCCGTGATCATCATTCCTTCTGCTGAATATATCAGTGAACAGAATTGCGGAGTAAGCGGGAGGCCCTAGCCCTCAAGGGCGACTCTCTTCGAAGAATTTAAAACCTCTTCAGGTTTGGTTAATTCTTCTTCATAGAGAATGCGCCCTTGGGGTACATATTATGCATAAACACAGACTCCCAAAGACCGGAGGCCAGGGAGGAGGAATTCTGTCCAAGCACACACAAATAGCTATCGTTAATGGGAAAAAAATGTAACAGACGCCATGACACTCACCTGTCGATGTCCCAGTTTCGGCGTCACAGAGGCATTATGGGAGAGGAACCCACAGGAGGATTTGTGCTCAAAGACGACCTCCAAATGTTAGCATAGTAAATCACACGCCTTGCCGAAAGCAGCCGGAGCTGCTCTGGAGGAAGCCGAGCCTCCCCCAAGGCGACTGAAGTGAATACACACTCATCCACGATATAGGTACCATGAACAGGAATCCTCCCCAAGCTGGTATCTCCGACAAGCTCCCGCAAGTCAAAACGGAGGCGAGAACCAGACAAGAGGGGATCGACCACGCCCTGGACTAACGATGGAAGAATGCGGAGCTGCGCTCGCGAGGCTGCCAAGGGGCAAACGCCTTCCGCCTGGCAAGTGGAACTCAGCCGAAGTCCGAGCTGCCAACAGGCACCGCTGCCTGGGGTAGGTACTGCAATCCGTTGCCGGACCTCCCGCAGAGCCGAAGAAACGGAAGGCACCCTCCTGCTCCTCGACCTCCCCAGTATCCATCGACTCGGCGCCTCGAGCCCGAAGTCTGAGGCTGGGTCTCCTCGCTAAGAGGACCCAACCCCGGACCCGTGGGCTGCCTAGCACTAGGAACAACAGAGAGGGAGGAGCAGACAGAGTGCCCAGCGCCAGTGCCTGCAGGCATGCACGGACCCGGTCTCGAGACGCTGGAGGCATACTCAGGCAGAACTGGTGCCTCCCGCCTCATGGGGCGGGAGGGCGAGGGATCGGAACCCTAGGAATCATCAACGGGTCCCTGCGCCAACTCCGAGAGGGGGACTGGGAGCACCTCCTCCGGGCAGCCGAGGCGGCCCGGACCGAAGCCAGAGGCAGCTGGTCGACAGGACGCCAAGGCCTAGGGATCGAGCCGGACTCGGCGATCCCCCAGACTCCTCCTCCGCCCCACGCCAGAGTGGGCGAGGAACTCCTGCTGGAGTTCTCCAACCGTCTCATGAATCCAGGGACCTCATCGAAGTCTGCGTGCTGCTGAAACATCTGTGTGATTATAGTCATGTCAAAACCGCTACCAGGAGCGGGAGAAGGGGACTGGCTACGGATTTTTTCCCCTTAGAGCTGCTTTTTAGCCTTAGACGGGGACCTGGGTAAGTTCCCCTCCGCCACGCATTTCTCTGTAAAAGAGGAAGTCGGCCGCCCTCCTCTTCTGGGCCCGGGAAAACCCCAGACAAATTTCACAAGTTTGGCCTCATGGCCGGTCTTTCAAAGCACCGCGATACACACATAGGTGGTCTGTCGGCCCGATGGAATACTCTGCCCACAGACCCGAACAGGAGGAAAACGCCTGAAAGCAAACACGCAAGCATGTAGCTAACGCGCGGACCAGCAGCTAATATACACATAGAAAACATTGAAAATAATGCGTGAAGGCTACCACGGGAAGAAATAGTTGGTTCAATACGCAATATTACAACCACGTTGGCACGCTTAAACTTCCCCGCCATGGCAGAGCAACATGTGCGTAAAACCACGGAAAGTTAACATAAAATAATTAATACAAAGTCACAATTATGAAACAACCGACCGCAATACAACTGTCACAGGACATTTTCAGCTTGTAAAATGCATAATATGTACTGGGAGTCCTGAAGAAGACTGGGACTCCAGGGCATATGTATTCTGAGAGTCCATTTCAAAATCGGGGAGTCCATCAAATTGCATGCAGTCATTGATCATGGATGCTTCCCATTTGATAATGATTATGTTATAATATGTGTCACTTTCAATGTCATTAGAATAATGATTGTAAACAGAATGTTTATATTTTAGTATGGGATATCATTACAAACTCAAAAGTTCTTTCCCAGAAAAATATTATATTGCCCACAAGGACGCACCAGATTTTAGTTTGGGTGTACTTCATTAAATTAATGTGTCCAATATGCAGGAATCACTCGTCCCGTAAAACCCTGCAATCATGGGGTTCATGAGCCCTGGGACCTATTCTTTCCTGGACTCCACCCACAGAGACAAGTAAGGAGCACTGAGAACATATAACTTACCTAGACTCCACCACAGAGACAACACTGATAACCTATTCTTACCTAGACTCCACCCACAGAGACAAGTAAGGGGCACTGATGACCTATTCTTACCTAGACTCCACCCACAGAGACAAGTAAGGGGCTCTGGGACCTATTCTTACCTAGACTCCACCCACAGAGACAAGTAAGGGGCACTGATGACCTATTCTTACCTAGACTCCACCCACAGAGACAAGTAAGGGGCTCTGGGACCTATTCTTACCTAGACTCCACCCACAGAGACAAGTAAGGGGCACTGATGACCTATTCTTACCTAGACTCCACCCACAGAGACAAGTAAGGGGCACTGGGACCTATTCTTACCTAGACTCCACCCACAGAGACAAGTAAGGGGCTCTGATGACCTATTCGTACCTAGACTCCACCCACAGAGACAGGTAAGGGGCTCTGGGACCTATTCCTACCTAGACTCCACCCACAGAGACAGGTAAGGGGCTCTGGGACCTATTCTTACCTAGACTCCACCCACAGAGACAAGGTAAGGGGCTCTGGGACCTATTCTTACCTAGACTCCACCCACAGAGACAGTAAGGGGCTCTGGGACCTATTCTTACCTAGACTCCACCCACAGAGACAGGTAAGGGGCTCTGGGACCTATTCTTACCTAGACTCCACCCACAGAGACAGGTAAGGGGCTCTGGGACCTATTCTTACCTAGACTCCACCCACAGAGACAGGTAAGGGGCTCTGGGACCTATTCTTACCTAGACTCCACCCACAGAGACAGGTAAGGGGCTCTGGGACCTATTCTTACCTAGACTCCACCCACAGAGACAAGTAAGGGCAAGGGACCACTCTTACCTATTCAGAGACACTCTAGACTCCACCCACAGAGACAGGTAAGGGGCTCTGGGACCTATTCGTACTCTAGACTCCACCCACAGAGACAGGTAAGGGGCTCTGGGACCTATTCTGCACTCCTAGACTCCACCCACAGAGACAGGTAAGGGGCTCTGGGACCTATTCTTACCTAGACTCCACCCACAGAGACAAGTAAGGGCCTCTGGGACCTATTCGTACCTAGACTCCACCCACAGAGACAGGTAAAGGGCTCTGGGACCTATTCGTACCTAGACTCCACCCACAGAGACAGGTAAGGGGCTCTGGGACCTATTCGTACCTAGACTCCACCCACAGAGACAGGTAAGGGCCTCTGGGACCTAGACTCAGAGACAGGTAAGGGCCCTGGGACCTATTCGTGCCTAGACTCCACCCACAGAGACAGGTAAGGGGCTCTGGGACCTATTCGTACCTAGACTCCACCCACAGAGACAAGTAAGAAACACTAACTTATTCTTGCCTAGATTCCACACAGGGAAATACATGCAGTCTAATGGTGTTGAGAGGAATATAACAGCCAACTTACTGTTCCAAAGAAGACAACACCCATGAAATCCTTGTCACTGCCTATGATCTTGTTCTGCATGCAAGTCTGTACACACTGAAACACCAGATTGAGTGAGTAAGTGAGTTGGGTTTAACTCCATTATGCATAGAACTCCATATGTATCTGGCCATCTCAGCTTGATACAGGAGAAATACTGAATTGATGCATGACTTGAATGTTTACGAATGTGATGAAACCCATGTGCATGGGTTTGGTGTAGATGAAACCAGAAACAAAATTCGGCTAAATGCTGGTTACAAAAAATGATCGTAAGGTTGCATTGCCTTTCATGGCTGGGCCACTCACGTACCCTGGAAAACAACATTCAGTTATTCTACATATATTCTAACTCATTAAAATCAGATCTCAGCTCTCACCAAACACAAATACATTTAGATGTGTATGTACATGAAATGGCATGAATAACAAAGACTGACTGACTGAGTTTGATTTTACGCCGCTTTTAGCAATATTCCAGCAACATCACGGCGGGGGACACCAAAAATGGGCTTCACACAATGTACCCATGTGGGGATTCGAACCCGGGTCATCGGCGTGACGAGCCAACGCTTTAACCACTAGGCTACCCCACCGCCCCTGAATAACAAAGAGACTAAAAGTAGTAGAACAGTACCGAGCTCAACAATCATGTAACAAATAAATACTTGATGGCATAAAAGATGTAAGAGCTCTGTTCAATTGTGGCAATAAATATAACCCGCCAGAAAGACACCTCAATATTCTTTGTTTTAAAACACTAAAAATTTAACAGATAATACTAAAACAAGCTTTTCATATGGCACACAATATTACTATCTTCTACTCCAATCTTCTACAAGTGTGATTTCATTTGTTTTGAACAGAAAAAGCAAACTATGTTTCAAGAAAGAAAGGAAACTGGAAAACATTTACTACAAAACAATAACAAGAAAGATACCATACAACATAATTAACATCGAAAAAGATTGATTAGATTGAGTTTCGTTTGCACCACTCTCAGCAGTATTCCAGCTATATAGAGGTCTGTAAATAACCAAGTCAGGACCAGACAATCCAGTGATCAACAGCATGAGCATCGATCTACGCCATTGGGATATGATGACATGTGTCAACCAAGACAGCGAGCCTGACCACCCGATCCTGTTAGTCGTCTCTCATGACAAGCATGGGTTGCTGAAGATTAATTCTTACCATTGAAGAAGATAAATACAGACGACAGCTGATGGTTAACATACCATGATCTAACCTGACAGTGCTTTGTCCTGGTGAACTAACAAACCGCCCAACAAGTCCAGGGCCCCGTTCCTCAAAGTGATCGTAACCCTAAGATGTTCGTAACTCCCATACTTTAACATAGACTTACGACAGTCGTAGCCCGCTACGATCGCTTTGAGGAACAGGGCCCTGGACTTGCTAGAGGTGTTATCATGGTTATGAGTTTTACAGACAAACAATGAGCAACACTGATCACATGATCTGGTGTGAAAACACGTAACCTAGTGAAATGTCCTTCACCTACCCTCATACAGACTTGGAAGTGAGATTCCTCATCGTCATCATCACAGTCAAACATGTCCTTCGTGCAGTCCACCAAGAAGATCAGACCATCTCGGCTTCCAAACCGAAACTGTAGACAAAGTTTGCAATCACAAAAAAATAGAATAATTAATATGTGATAATTACGTGATATCAGCTCTGAAGCCTGGACAAGCCCAGCTAACTGCCAAGTCACATATGCAGAGGGTACTATTTTAAAACATTTTTATGACCTGCACCATATGCAATTTATCAGGTTCCACCATCAAAATACTGCTTGCTCTGTGTTATAAACAGTCCTATTGCTGTCACTTACAAAAGATGATTCTTTATCATCAGGGTGAGGGGGATATTTATAACCAACTTCATTATCTCCAGAAAAGCTCTCATTACTCATTGTCTGAAGAGGACTTTTGATTTTTAACTGACAGTTTCATGAATAAATTTCATTTCTGGTAAAATCAGCTTTCAACTTGTTGCATTACACATAATAACTGGCTCTACATGAGATGTGACAAGACTGTGTATAGTGTGGACTGTGTCACTGATTACTGAGCATGAAAACAAGACATTTTGGGGTTCTGGAAATTGATCCACTTGATGCCCATGACAGAAGACATAATTAATGCTGTAAATGTATACCAATAAAAATACCTCCATGCACTTGTGGTGGAAAATGTTACCTGCACCAGGTGCTACCTAACAATTAAAGTTATCTGCACTGGTAATAAGTTACCTGCACTGATGCAGCCTGGACATAGTTAAATCGATCTCAGTACATGTTTGGGCAAATGTGAGGCATGGCAACTATGTGAGAAAACCTACTTTTAGTCCTTGCCTCCCAATGTATGCAGTGGTGGCAGGCTAGCAAGCCTTAGAGGTGTTGGAAATGTTTTCCAGTTTTGTACCTTCTTTGATTTATATGACCCAGGACAGCATTTTCACTTTTCAATTTGGTGACACCAACTATTGTGCTGTCAAGAGTTTCAACATGAACTCACTTCATTTTCAGTCATATCACAATTATAATTCTCAATCTGACAGACACCATAGGCTGGATGACTCCTACAAAGGTTCAGATCCATTTGTTTTGTAGGATTAGAGATGATGTCAATAATGCTAAAACAAGTTTAGTTGTACGCCGCACTCAGCAATATTCCAGCTACATGGCGGTGCTAAAACAAGAAATAACTCCATCAAATATCAAACCTACAATATGTTATTCCTGAAAACAAATAAAGATTTCATAATTGTTCAAAATGATACATGCAGAATGTTATGCAGAGTTAAGGCCTAAAATTATATATATTTGTACAATGGAGACCATGTTTAAAATTGGATCAGAATTCTGTGAGAAGTTTACAGAAACCAATGACAACTGCTGACATTTATCACACTAGTATTTAGTCAGTGTATGAAATAAGCCAAAAACCCAGCCAGACATCAGGGCTGGTAACTTCAAAATGTTACCAGCCCCAAATGTATTTAACCAGGCCAAATACCAAGATATGGTGAATTTACTCAGATGTATGGAACATCTAACAAATTTTACCAGACCATTGGCCTGGCTAGCTCTAAATTTAGACTGTCCGTTAGAAATCTAACCCGTCTCTGGCGGTCGAACGGGCCCTATTTCATACACTGCTTTAGTACTTTCACAGGTGATGTAAACATTAAGGTCGACAGCTGTGTGAGAACTTGCACTGGTGCAACCCGAAAGTGCAAGATGCAACCTCATATTTATAACAACTTTGACCCAGTGCATGCTAATATTTCGCTATCCAAGAACTTCAGCTGGAAAACAGAATGATGAGGAATTGGCCTGGAGCAGTGACTCTGATGTCTACACACTGATGGAATTAGTGTTGGGAAGTGGTAAAGAACTCACAATTGATGATTGGTACATTACCAATGAGCAATCATCGAAAATAAATTGGTTAGCAAACATTTTTTTTAAACATAACCAATACCTGTGGGTCAAAGTCATCATCTTCCTGATCTTCGTCATCCTCCCCATATCGAGCATATCCAAAGTCAGCCATTACTATTATTCGTCAGTACCTGAGGAAAATATGGAAAAAATAATTTCTTAATCAATACTCTCACCAATTAGTACAACTGACAGCACTTGAAACAGGTGCAGCTTAGCAGTAGCAAACATTTACTGTAGCTAGTTAACAGTGGTTAACTTGCATCTTTAATCATTGTTTTGCCTGTACTGTCATATTGCATTTCTCTTTGTGTATGTGTTAGTGTGTGTCTGAGTATGTTGGTGCTGGGTTTTGTGAGGTAGATTTGACATGTTAATGTGGATATCTTACTGTGCAGAAGAATTATGAATTGACATTTTTCAGGTCCTGACGGGATGTGATCGATTACAATGTCTACACAAATGTCAATGCAACACTCAGACTAGATGAATTAAATAGTATTCCAGTTAAGTCACACATTGTCAGGTGAATGTGTGAGGAAAGTCCCACAAGCGGTGGTATTTAACTGACAAACCTAGAAAACTAATCATGGAGTGCACACAACGATAGGTATCGGGAGTGTCAAAGGGACATAACTCTGCAAGCAAAATTGCAGTGGCTCAAGTGGCTTGGCCTCCCACTGTGGTCTTTACATATGGAGGCAACATTAAAACAATATACTTTCAGACACACATTTGCTGTTAAATGATATCAGCTTGAAAAGTATAAGAAAGGGATCTTGTTTTATTTTTGTGCATTCATACTTCGTCTAAAAAATGAATTTTGCCTTGGTCTTGACCATTGAATTTGGCAAACACTGACTTTATTTACTTGTGAGGATTTGATTTCATTGTTTCATGTGTGATCCTCTGATGTCATATTGCAGTGGCTTAAACTGATTTGCTGAAAGCTATGAGTTACAATATCCGAGAAGTTACATGATGTCTCTGTATGCCAAATCAGATTGTGCCAGACAGGAATGTTCAATGTGATCATGATCATAAACGCCCAGTAATTTGAGTTTATCACTGAACATTACATACAGCTTGAAATCGGGTGTTGTGTCTGGACTTGATCTGATGAGGCTTGATGAAATATATATATACACTGTATTGTAAGCAAACATTTTAGCCATGAAATTTAACCTCAGCATTTTTATACCCAACCCAAATAGTCGAGTTTTGACAGTATGGCATGCACTGGACTGGCGTTCCAATTGATGAACCGCCATGTATACGTTAGCATAGCAATCTGGTGAAATTATAAACATGGCCTACTTTGTCTCACTGTGAGAAATACTGTGGTTAAACTAAGGCTTTGATTGAACGATTAATACAAATAGACAACTTCTGAACCGCCTTAGTAATGCAACATTATGTCAAACTGTCTTCGAGGGGAAGAATACAACCGATCACAAGCTATTGCCTGTGCCCACATGATATGTTTTTCTTGTACCGGTGAATTTGCACCTCCTTTCAAGGTTTCGCCTACATTTTAGTTGAGATTGAATGCAATTTACCCAATGACAACTGTTGTAAATGACGGCATTCGGTTGATCCTAAACGGAATTATATAGACATTGTACAAATAGGTTAATAAAATAGACATTTATTACAATATTACCTTCACCTCGTAAAACTTTCGCAAGCTTGCAAACGGAAGCGAGATACCGGAAGTAATCTTTTCGCGCCACAACGCATGCGTAGATCTCAATTCCGTCTCCAGCCATTTGGAGTGGTGCTGGAAAACATTAGGCTTACTGTGTTAGAATCACTATTTACCAGCAACATGGCTTATAATTACGTGGTGACAGCTCATAAGCCAACTTCCGTCAATGCTTGTGTTACAGGTTATATGTTTGATCATAATCAGTTATCGCATTAAATGACATAACAATGCGCTGTGATCTACTTCCTAAATATTCAGAATAGCCAACTGCATCAATGGAGGACACTATACACAAATCACTTCACACTATTCAGCAGAATCATGAGACTATAATTTTAATGCGATTATTTGCTTTTAGTATAATGAGACAGGGATTGGGGTGTGTTCACTTCAACACAAGTCCCTTTGCATAAATGTCTAACACTCATCAAATTTCTTCTTAAGAAATTGAATCACAAATGCTATGACATAATCATGATGGTCTTGTTGCTATTATAGGAAGATAGAGCATTATTATGTAAGAGAATGCACATGCATAGATCTTACACCAAATATTCTGATAATGTTCCCCGGAAAGACTTCCGCCCGTATCTCCCCTTAAATTTCATTCTAGTCAAATCATATCACTTGAATGTATATATCCTCGAGTCATCTGTTTTCGTTCAACATCTGTTTTCGGTCGGCCGTTTGCATGTTCATTTCTCGCGGTTATTAGCGAGATATTACGTCACCAGACAGGTTACTTTTAGCAGGAGGTCAGCTGCTTCAGCTCTGACTAACAAAATGCTTCGTGTGAAGTTTAGTAAGGTACATGATTGCAAACACATGTAAATGTTACGTTTTAGAACCGAGTTTACTAATGCATAAATTTTCATGTAATCAAAATGCTATATCTAAAATATCGTCAGCTCCACCTTTTCAGTATAGCGTTGTTCGCTTGTTTATGGTATGACGATCATTATCACATGACATATCACGCATGCTGCCGCCTTAAAAAAAATATATGGAAACTGGATAGGGTCATCTCTTATTACGATTTTCCAAAATACTCATTTAATTTTCGAAACTGCAATGAATATTTCTGTGTCATGGGCCCAGCTAGTGTACTCATCCTGCATGCTGTCATTGGGTCCACCTCAAGCTGTGCACCCCCTTATGTGTAGTGAGATCTTCTGATGAGTTTTGGTGCCCTTGTCGGCCCGAACCGGAGGATTGAAACATGCCTGGACATGTCATGTAACTAGCAAAGTCTTATAATGATTAACTTTGACATGAAATTATTACGACCATAGTTTCTAATAATAATTACTGGAACTATTACAAATATTCTTTTTGGACTGGATGTTTATCAACTTTATATTATAAAAATATCAGCATAGCACGAATACTGCTATTCGATTTCTGTTTTACGGAGAACCAATGAAGTGAACGAAAACAGATGACGTCACTTCCGCATTCACGATCTTTGCATAGCGAACTATGAGGCCTGCTGTGAGGGTGAAACACGAGGTTAATCCGTCAGATATTTGAATATCATAAATAAATAACAAACAAACGAGGTAGGTTTGTTTATTATCGATTTATTCATGCACTTTATGTTACATTGGTCGGCAAACCTTACATGACCGAAAACCGAATACACAAGGATACCTCATCTGATTACAATGAGTTTTAACATGTTTCGGTAAGAATTCCGCCCGTAACCCCTGCTTGAAATGTATTCTGTTTATTATGATTATTTCAATGGGTTAGGGTTTAAATTTGGCATTATGTTAGGTTTAGGGTTACGGTTGGCTTTTTATAAAAAAACATTTATTCTTACTATATACCTAAGGCATAGAATAAAAAAACCCGGGAAATACGGGCAGAAATCTTTCCCATGTTTCTTTATTTATTATATTTAACATACTGAATGACATATCCAACTTCTAAAAATGCCACTCAAAGAAATTTGTCCTCATTGTTAAAATTTAGGGGGGATACGGGCAGAAGTCTTACCTTTTATTTAATATATTTTTAACGTTTTAGTAAAACAAAATGTTTGCAGGCAACTTCACATCTCCTGATGATTTGAACCTTATTATTGCCAAAAACACTCGCATGGAGCTGTATGTGGTCACACCAGAAGGCCTCCGCCCAGTGAAGGAAGTTGGTATATATGGAAAGATAGCTGTCATGGAGTTATTCAGACCCCCGGTATGTATAGAGTTTTATTGCCATTTTTATTGTTTATATATTTGGAATATTGAACTATGTAAGAGCTTTGTAGTCCCTAAACTGAGAAAAGAGTGAGTGAGTTCAATTGGCTGATTATTGCTGCATGCTGCGGGAAACTAAAATCTCTCACTCACTGAGTCACTCATTCACTCTTCTTTCAGTTTAGGTAAAAGAGCAATGTACTGTTCATTTCTGAATGTCCTTCAATCTAAATTTTATGAAATATGTGCTTTCTGTGTACAGGGAATTTTTTAACTAGAACTGTATAATATCACTACTCCTTCCTGAAGTTTACAAGTCTCAAATGGATTTGTGTTTATTTCTGATATCATGTTGTGATTTGTCTAATCACAATTTCAACTCCATTTTAAAGGTAATTGCTTGAGCCAACTGTTATTTGTTGGTTATCTCTTGAACAGGGAGAAACAAAGGATCTACTGTTTGTATTGACGGCTCGCTATCACGCCATGATCCTGGAATGTCAGCAGGAAGGGGACACACTGGAAATTATCACACGTGCACATGGGAATGTTCAGGTAGGAAGCAATAGTGATCATGTAGAATAAGGTATTTGTTGCCAGGGCATGATTTAAGAGATGTTAACCTACTTGCACCAGGTGCAACCTAAGGTTAATAACCTAGTTGCACCAGCCAACATCCAGTTGCATTGCTTTTATTGCTGTATGTAATGAAAGAAATATGTTATTGAATTATTTAGATGTTTTATTTCAGAAGTTTACCCATTGAAAAATTGACTTGCACCTGGTGCAATTTAGACTGATGACTAGGTTGCACTTTGTAAAATTGGGTTGCACCAGTGCAGGTAACAAAGCACTAAATCGAGCCCTGGTTGCCATAATGCCTTTCAGTGTCTTAGATATGGATGATGTATTAGGCCAAATAAAAACAATGTTGTTCTGATTACACCTCCATTAAAATTTAGGGTAGGCAGGTAGGATTTATTTTTTAGAAGTTAAGTATGAACTAATAACAAATTTATCAATGTGTAATTGTTTATTCAATCAAGCTTGCGGCTATCATGTTGACTAACTCTATCAGAATGACTGATGTCTGTCGGTGCCAGGAAAAAACCAGTAGTATCTGAAAGCTTATTTTATTCATACTGCAAAAAAAAAAAGGGTCAACATCAAAATTCATGGGTCGGTCGGGTAGTCGGAACCACAACATGTTTTTCTTTAAGCCTTAAATTTGACAACTCAAGTTGTCTTTGTATAATGCACATCTCTGTTAGTGTTAACTTCTTCTCTGAAACTGATAAACGAAAGGACCAGGCACTTTGCGTGCTTTGAAGGATCTTACATCATTTTGAAATTAGATTTGTTCATGGCATTGAAATAGGATTTATATATTTTTTTTCATGAAGTACATGTTTTTAGTAGAAGGTATACACTGTGTAGGAATTTGAAACATTGATATATCATGTGTAGGGACACAGATAGCATTCAATGTTTTTTCTCATTTAACTTGATCATATATAATGAACTTTTAAAGTAAATGGGAAACAGACTTTGAAAATCTATTCAGAGTCTTTTTCTCTGAAAGCAAGGTAGCAAAATAGTTTCAAAATGTCATGATGTGTGGACTTTCATTTGTTTTGTGCATAGAATTAAAATGTTTAGTTGTTACGCTTTTAAAAACAATTTTGAAATATGTCTTATTTTTTATGTTGACAAATGTTTTATTTTGTGTGCACTCCAGGATCGTATTGGTCGTCCATCTGAGACTGGCATCATTGGGATTATTGATCCTCAGTGTCGTGTTATTGGACTTCGATTGTATGATGGACTCTTCAAGGTTATCCCCCTTGACAGAGACAACCGAGAACTTAAAGCTTTTAATATCAGGTATTGACAGTGACGTGATCCACAGGCCCTCATGTCTTTGTGAGGATTAAAGATTAATTAAGTTTTTAGATGATCCCAGACTCGAAATGCTTCACAGTACAATACATCATGACAAGGCCGGACACTTCGATGTACCCCATCCGCCTGCTTTGCCGATTGCTACGCTATCATCGCATGTAATCGATTAAAACATAATGTAAACATAATCATGGATGATTGGCCTATCGAACACCACTCATGACACCTACCAATTCTTTATTGTTATTTCTGCAAGTCGATTGAAACCTGATTTTGACCCTCAACTAAATGGTTTAGTCACAAATGGATGACGATATGTCTGCTCAAAATGGTGTGGTCAAGGCAAGCCCTCTGGTTCATTGAATCTTGTTAAATATACATTTACAATTGATGCTTTCTTTTGAGAAGCCATTACCTTGTCATGATTGATTGTACTGTGAAGCATTTTGAGTCCGGGGTCATCTCAAATTTTTTATGATTTATAAAAAAAAATATCTTTAAAGGTCACATGCTACCAAAAAACAACAAACATAATTAAAACACAATTATCACTTATTCATGACATATAATATACATTGCTGATTCTGAAAAAAACAAATTAACAAAATTATATGCGTACAATCGCAAATCAAAAGTGCCATATTTGGTACTTGGGTTTACTTCCCTCGAAACGAAGCACCCAGGAGACCGAAGCCAGTCAGAGCGGGTGGGTGTGCACTCAAGTGTAACGAAGACTTTCATTGGCTGGTTCAGTTTGCCGAAACGCTCTGGGCTCTTTGTGTGTGTATAGAGATGTTGGGTTTTGTAAATACATGCTCATTTTTACTGCGTTTGCGTTCGATCCAATCAACAAATACTGAGATGGTGAACTACTGCGTGGCTGGAAACTGTTGTTCGTTCAAGTACAGAGCAGGACCTGAAACTGACTATCTGAGTATGCACCGGTATCCGGCCGATCCAGTCATCTGAGGAAAATGGATGCTGTTTGTTTGCAACCCACAGACATAATAACATGTCATGTGTACAAGTATCACACCTGCCTGTCTGTGTAATTACATAATGTAACAGGGACAGAACTAATTTACTAATTTCTAATGCTACACTTTCTAATGCTCACAAAGCACTAAGGTTCTTCAAAAGTTAACTGGTGTTAAAGAATGAGAAATAACCTAGCCTACCCCAAAACCCCCAAAAGCAAGATGTGAAAGCATTTAAGAAAAAGTATGGGACCAGTTTATTTTTTTTACTGCAGACAAAAGATGCTTGTAATCACAAGAAACATCTTTTGTTCTCCAACTTCGACCACAGCGATAATCCTTGCACGCATCACTTGCTGTGTTTTTACAAGTCGCCTTCCCGGTTCAATCCGCGAAAACCTAATCACTGCGCATGCACTATGGGCGCAGCACAGCTGTTGGAACCACTTTTCACCCCAGCTCTGGGGTGAAATTAGTGAATCGTTTGAACACCGATTTTGTGGGGTTTTTTTCATCCCGTTATTTTTCAACTTTATAAGTTGAATTTGCATTTTGGATAATTTGTTACTGTAAGTCCATACCAAAAGGTATCAGAATCTGCATAGTTTCCTTTAACCTTTAACTTGCAAAGACATGAGGGCCTGTGACATGAGTGAGTGAGTGAGTTTAGTTTTACGCCGCACTCAGCTATGTTCCAGCTATATGGCGGCGGTCTGTAAATAATCGAGTCTGGACCAGACAATCCAGTGATCAACAGCATGAGCATCGATCTGCGCAATTGGGAACCGATGACATGTGTCAACCAAGTCAGCGAGCCTGACCACCCGATCCCATTAGTCGCCTCTTACGACAAGCATAGTCGCCTTTTGTGGCAAGCATGGGTTGCTGAAGACCTATTCTACCCCGGATCTTTAGTTGCAAACATGGTTTATATCTGTTCCTCTTATGTATTCTATATCTCAGCATGTCACCCATGCATATTTCTTATTCATTGTTTATTGAGGATCTAACTGAATGTTGTTGTAACCAAGCACTTGTTCAGGTCATGAGTTTATGCATGCAAGTCCATTCAGTGTTTCAATTGCTAATTCATATGTCCATTATCCAATCAGATTGGAGGAGCTGACAGTGATTGACATGCAGTTTCTCCATGGTTGTTCCACACCCACTGTCATCCTGGTACACCAGGTAAGCTAAAAATCAATACCCTTGCATGTTGGTTTCACCAAAGAGGTAAACATCTAACTTCTTAGCTCTACATCTTTAAGCTATTGGCAGTGATCCTGCTCCTAAAAGCCCATGTTTTGATGTGTAATGTGATTCAATTGTGTAAAAAAGCAAACACAAGCAGTGAGTGAGTGATTTGTGTGTTTACCAGACTTTAGCAGTATTCAAGCAATATCACAGCGGGCCATACCAGAAATTGGCTTGACACATTGTACCCATATGGGGAATCGAACTGGGGCCTTCGGTGTGATGAACGAACGCTTTAACCACTGGACTACCCCCAAACAGAAGCAAATACTTTTTTGCAGAGATCCCAATGATCTCTACATTGATGTGTATCCTTCAGGACCAACATGGCCGCCATGTGAAGACTTATGAGATATCTCTGCGTGACAAAGAGTTCCAGAAGGGGCCGTGGAAGCAGGATAATGTAGAGACTGAAGCCTGCATGGTCATCGCAGGTGAGGAGAGGCTTCTCTATCTCTGTAAACTGGGATAATTAATCAGGGCAATAACAGTGTTATGTTGTCTGTTTATGTTGTGGTTCGATGAAGAATTTTTTCACTGTAGATTAAGAATTAACATGTAATTATTCACCGTAATACAAACTGTCTTCACGAGAAGAGGAAGTTTTCAAGGCAGTCTCTTAGTGTTTAGCAACATTCTCTTGTGAAATCACCAATAACCCAGCTTCTTTTCCATACAAGGATACAATGTATTTCAGTGGTGAAGAATAGTGAAACCATATTAGTGTGCTTATAAAACATCTTACTTTGTTGATTACCATTTGTAAACATTTTTTCTTTAGTTCCAGAACCCTTTGGAGGAGCTCTGATTGTAGGTCAGGAGTCCATCACCTACCACAAGGGAGACAACTATATACCTGTGGCGCCGCCTGCCATCAAGGTCAGTGAAAGAGTTGATAAAAACTGGACGTGATACTGACACAATACTAAGTTTCTGTGTATGCTGGGAATGTTCAGGATTATGTTTGTTGCTGTTTCAAGTTTCCTGATAAGAATTTATGGAATCCGAGTTGCTAACCTTTCTTTAATGAGTATTTTTAAATCGGTATTAATATGGTATAATGTAGCTTTTGAGGCAATTGCTGGAGATTGTTTGTGGAATCACTCAACATTTTAACACTTTTCATATGTATCATTATGACTATTTTGAATTTATTTACCACTTTTGGATAAGACATTCATCTCTAAGAAAGCATCATAATTTCTATATTTTTAAACTTATCCTATCTCACGGTATGCACTTCTCTCTCTTGATTCGACGCTGAGTGGAACGATGTAAACTTTTTCTCCCTAGGCCTCTCTTGTCCATCCGCCCAAGCACTCCATGCTACCCTCATTATAAGAGGCATGCTCCACTAGCTACCCACGTGACTATCTCGGAATCATCATTCTCCTTCTTGTCGCACATGAGTGTGAAGGTGTTTTGCTTTACTCAACGTTTTCATCATAAGTCTACAACAGGGGGAAGACTGACCAGCCAAGAAAGAGGAAGAAATGTTCGCAGTGTAATAAGGTGTTCTCTGCGAGTGATCCACATGCATTTTGTGTTGACTGTGTGGGACAGTGTAAATGGGACTCTCGTTGCGATAAATGCAAGGATCTTACCTTGGAGGCGTTTGGTGACTACACTCGGGCTTGCGCTCGTCGTGTTGCTGACAGAGCTCGTTATGGAGCTTCGCTAGATGGACCCAGTCCCACCAAGAAAGCCAAGTTTAAGCGCCCAACTTCGCTTGCTAACCGGGTCACAGTCCCCAGATTGAAGCAGTTTTCATGAGAGCGTCGCCAGACTCTTATCTGAAGACCTTCTGAATCTGCTTGGCTCTCAACATTCCAGCCCGAAGTCGCTTCGGAGATCTTCGACCACGCCCTGGGTAGTGGTTGTCGAAGTTACTGCTACCACCCCTCAAGACTCATTTTCAACATGAAACTTTTCAATGCTCACTATCTCCAGCGCCCGCCTCACTTCAGGATGGTATCGATTGTCTTTCTTCGCACCATCCTGAAGAAAGGGATGTCTTGGTTTTTCTTGTCAGCCAAGACCTTAAAGATGCATATCTTCATGTGCCCATTCATCTGGATTCTCGGAAATTCCTCCGGGTTCATGTTCCAAGGGATCCATTATCAATGGACCGCCCTGCCTTTCGAATTTCCACAGCACCTTGGCTATTTACCAGGATCACCAAGCCGATCACCAGGTTTCTTCATCTCCACGGGGTCGTGTTCGAAAGTTACATAGATGACTGCATCCAGGCACAGAGAGACCCAGTCATTCTTCTACGTCAGTTGGGAGTTTAGTTGGGTTCACTGTTAAACACTGCGAAGTCGGAACTAACACTGACCCAGACCCTACAATTCATCGGGGCAACTTTCGACACTCATCTCGGCCTGATTTTCGTCCCCCAAGACAGATGGCTGAAAATTCAACGTCTAGTTCCGTTAGTACTGTTGCAGGCCAGGACCTTACGGCAGTGGTAGGAACTTTTGGGCCTCTTGACATTGGCACAGGCATTGACACGGTGGGGGACACTTGCTTCACGCTTGTATCTCGTCTCAGAGAATCAGTTGATTCGTCTTCCAACCCCTTACGTCCTTTTCTTCAGTGGTAGCTTGTAGAACAGAACGTTTGCGCCGGAGTTTGTTTGATGCCGTTCATTCCACCGCACCACTTGTTCGTCGACGTGTCGCTCAAGGGTTAGGGGGCTTTCTTTCTTCATCATCAGACGGCCAGGCTGTGGTTGTCTGCAGAACGGGACTTGCACATCAACGAACTCGAGGTCTTGGTGGTTCTTCTCGCCATTCGGGGGTCTTCCCTGCTGATTCAGAGTCAACTCCACGGTCGTCTGGTACATCAACCATCTCGGTCGACAGGCTCGCGAACCTTGGTCGGTGTCTGTGAGGGTCTTCGAAGCAGGGGCTGGCCCGATTATTGTCTATGACTTTAATTTACAGGGGTACCTTGAAAATCGTGGCAAAGTGACATCCATTTTCGCTGAGCTGCGTCCTTCTTCGGAGGTTGCGGCTGAACACCACATCGCTCGGGAGCACCCATCTCCCAACTTTGGCTTAGTAAGCCAAGGAGTTCAGGGGAACTCGTCACAAGCATAGGAGTTGCGCTAGTCGTAACAGGCCTCCCTTGTGCATCGCTATCACGCATGTAGTTTCCAGTCTACACAGTTCTACTGTTCCAGGGTTTTACATAGCTCAAACTGGGAGTCCTGGGGACTCAGGGCATAGTTTTTTGAGAGTCCATTTCCAAAATTGGGGGTCCATCAATTTGCATTAAATCAGTGATAATGAATGCTTCCCATTTGATAATGATTATGCTAAGATATGTGTTACTTTCAATGTCATTAGAATATTGATTGTAAATAGAATGTTTATATTTTAATATGGGATATCATTACAAACTCAGAAAGTTCTTTCCCAGAAAAAATTATATTTGCGTCCACAAGGACACACAGGATTTTAGTTTGGGGTACTTCACCAAACTTTTAAGGCCCAATACGCAGGGAATCTTAAGGCCCTGTAAAAAACCCTGCTGCCCGTGACTGTCAAGACATAGGGTATCTGGCGTCCGCCAGCCCAATCGTGGGATAAGTGCATACCGAGAGATGGGATAAGTTTAAAAATTTGAAAATGTTTATTTATATACTTATCCAATCTCACGCTTAACGGATTCCCACTTCATCCTCCCCCTTGCTATGCAGATTCTCCAAGATGGATATTATCCAGTGGCTCCAAGAATAAGAATGATGATTCAGAGATAGTCACATGGGTATCTGGTGGAGCATGCCACATGCTTTGCATGACAACTAGGAAGCTGTCTTCCTAATGCTAATGAGGGTAGCATGGAGTGCTTGGGCGGATGGACAAGAGAGGCCTAGGGAGAAAAAGTTTACATCGTTCCACTCAGTGTCGAATCAAGAGAGAGAAGTGCATACCGTGAGATAGGATAAGTATATAAATAAATATACAATTTATATTTAAAATTTTCAAGTTTGGATGTTTTAGTGTTTAAACAAATTCAAAATAACATGAGTATTTGTTAATGGCATACAGTCCTATGACAACAGGCAACAAGGTTACAATGCAGTGATGTCGTCATGTTCATAGTTTAATTAACATTGCGGCATAACTTGTGTTTACTTATGCAGTGAGCTGTATATAACTTTCATTTATATGTATTGTAGTATCTTTATCAGTTTAACATTTCTTGGCAGATTTGCTTTACCATGTTCATACTGTTTATACATCCATCTAAGTGTGTCATTACAGGACAAGATGCATTGCCAGATTTTAACACACTCAGTCGCCTTACAGGACAATAGATGAACACAGAACCAAGGACACCTCTTTCAGGTAGTGTGGAGCAATCACATTGTATACTTATTCATTGAAACTGTTTTTCAGCAAAATGCGCTCACATGTTACGGGAAGGTAGACACGAACGGCTCGCGGTACCTGCTGGGAGACATGGCTGGTAGACTATTCATGTTGCTGTTGGAGAAGGAGGAGAAGATGGATGGCACAGCTGTGGTCAAGGATCTCAAAGTGGAACTCTTGGGAGAGGTCAGTTGTCATGGTTACCACAGTTAACATTTCATGCCAATCCTCTTGTTGGAATTTCGCTGCAGAATAGGTCCCTACTACCACTTGCTATTTGTACTTTGTGGACATTCATATCAGGTCCAAAGTAACCCTTTTTGTCTCCTGTAGGAATTTCAGGAGAGAATATATTCCTAGTACTTGATACCTGTCTCCCAATTGTGATTCCACCCATGCTTGTCACAAGATGCAGCAAACGGGATCAGGTGGTCAGGTTCACTGACTTGGTTGACACTTTTGATTGTATCCAAATTACATAGTTAGATGCTCATGCTGTTGATCACTGGATTGCTTGGTCCAGACTCAATTATTTACAGACCGTGGCTAAATTGCTGGAATAGTGCGACATTAAACAACAAACAAGACAAAACAAATGGGATTCTAAGACAGTTAAAGTTCCCCGTATCCCTTGTTTGTTGTCTAATAAGCGAAAGGAATGAGAATTGCATCGTGGAGTAATATCAATAGGGTGGTTGCAGTTGATCACTGGCTCCAGTAGTGTGTATGACAGCTTATGCTGTAGGCCACAGGTTTGCATGGCTCAGACTCAGTATGTCCAGGTTGCCATGATTCAGCTGAAATATTACTGACCACAACATAATTCTTCATACAACCCATCAGTATCTTCATATCGGTCACTTACGTCTGTGTCTTAAACAATGTGTGAATAAACATGAATCTGTTAAGATTGGAATATAGTTGTAACAGCTGGCTAAAGAAAGAAAGGGATCTCAGCTGAGTTAGACATTTGTTGTCTTGCCAAACTTGACCAGTATCTTGTTTGTAATGTTAGTTCGTCAGTATGTTGACTTGAATGTGCCAACACATATTTATCCCCCCAGGGAATATAGTCGGCGCCTTGTCCATCATGTAACAAAAATTGGTAGATATATTAAGCAGAACGTAAGGTGGTGCCTTTTGCTATTTACAGATTTTTGGCATTTTTTTTCCTGATTTTAAATTTATGGGGCCCGGGCGATTTGTCATCTTCTGATGACTCTTGTTAGTTTTCTTGGTTTCCATGGAAAGCGTTTGGACATAGTCTCAAAGAGAGTGGGGTGAGCTTCATTTCGAGACACAATTGGAAACCGTTCAATATCTTTCTGCAAGACCTGGTAGATATATCAAACACAACCTAAAGTGGTGCCTTTTGCTATTTGCAGATTTTTGTCATTTTTATTTTTCCGGTTTCCATGGAAATGATTCGGACTTAGTCTCAAAAGGGAGGGGTGGGTTTCGCTTTCGGATCACAACTTCGAAAACCGTTCAATATCTTTTAACAAGACTTGACAGATATATCAAACAGATCTTGAAGTATTGCCTTTAGCTATTTGCAGATTTTTTGCTTTTTATTTTTTTCATGATTTCCATGGAAACAAGTTGGACTTTAAGTAACTGTCAGTTGATTTGTTCTCTCAAATTTATGGAGCCGGGGGATATGTCATCTTCTGATGACTCTGTTAACTTGTTGCTGCAGATAACTATACTGAATTGTCAGTGTTGCTTTAACATTCATCTTCCACCTTGCAGACAACAATGCGCAGAATGTATCACATACCTGGACAATGGTGTTGTTTTCATCGGTCACGTCTTGGAGACTCCCATCTAGTCAAGGTATTTAGTTATATCTTCTTAATGTTATACTTAGTAATGATAAGTTCAAGTCTGGAATATTCTTTTGTTATTTGATTTAGGCCACCACAGTTGCATGGCTTCAACATGTTTACTTAAGTCAAATATTACAGCAGTTTCAGGAGTAGTGCATTAATCAGATTTGTCCGTGTATTATGCTGCAGGATGTTTATATGAAACAGTGTTTGGTACCATATTACTAGTGTTTCAACTTCATCATGGACATTTTTTCAGTGATGATGATTACATTGGTCATATCTGTATTCTATTGAATAGGGACCGTCTCCGTGGTGTAGTGGTTAGAGAGCGTCCGCCCGAGAGCGGAAGAAGGTCGCTGGTTCGATCTCCGACAGCGTCATACCAAAAAGCGATAAAATATGGTACTTGTTGGTCCCTGCCTGGCCGCATTAATGGGTACAACAAGAACTGATCGGCTTCGGAGTCAGTATAATGTGTCTGAGTAGGGTATTCATGCTTCACTGCGCGTACGGTATCTCAGTGGGCGAGCACTATAAAACCAGCTTAAGTCTGGGCTAGTACAAGCAGCCGCATTACACATACACACGCATGCACATCGTCATATGAGCGAAAAATAACGTAAAAACCCAATTTCACCTCACCTCTATTGAATAGGGTGTGTTTCCAGCAAAGTGAAGATCGCCAGTTTGAAGTCACACCAAAAGACATGGAAAGATGATGCTTGTTACATGCCTAGCTTTCAGCATACCGAGATAAAACCAGAACGTGTCAGCTCAGTATACTGTGTGTAAATGGGGTGTCAGTGTTTAACTGCAGCATGGTATTTCAGTGAGCAAGTACCAGCCTTCAGTCAGGATTATACATGCAGCCTTGCATGCACATTCAACTCCCTTCACAAATGATATTTTACATATCATTTGAAAGTACATTGTATTAACAAAAAACAATAATTCCCTTCAAATTGTCATTCTTCTTTGACTGATGTTTGACCTTGGTTTACAGCTGAATGTGGATTCGGATGAAAGTGGATCATATGTTCAGGTCATGGAGACATTCACCAATCTTGGCCCCATTGTTGACATGTGTGTCGTCGACCTTGAGAGGCAGGGTCAAGGACAGGTCAGTTGTGTAAATCAAGACTTAGTTATATATAACAGCAGCAGCTCTTCCTGGTATCATTATCTAGCCCAGTACTGAGTTCTGTTCCTCCTGCTGGGGTGGTGGGGTAGCCCTATGGTTAAGGCGTTCGCTCGTCACGCCGAAGACCCGGGTTCGATTCCCCACATGGGCACAATGTGTAAAGCTCATTTCTAGTGTCCCTCGGCATGATGTTGCTAAAATATTGCTAAAAGTGGCGTAAAACTATGCTCAGTCAGTCAGTCAGTCCTCTTACTGCTAAAGTATTACCACGTGGGAGTAATATTTTGAGCATTCTATTGATGTCCACTGCCAAGCTGGTTTTGTATTCTAAACCATCCAGTCCTAATAAGAACGCTTGCCACCTCATCATGCATGGCCAATAAATTACATTGGACTTTACTTCTGCAGTTGGTGACATGCTCTGGGGCCTACAAAGAAGGATCCCTGAGGATCATCAGAAATGGCATCGGTATCCACGAACATGCCACCATTGATCTTCCAGGAATTAAAGGTAAGTTAACTGGAAGGCAATGAGGTTAACCAATCAATGTATTGACTTCTTACAATTATGTACGACTTCCATTTGTAGTACTTAGATGGGTTATGTGGGAGCAATTCACAAGTCTCATTGATAACCACTGCACATAGTGACATCACTCTGCTGATAAAGATGTCAATGGTATTTTAGATGAGTTCCTATCATGCACCATACAGAGCTTACCATCAGCGGAGGAAATGTATTTCATCCTTGTTCACTTCAGGAATCTGGCCACTGAGAGTTAACTCCCCTGACTTTGACAATCTGCTTGTGCTGTCTTTTGTTGGACAAAGTCGGTAAGTAATTACAAATGATTCATTATCCGGTTACAACATTTTGCAAATATCCTCTTATTTCGATTCTGGAACACAGAACCTGGAGTGCTATCCACTTGATCACTTATCTGGTTATTGATAAATATGGTTTACATGCACAATTTCCAGTGTCTTTTACTCTTGTGGTAACCACATCTCTTAATAATTGTACGTATCATTGTTATACTTGGAAGCAGTCATTGAGAACAAAGTTCTGTCCTGTGAAAATAGACTTTCATGGCAATGTGGCTGTCAACTCAGATGTTTCAGTCAAATGAGCAGGGTTTTACATGACGCTTGATTCCTGCGTATTTGACTCAACAATTTTGTAAAGACTCTCAAAATATTATCATACTAGTCAAACTTGACGCAAGTTTTATGAGTTACCCTCACAATTCAGTTCAGAGTCAATAAAATCGATCTGATAAGCAAACAACGATAGTTTTCGTGAGGTCTTCATTAATTTAGATTTTTCTTTCAATTCATGTTAATAACTGTATGTTACAGTGAAAAAATCACAAGCCTGTCTATTTGTTCAGTATACTGGAGTTTGTTATGACTGAACTGAACTGTGAAACATATACTGTTTATTAACTAACATATGAATGACAATGCAACACAAAACAATAAAATCTTTGCCTTCTGATATACACACATAAATATTAGGCTAAAATTTTAATGACTCCCAAATATTGAAAATAACTCCCCAATATAAATACTGTGGGTCACCATGACTCTCTTTTTTCAAAGTCTGTTAAACCCCTGAATGAGGTTATGGTATAAATGAAAACTTGTGATCAGTCAGAAATGCGTATTTTCTAAATACATGCAAGCCTCCTTGATACATTATAGCCCAGTACATGTTTCAAGTTGAGGTAATTCCATGTGTGTGGTGTTGCAGTGTTCTGATGTTGAATGGAGAAGAGGTGGAGGAGACAGAAATGGCTGGATTTGATGGGGACCAGCAGACATTCTTCAGCGGCAATGTTGTAGGGAACCAGTTGGTACAGGTTAGTAACATCTGACTTGGGGCAAAGCAGTTCATTCTCATACACAGGTAGCTCAGTCATTTAAGCTACCACAGTTTGCTATGCAGAGTTCTGTCCCTTTGGCATGCCTGGAACCTATGATAGTAGGTTCCTGTTATAATGTATCTGGGTTTGTCAGCACTTCTCAGGGTTTCGCCAAAGTGATAAACATCTAAAACTCTCATCACTTTTGTCTTTCCTCCCTGATCAAGCTGACATACCATGGACCTACAGTCCGTTTGGCTCAAAAGCCGACCGATGAATTGCAATCTAACTCGAAAACTAATAAACATAACATACTCAATGAAACGCTGATCATAATCAAAACATCATACCCACTCTGTGAGGTTTTTGCAGAATTTTCGTCCTAAAAAAAAAAGTTGTTTAACAAACTATCATTAAAATATTGACACAGTTCACTATTTGTTACGAGGGAGGAGTGCAGAGAAAGGGACAGCCAGGTGTTCGAGAAGCACGTTCACAGACAAAGTTATTTATTCATTAACCTGTGCTGTGCCGTCTCCATCGTTCTCGAACACCTGGATGTCCCTTTCTCTGCACTCATCCCTCGTAACAAATAGTGAACTGTGTCAATATTTTAATGATAGATTGTTAAACTACTTATTTTTCCTTATCCTGACTCATGCTCTTTTGCTTATCCCTTCTCTTGCTTAACATAGTGGAACACTTGTATCTCCTTAATTGAAGCTCCCTTCAATGTAAAATCACTAATTGGTACTCACCCAAGAGTTGCCTCCCCCCCAAGCCGCAGGGAACAGGTGTCGCCACCCTCTGGCCTCATGCTTCACTCTCTCCTTCTTAGCCCAGTGAGCAGGATGTGAGAGCCTGTGTCTCCTTACACACTATATCCTTTGGTTTCTTTAGTTAGTTACCTCTTATAGTTTACTATAAAGGTATAGCTAGTATCCTTCATTAATTTGCATTGATAATTAATCGTGATTTCTACTGTTTATTCAAGTGAGTTCGCGGATTGTTCAGCTAGTATTACGTTGATGAAAAACTGTACTATTTGTAGATTACGTTTTTCGCTCGCGGATCCGCATGTAGTATGCCCTAGTTGTACTACGCCTTGTGCGCTTGATTCACGCTGCAGTTACTGCATAAATTTAACCAATTCTGCCTTTAATAAATACCATCTTTGCGTCTTGAGACGTGTTGCAGATAGGTCACGCAACCAAACTAGGTGTAGACATGGCCGATACATCGGATTTCCCATCCAGTCAGCTGCTGTCGAAGCGATCCCTCCCGCCTGGTGTTCTGCTTGAGACCCCATCGGAAGAGGGACGGGATGCAGTCCGCCACCTCTAAGAAGCGACCGGCCTCCCCAGACATCCCGCCATCGCAGATAAAGTCCAAGAGGGCCTCTAACGCCTTCTCAACGCAGAGACTTCGTGACCCCCAGGGCAGCGCCATCCTCCAAAGGGAAATCTGACGGTCATCGAGAACTTTCTCAGCAGAGATCGCTCCAGCAGCAGAATTGGGCCTCTACGATGATCAACCAATCATCATACCCGACATACGCCACAAGAAGTTTTACCAGTGACAGCGACAGTGACTTCAGCAGAGATCACCATGCAGCCTGATGCCTCTACACTGATGTCAGACGAGATCACGGAGGGCCCCACCGCTATCAGCGGCCAGAGAGAGGGCACCCATCTACTACGCCGCAGATCATCCCAGACGATCTAATGAAGCAGATCAGGATCATGATGGAAGGCCACTACAGACTGGAGAAGCAGCCATCCCAGGGTCCGAAAGCCTTCATGAAGGCTCCAACGTGAGACAGCACCCCAGAGGCACCCCCAGTCAACGAGGCAGCCACGACGATGCCGCCTTCGCGAAGGAAGTCACAGACCACCTCCACGAAGGACCCAGATGTACAGCCTTCGCGAAGGCGGGAAAGATCATCACCCTCTTCGGCGTCATACTCAGATACACGGAATCTGATCATCAGACCTCACGGAAGCCTTCTCAAGGTCATATCACCGCTCCCCAGGACTGGACCTTGAGAGGAAGCTTCGCTGGCGCTCAGCGGGCGACACCTGAACCCAGATCGCCATCATCATCTAAAAGGACATCGAGGGACTACACAAGAGCTTCATGAAGCTACCAACGGTCCCCTCATAGGTCTCCAAGAAGATCAACCTATCGATGTAGATCACCACGTCGATCACCTCACAGGTCTGCACATAAGCCTACAACTAGATCTCCACAAGCGTCAAACGATATAGAGATAGAGCCACACAGTCCTACATCAGAAGAGCAACAACCTCTCATTTATGATGATGGAATGGAAGATGATGGAGGAATTATTTTCTCAGATGCAGAGATAAGATATTGGATGGTCAATAATCTAGATCTCTCATCACCTTCCAAGAGTGGCAATTGGCAAGCAGACTTATCTGATGAAAGAAGACGATGCAGATGCTATTACACTACCCCAATCTAATCGAATTCGATTAGGCGTACCACAGAACCTAGATACAGCATTCAACAAAGCCACGGAAGGTTCAAACACCACATCTGGGTTAAACTTTCACGCCAAGAAGTTCTCCATGCATAATATGGACCCTTCTTCAAGAAGCAAGACATCGATGAGAACTACAAGCTGATCTCCTGCATGCCAAGAACAAGTACTACAAGATTGATGATAGAAAATTGGTTCAGATAGAAACCATGACGAAGGCTGCGATGTTCTTTGGTCTAAATAGATCTAGAACAATAAATGAGACACTTATCACCAGATTCTCGTGAATAACCTAATTCCTCTGAAGATGATAGAATGATTTACCTCGGCCCCTACTGATGCAAAAAGAAGGACCAGCAGTTCTTAACAGATCATCTCACGCCTGTCTCAGCAGCATTCGACCTTAGCTCGTCGCCAAGGCCTCCTCGCTTCTGCAACTGGGGTGAGAACTTTACAGCTCCCACTATATACAGCCCCGTGGGTCTCTCCCCATCCATCTTTGACGGAGGAATAGACAAAGTCTCCAAGGAAGTCACCAAGGATTCCAGAGAAGTCCTGATGATTAAATCGATGGACACGCTTTAGCCAGTGTCATTCGACAGACTTCACAAAGATACTCAGGGAGATCTAAATTCACGGGCCTACAAAGAGCAAGAGACAGGAAGATAGCCAGTTCCAGGGGAAGAGATTCTTTTAGAGTAAGCCCATATGGCAACTATAGAGGAGGGTCAGGAAGAGGCAGGACACCCAGAGGTTCCCCGCAACTATAAACGCTGAAAGACAGGTTCGAACGACTGGAGTCTTCCACCCCAGCCGCTCCAGTACAACCGTCTACAAGTGGGTGGACGCCTCCAACTACACTGGGAAAACTGGGGAATACTTCAAGACACCTATGTTCCAACATTCTTCAACGCTGATTTCAGATCCCACTACAGGCCAAGCCTCCACTAACAGTCAACCCTCCCAAGTTCGAGGTACAGGCACAGCAACTACTAAAGTTAAGAGAGGCTGTTACATTACTCCTAACCAAGCAGGCCATAGAAGTAATAGATCAAGGAAACATCGAACCAGGTTTCTACTCCCCAGTTTTCCTAGTACCCAAGAAAAACTCCAAGGAGAAATACAGACTCATTTACAACATGAGCTTCTTCAACAAGACTTATCTACGCAGACCACCGGTTCCACATGATACATCTACCGTGAGTTACGGGCACATGATTCGTCTCCATGGACTACATGGGCAGTATAGATCTACAAGATGCCTATCTGCACATCCCTATACATCCCTAATCCAGGAAATACCTACGGTTTACTCTAGACGGGTTACATTACCAGTGGAAAGTACTCCCATTCGAATAACATCAGCCCCATGGTTATTCACGAGGATAACGAAACCGATTGTCACTTCTATCTACATCGCCAAGGGGCTACGCGAGAGTGCTCTTCCTCGACGACGGGATACAAGTAGATCAAGATCCACAGCATCTCAAACTACAGTTAAACTACATCATAAAGCTACTAACACAGCTGGGATGGTTAGTAAACTTACACAAGTCGGACCTAGTACCATCGCAAGATCTGCAATTCCTAGGCATTCGATTTATCACCAATCTCAACCAGATAGTCGCAGTACCAGAAGACCGTTGGCTCAAGATCCAACAGATCATTCCTCCAACTCTACTCTCTCCGCTACCACTCGACAATGGCAGAGTTTACTAGGTCTTCTAACATCAGCCCAAGACTTGACAGTCATAGGCAGATTACAGTTACTGGCCCCCCTTACAGGTCTTCATCAACACACATCCTCGCACTCGCACCTACAACCATTCAGTTCACCGAACATCTCAGACCTCATCTACTATGGTGGACCAAGAAATCAAATGTCTGGGAAGGGATCTGTTTAGCAGAGCAGGAATTCAAAACCCATCTATATGTAGACGCTACGCCTCCAAGGTTGGGGAGCTCATCTCACCAACCAGACGGCATCAGGGTTATGGAATCAGCTAGAAAGCAAGCTCCACATAAACTCATTAGAGATGAAAGCTGTAATCAACGCTTTATAAGACATTGGAGCAACATTCTACAGAATGCGCACCTGATGATACATACCGCACAACTCCTCGACAGTGGCGTTCTATGTGAACAGGCAAGGCTCAACGATCGATTTAACCTTTTGACTTTAACCTTTCAACTGTTCAATTAATCCAAGATCTAAATCTACATGTCAGCATGCCACATTCCCCGAGCCAGGAATATACTAGCAGACGCGACTCTCTCGCCACATCTACCGTCGCCGACAGAATGGATGCTCAATACAGAGATATTTGCACAGATAATCAAGCAAATAGGAGCCAATACTAGTAGATCTATTCGCCACAAGATTCAACAATCAACTACCGGCATTCGTGGTCACCAGTTCAAGACCCACAAGCATGGGCAACGGATTTAAGCTTATCATGGAAGGCCTCAATGCGCATCGCTAAGCCGCTTCCCAGCAATAATACCTCAAGTATTACAGAAAATCAGCCAAACACAGAGCCTACAGCTCATTTTGGTCGCGCCCTCTACTGGTCACTAGTGAAGAGTTTCGCCTAATACAAGAAATCGGGTCAACCGCACTAGAGCTACCTAAGCCAAAGCTGTTAATACATCCACACACCAAACAGGTGCACAGAAACCCAGAAGTATTCAAACTTCAACGTATGGACTGTATTAAAATGTGTTTAAACAAGAGAGGATATTCTACCAGGGCTGCAAAAGCGGTCACGCTTGCCTTACGATACTCAACGCCAGAATCCTTGTACGGCGACAAGTGGCACAGTTTCAAAATTATGCAGCAAACAAGGGTTTTACAGCAAGAGATGCTCACGATCCTCAAGTGGGCAGACTATTTGTGTTACTTCTACGCCAAAACAAACATTTAAAAGGCTTCGACATTGTCAACATATCTTGCTTAGTTTTTAGTTCTGTGATTTCTATGAGAACGGGTGTTAAATTAACAAAAACACCAGAGTTACTGGCTCTTACTACGTGCTTTCTCCATTGAGGACCAAAAGCGGAAGTTCCACGCTTCCAGCTTGGGATCTGAATGTAGTGCTACAACACCTCACAAGTGAGGATTATGAACCATTGGAATCGACAACCTTTGAATTTCTCTCACAGAAAACACAATTTTCCTGTTTATCGCTAGCCACAGCAGCCAGAATATCTGAAATTCACGCCTAGATTATGAGAGGATACAGTTTGATGACAATCAAAACACAGCACCTGGGATTAAGATGGGATTTCATCGCCAAAAAATCAACTACCAGGACAACCAGACAGGTTATTTCATCGTCCCTCATGCGCTATCCTCGATTCTCGATCTCAAGATACATTGGACTTATCTCTATGCCCAGTAATGAAGCTCTCAAAATCTATTTACGTCGTTTCCAAAACAAGGCGTTTAAGATCGCCAGAAGATTGTTCATCCCAAGTATAGCCTACTAATCAGACAGAAGTCTCTCGCACTCACCATATCTATATGGATAAGAACTGTCATTCTCTACTTCTACAAGGCAGCAGGACTGGACCCTCCAACAGCATCAAATCCACATGAAATCAGGGCATTGGCCTCCACCCTCGCCCTTCACGGTAACTGTTCATTGAATACAATTATGGAAGGATGCTTCTGGAAATCTAACATGGTGTTTGCTAATCACTATCTGAGAGATATCACCACCGAGGATCGCCTCTGGTATTCACCATTTTCGGTCCTTTGGTCCTCGGCTCAGCAACTGACAGTCCCCTGTAGGTATGTTAATATTCACCCCTACTCTAGATTATTATGTATATTATACATACATTATTTAGCTTATAACTCCACGGAGTTCTAGGGCTATGTATATATTTAGCTTAGGTTATTCAACCTTAAGCTCATACTGAGTTTTATGTTCAGTTGTACAGCTCTCTATCAGAGTAGCTTGTTATATCTATAATTTGGTATATCAGTCTATTAGTAATGTAATACCCCAGTTATGGTATATATAACCTATGGCTTATTATAAAGGAAATATCCTAAGTCAATGCCTTTATGAAGTTCCCCAGAGGGTTATTACAGTATAAGTTATTTAAATCACTAATTATTAATCCAAAGTATTCTGTTTATGCCCACCACCACTCCGGTGGATTCTACAAGCAAAAGAGCATGAGTCAGGATAAGGAAAAATATGTAATTTTTTAGTAAAATTGATATTTTATACTTATCCTGACTCATGAGGTTAGCCCTCCCATCCTCCCCCACATAACACTTTGGATTTCCTGTAAATTCAAGTGTTTGGCTGCAAAATCAGGAGAGAGTGAAGCATGGCCAGAGGGTGGCGATGACATCTGTTCCGCTGGGCCATGGGCGGGGAGGCAACTCTTGGGTGAGTACCAATTAGTGATTTTACATTGAAGGAGCTTCAATTAAGGAGATACAAGTGTTCCACTATGTTCGCAAGAGGAAGGGGACAAGCAAAAGAGCATGAGTCAGGATAAGTATAAAATATCAATTTTACTCAAAAAATTACTTTTTTATTTTTAGGACAAAAATTTGATTATGATCAGCGTTTCATTGAGTATTTTATGTTTATTAGTTTTCGAGTTAGATTGCAATTCATCGGTCCGCTTTTGAGCCAAACGGACTATAGTCAGAGATGCCAAACTCTCCGATTTTGGAAGACTTACTTGATTTTCAAATACGAAATCCGCTGTCCGATTTGTCTTTATAAAACTATTATTTTTTCAGAAAGAATTCTGAATTATTTTTTTTACAGTATACAATTTTGTAAGTCACCTGTGATTTATTTGAGTCGACTCCGGTAAAAGCATTCGGAAGTTTAGCGTGTGATCTCTTGGATATCGATTGTGTATTATGGGTGTTATTGACAACAAACTTTCATAAAGTTTTTCCAAATGTATGTCATAGCCCGTATGTAAGTGAAACAAACTGGCAGAGCCGATCACGTGTTCATCCCCCAACTCGCAGCTTCTGTGCTTGGGCTTGACTTCCGCTTTCATTAGATTAGTGGTTAAAGCATTCACTATCCTTTATGGTTCTACACCACATGAGTACAATGGTTGAAGGCCAATACAGTGAAGCCCCGTTAGTCCGGACTCTGATAATCCGGATGTCTTGCTTCCCGGACGATTTCAGCTTGTACCCAATCTATGCCTATATAATTTGCCTCGATAATCTGGAAATTCGTTTCCGAACCGGACGGTAAGTAGCTGTCACCAATCAGTAAAATAAACAGTAAATTGCTTCACAGTCCGGACGCTGTAAGTCGTGGTCACGAACCGTAACAACACCTCCCAGCGATGTTTACTTAATTAACTGGCCAACTGGGTTGTTGTTTTAATTAGACATTAAAAGCTCCGACTGAAGATGCTGTACATTTTGGTCTTGATTCAGCTGTCCGGACTATTCGTAATCCGGACGAATTTAACGAGGCTTCACTGTACATCTGACTTTTGCCATGATAATGCTGAAACATTGCCAAACAGATCATAAAAATGTACCTGTTCATTCAGAGGAACAAGCTGTTAAATTTGTTGTTCTGTGCAGATCACCCCCAGTTCCATCCGACTGATCAGCTGTGACAGCAAGACCTTGGTGGCGGAGTGGAAGCATCCATCTGGAAAGAACATCAGTCTGGCCAGCTGCAACACCTGTCAGGCTGTCGTCGCCATTGGCAGTGAACTTTACTATCTCAAGATACTCACTGGAGACATTAAGGAAGTCAGGCAAGTTCAATATTGGGTAGAAATAATGTTCTCAACTCCCTGATACAGATCCGTGGTTTGTTAGCACCAAAGTCATGCTTGTTGGTTTCATGTCAGTTGAAAGTGTTAATGACCTACATCAGAGTGCTTTCCTCCCAAAAATAACAAACACTAATGAAATACTATTGATTGCAGACTGATTTATACTCCTCACAAAAAAATTAAGCAACAAGTATTTTCAGTGTAATATTCTTATCAATCTCGATAGCATCATTTTTGAATACATGTTACTGAAAAGGTTAATATTGAAAGAATACATAACATTAAGTGACTTGTCAAATTGTTTTATCTCATAACATTGACAACATCAATCTCGAACACAACCACCCTCAGAAACAACATGCAAAATGTGTGGCATGAATGTGCTGCTCCTCTTCACACATGCACCCTGATTGGTGTAAACCTACCTGTAATCATTCCTCTGCCACAACAAGCTGGTCCTAACTTCATTTTTATGGATGAAAATGCCCGATCTATGGATGATAATGCCCGAGAAAGAGTTGTTAACGATGTTGTTTAGATCAACAACATCACACATATGGACTGGCCTGCAATGTCACTTGATCTGAATCCAATTGAACATGCTTGGGACATTATTGGTAGTCGTGTTTACGGTCTCCATGTTCACCCTCAGACTCTGGATGACCTTGAGCAGGCGCTACAGAGAGAATGGCAGAACATTCCACAACAGCAACTTTAAAGGCTCATTTGGTCAATGCAAAGACCTGTGGAGGCTTTGCATTTGTGCTCATGGTAGTCATACTCGTTACTGAACACTGCTTCACTGTCCAAAGCTGACTTGAACCTTAATGTTAACATTTTGCTCCATCAATGCAGCACATTTTGCACGACTGTCTCACGGGTACATGCTTTTGATGATTTGTAAGTCTATTATTGCTCAAAACTATTTCATTTCATTTTGCTAATCCGTGTACATAGGTTTCACCTTTCTATTGCATCATTCAGTGATTTGCAATTTCAATAAATGAAATTGTAATGAGACTACAAATTTGTGTTGCTTAACATTTTGTGAGGAGTATACTTACTGCTGTAGAAAATGGTTTCATTGATCCATGTTATAATACTTAGTATGTTTTACTGTGGTAGTTTTACCTCTTTCCACACTGAAATCATGTTCAAAGTGTAACACACTCACTCACTCACTCACTCATTGAAGCACAACCCCGGCCAGTGAAGATCCAGGTTGGAATTGATCTTCAGTAACCCATGCTTGTCATAAGAGATGACTAACAAGATCGGGTTCGGGCTCGCTGACTTGGTTGACACATGTCATCGTACCCCTATTGTGTAGATCCATGTGCATGCTGTTGATCACTGGATTGTCTGGTCCAGACTCGATTATATACAGACTGCCGCTATATAGCTGGAATATTGCTGAGAGCGGCGTTATACAACAAACCAACTGTATCATTGACTTGTGACAGTTGCAGTCGTGATTGTTTTGAAGATCATTGTCCTTTTCTTATTGTGCAAAGTGCTCATAGTATTTTGATACTAAAACTTGCAATAATTGTGGTATCACTTATTCCGTTAGGTCTTGATTCCACAATGAAGCTTTGTTCAGTATGTGACAATTCAAGAAGATAATTAATTAATCACTGGAAGTAGTGTTGAGATTTATATTTGTCTCTGCAGCCATGCCACCATGGAACATGAGGTGGCCTGTGTGGACATCAGTCTCACCAAGGTCGGACAGGACGAGGCAGAGCTGTGTGCAGTGGGCTTGTGGACAGACATCTCTGTCCGTGTCCTCAAACTCCCCAACTTTGATAGTCTGCATGTTGAGATGCTGGGTGGAGGTGAGATAATCACACTAACTACTTCAATAGATGTTTGATAATGATGACGTCTTCGCAAAATCACATTGTCAGAAAAAACAACAGCCTTCAAACTATGATCAGTTTTGTTAATATTAAATGTATCAGACATGAGTGTTTTTAACGTATGATGTTATTATATGGGTATTTATGTAGCGCTGAAGTCCAACCCACATGCATGCTTAAAACGCTTCGATTTTCCCTCGATCATTGGATGTCAGTCTCAGCAGCACATCATATTTTCAATCTCATTTCCCTGAGGAGCATACAACTCTTTCTGCCACTAGGCGCAACGAGTTAATGTGACTTTCCCATCCTTTCGAGGTACCCATTCACAGCTGGGTGGACTGGGACACATAGTCACAGTACTTTGTCTAAGTTTACTGCATATTGCTGTACCCGCATCCTCGATAATCTCCAGGGTATACGTTACGATCAGTCAACACTATACCCTGGATGCATCCACGGCTTGGCCCGATAATTATATTACCTCCCTTTGCTGGCTCCGCATTCTCACAGTAGCCAATCAGCTAAGCCGCCGTTACATCCGTTACATCCAACAAAGATAGCGGTCGCAGTTGCGAAGGGTTGTTCGCAGTGCCACTCAGATTTTTTTGGGGAAATCATACTGACAAATTGACAGATCTGAAACTTTCAAAGAAATATATAAAAGAACTCCTTCTACCTCTTTCAGAGTACCTCTGCATCAATTGTGTTGATAATAGATAATTAAAGAAGCGAAAGTGAGTTGTGATTGGTAAAGCAAGCAAAGGGAGGTAAAATAATTATCGGGCCAAGCCGTGGATGCATCCAGGGTATAGTGGAGAGTGATGGTAATGTATACCCTGGAGATTATCGAGGATGCTGTACCCGCAACTAACTGTTTTCATGTGGCCACCATCTGGTCATTTACCAACGGATTCGTAAGTTCTTTTAAGTACACAGGGTTGTGTTCTGTACACTAAGGGTTGTGACAACACTGAAAGATTCTGCACATAAAGTTGACTCCCTAGGTTTTTACGCCCGGTCACAGGTGGACTCGATCCCGGCACCTCCAAGCTCGCTGGATCACTAGCCTGGCGCCTTAGACAGCTCTCCCACCACGCCACCATTACATTGTACTGTTTCATTTAAATCTAAATTGTTTTGTGAACATTAATCATTTATAACATTATTAGTGGCTACTGATGTCTGATAGGTTTCATACATCTTGTTCTCCATAGGGTGCTGAGAATCACCATGGGTAGCCATAATGTAAAACCATGAGCATTCATTGGGTATCACTCTGTTATTGATCAGCTGTCTCCTAGCAGATACTATGTCAAGTTGTCTCACTCTGATATTCTTTTGGCAGAGATCATCCCCCGATCCATCCTGCTGACGACCTTTGAAGGCATCCACTATTTGCTTTGTGCTCTTGGAGATGGCTCTCTCTTCTACTTCAATCTCAGCGTTGGTGAACAGACTAAAGGTACACACTTTCTAATCACAAGGCTTCAGTATTTAGTACACAACAGGTAATGTTTATCTGAGAAGGGAATTCACGGTTAGATTACCTCCCTTTGTTGTGTTGGGATCTACCGGTTATTCTTTTTCAGAAGAAGTCCTCCTTAGGGTACATATAAACATTGAAATGTCCATTTTAAAATACCTACGACAGTTGTAACAATATTTCAATAAAATATTTTACCAAACAAAAACTCCCTACAGCCAAGAGCAGGTAACTCTGGCTGCTTACCTCGTACCTCACTTTTTATGCTGTCGTTGACTAGAATGGTCGTGCATGGTCCAGAGAACACACGTCTTTGCCTGATACAACGATAGAGAAAATGCAGGAACCTCCCTCTAAGGGTAAGGATAAAAAGGCTAAGAAAAAGAAGGGTTCTTCTTCTTCATCTGTATCAGGGGACACAGCACCTAAACGGGCGAAGGATGCAGTATCTTCGGTCCCTTCACCAGCCATTTCTTCCACATCACAGGCACCTTCACCTCCACATGTCCCTGTTTCAAATCCATTAACATTTGAACTAATCTCTGATCTTTTACAGCAGCAAATGGCATCAGTTCACTCGCTCATATCTGACGCGATGTCCGGTCTCCGTCAGGAGATGGTGTCCGGCCAGGTACTGGGGGGTGTTCCGTTTCTGTGGTGGGCAGTGTCCCCAACCTTAGCTCAGGCTCTGGTGCGGGGATTTCTGTCGGGAGTGCGTCTGCACCGAGCCTCGTCTCGGCTGTCGGCCACCCCTCCGCTATGGTCGCTACCACCAGTCCGAGCCTTGGCTCTGGGTCTGGGTCGGTAGTTGGTGCAGGTGCGACAGGTTCTGTCCCTGTAGTTTCTGCTACCCCCTTGCATGCCAGGCCATTCGGTGTCGGCACTGTTATGTTTGCCGTTGGGGAATCCCGTGTCGGGCTCTTCCTCGTCTCGCCACCGTGACTCAGTTTCGAGTCTTGGGTCGGGCGTACCGGGCACCTCGGGTCTGCTCGAGCCTCTGTCACTCTCCTTAGACCCCTTTGGACGAACCCTCGGAGCTTTCTCTAGATACAGACACTTCGCTCCAGGAGGATCGGTTCGAGGAGGCTATGGAGGAGGATGAGGGTCGTGGAGGGTCGGGTACACCTTCTGTATCGCTCGGTGGGTCCCTGAGACACGTGTGGGAGCGTATTGCCGCCGTCCTGCCTCAGGTAGTTGTCAGTGCTGGCGCACCCGACCCTACAGAGTTTCGCCTCCCCGGGGAGGCATTCGCTCCTACTAAGGTGGCGGACACACGACTACGCATTTTGCCTTCAGTCTGAACTGAAGTTATTGACCTACTCCTCTGTGGTACCAGGTCCAGGTTCGACTTGCCCAAGCTGGACCGTCTGTACCTCATGGGTGAGGCCGGCCTATATAACCCCCCAGTGGTATACGATTGTGTGTATGCGTCAGTTGCCCTGGGGAATTCGTCTGGTGGCTCGCTTGCTTCCGCCAAACAAGGCTGTCAGCTTTCACAGCCAACGCCACAGCACTCAAGTCGCTCCTTTGAGGAGCAGTACCGCAACGCGGTCCAGTGCCTCAAAGTTACCATCCATTCTGCCTATAGCTCGGTATTGCAGAGGCAATTAGTGGATGTGGGTGGGGTCGAGAAAGATGTCTCCCTCCACCTTGGCAAAACAATTGACAGAGGTCCGGTCACATCTGATGCACGACTCTATTAGTTCGTCGGCCTGTCAAATGATGTCAGCAGCTATGGGCCTCCGTCGCCTGTGGCTCTCTGTGGCGAGGTACTCTCCTGCCACGCAACAGGCTCTACTGGCGCTGCCGTTCCGGATGGGTTCTACCCTGTTCCCCGAGCAGCTACAGTAGTCCGGGAAGCCGCGGAGGCTGTAACAACCTTCAAGGACTCTAAGCCCTTGTTGAAATAGCCTCACATGTCTCGTGCGCGGCCCCTGGTTCTTACCTCCACCTATCCTTCTGCCTCGGCAAAGGAACCTGTGAAATGGGCTCAGCCATTACAGTCGTGGAAGGGTAGGGGCAGAGGCAAGGGCAAGGCTACAGCACCCCGTAAGCCTTTTCAGAGGAAGGGGATGTCAGCCCCGGCTTCCCAGCAATAATTCCTCCGGAGCCCTTGTCAGTACCAGATCAAGCAGTCGGAGTACTGCCGACGTCTGGTATCCATTGCCTCATACCACATATCCCTGTGGGTGCTCGACTTTCTCTCTTCCTGTTGGAATGGGAAAAAGGTCACCTCCAATCTCTGGGTCCTGTCCACGCTCAGGGAGGGCCACATGCCACAGTGGAAGCGAGACCCACCTCCCTTCTCCGGGATCCGTTGCACTCCAGTGCCAGCTGTCCTAGAGAAGGCAGACGTGCTCCGTGCGGAGGTCCAGTCATTACTGGACAAGGCAGCCATCGAGGTGGTTCCAGTGGGACAGGAAATGGCGGGTTATTACTCGACCTATTTCCTTGTCACCAAAAAGGACGGAGGGTTCAGACCTATTTTAAACCTCAAAGGTCTGAACGACATGATAGAGGTACCATCCTTCAAGATGGAGACACCGCATTCAGTGATCTCATCTGTGGAAAAGGGAGACTGGCTCACATCAATCAACCTCAAAGACGCGTATCTCTATGTCCCAATGCACCTTGAGTTCAGGAAGTACCTAAGGTTTTTCTTCGACGGGAGGTGCTATCAGTTTCGTGTGCTCCCCTTCGGCATCTCCACGGGGCCAAGGGTGTTTACCAAACTCATGCTAATTCCAGCGCAGGTAGCCAGGTCACAGGGCAGGTGTTGTCACCCGTACCTAAACGATTGGCTCCTTTGTGTGCTTGCCACTCACTTGAGTTGAGTTGCGACACATTCTGTGATGAGTATACTCACCAAGTTGGGCTGGATTATTTATCTCAAGAAATCAGAACTGGTTCCAACCCAGGATCTGGTTTTCTTGAGAGCGAGATTCGAGTGTCTCTGGACCACGTCACCAAAGTCAAGAGAGTTGTGTTAATTTCTCGAGTCCCCCGGGCCTCAGCTCGGACTTGACTCAAGTTGCTAGGCAACATGGCGGCAACGGTGGACATTGTATGGCGAGCGCGGTTGAAGATGCGACCCATACAGCAAGCTTTGGCTTGAATGTGGGTTCACACCCGGGGTTACAAGTTGATTCTCCACACTCCAGGGTGGCTAATTCCTCATTTACGGTGGTGGACAATGGCAGGGAATTTATCCAGGGGGATCCCCTTGGACGTCCCGTCGCCAGATCTCTCCATTCAGACAGACGCCTCCCTAACAGGGTTGGGGGGCGTGCTGGGCGACCTGTCAGTCTCAGGCCTGTGGTCACAGAGTGAGGCGCAACTGCACATCAATGTGCTAGAATTGAGAGCAGTCAGGTTAGTGTTCGAACGACTTGTGGTTCGTCTAGAGATGGACAACCAGACGGCGATGACCTATATCCTGAAGCAGGGCGGTACGGTTTCCCCGTCCCTCCTGCAGGAGGCGTGGCAGTTTCTGCTCTGGTGTAACCAGTTCGACATACAGGTGATGCCTGTATATGTCCCCGGAGCGGACAACGTTCGAGCAGACGCGCTCTCTCAGCATATCCTGGCCCCGCACGAGTGGATGCTAAATTCGGGAGATATTCGGGATTATCTCCCAGTTGTTCAGATCATTCCAGATGGATCTGTTTGCTTCTGGGGGGACGAACCAGATTCCGGTGTTTTGCTCTCTGATACCGGATCCGAGAGCCATCGCCTCGGACGCTTTCCAGCTCGATTGGACGGGCAGGGTTCTGTGGGTGTTCCCGCAACAACTCCTGATTCCCAAAGTCCTCTCGCAGCTTGCCACCCAACCAGCTCGACTTCTTGTGCTCTTTGCACCTCTTTTGTCGGCTCAAAGCTGGTTTCCGGTACTACTCAGGTTTCTGGCTCAGCCTCCTGTACTATTGCCCTTTCGACTGGATCTACTATCCCAGAACGGAGCGCCGCACCCGAATCCCTGCACCAGTTGCAGGCACAATTCTGGCTTCACGGAGGGATTCGACAAACGTTCAATATGAGGATAGATGGGCCTATTATACGCGCTGGTGTGTCAGCAGAGGGATTCTCGATCCCTTTTCTTCAACTGTAGTTGAAGTACTAGAGTTCTTACAGTCTCGGTTAGAGGCCGGCTTAGCCGCGTCTACTCTCCGGGGCTACTCCACGGCAATCTCTGCCTTCCATGTACCTGCCGGCGGTGCTCTCTTGGGGCAGCACCCTCTTGTGCAGCGCTTTTTAGCAGGCGTGGACAGAATCCGTCCAATCGTTCTTGATTGGATGTCCGGTCCTCTCTTTCACGATCTGTCGTCTCTTTCACTCCAGCTGTTAAGTTGGAAGCTCCTTTTCTTGTGGCGGTAACGTCTGGCCGGCGGGTAGGCAATGTCAGCGGATCCTGCTCTGACTGTCTTTCACAAAGACAGAGTCAGTATCGGTTGCCAGACTCTTACCGTCCTAAGATCGCAGGCACCTTTCATATAACGGCTTTCACTCAGCCTCCATCGTCCGGTACCTCTCTTCGACATGCTCACGTCTTAGATGTCCGTAAGACTCTCAAGGCTTATATCAAACGAACGGCTGCTATCAGAAAAGATAAGCAGCTGTTCTGCTGTTATGGCGGTGGTAAGGCTTGTCTTCCGGCGAACAAGCAGACCATATCTAGGTGGCTTGTCGCTGCCATTTGTATGAGTTACTCTCACAAAGGGTTAACTATCCCTGATGAGTTAAAAGGCTCATTCGTTTAGGGCAGTGGCGACATCTAAGGCATATGCCGCGGGACTGCCCATTGAGGAGATCTGCTCAGCGGCTATTTGGAGCCAACCGAGTACGTTCATCCGCCATTATCAACTGGACAAACAGTCACGGGAACATGCTTGGTTTGGCCAGACAGTTCTCACCAGTGGGCAGTATCGTGACTCTCTAGCCGAATGAGCTTTCGAAGTCACAATTGTTTTTATTTCCTGGTGTCGGTTTTATAAAATTCCACAATTTTTATTGGTGGTAGTTTTTACCGATTTTATTGGCTCTAGCGTTGTCACACGCTGTATCCACTGTTTTTATTCCCTGCACCACGCCTCGCTGGTTTGGGATTATGAATGGTATGTTAAGGACTTGTCCATACATTCCTTCCCATTTTGATGGTTGGGGGGTGGGACTTACGTCCGTCATTAAAATCCGCCAATAGCGTATAAGCTAGGCTCTTTTTACCCCGCCTTGCCATGCCCCCGCCTGATTGACATCAGCGGTCAGGTGAGGTGAGGTGAGTGTATTCTCTCTCTCTCTCTCTCTCTCGACTTCGGCTGTGCCTTCGATTGAACTAGGGGGTATGTTAGCCAGACAGAATATCGCTCCCAACTCGCCATCATTGGGAGTCTGTCTTATGCTTATATGTACCCAAAGGAGGACTTCTTCTGAAAAAGAATTGTACAAACCTGTAGAGGTTATGAATTCTTTGAAGAAAAGTCCTTCTTGGGGTACTGCTGTCCACCTCCCCTCATTCTGTCTGACACGTTCAGCATGAAAAGTGAGGTACGAGGTAAGCAGCCAGAGTTACCTGCTCTTGGCTGTAGGGGGTCCTTTTAGGGGCCCTATAGCGGTGGTCTCACTAAACAAAACAAGTTTTTGTTTGGTAAAATATTTTATTGAAATATTGTTACAACTGTCGTAGGTATTTTAAAATGGACATTTTAATGCTTATATGTACCCCAAGGAGGACTTTTCTTCAAAGAATTCATAACTTCTACAGGTTTGTACAATTTTACATTCCAAAAGTTACCAAATTATGACTCATGTTGTTGATCACTGGATTGTCTGGTCCAGACTTGATTATTTACAGATCGCCGCCATATAGCTGGAATATTGCTGAGTGCGGCATAAACAACAAACCCAATTATGATCCAGATCCTCGACTTGTCAGCCATGCTGGTTTCTTGTACCACTTTTATCTCCTAAAGTGGAAATGAAGTCCTCAATGGAGTGTCACTATTCATTAGAAATTCAAGGGAATATGGCATGAATCTTATGTACAAATACCAAATGGTTTTAAAAAGTTTTAATGTGTTTTTTAAAGAGACATTCGTATTTTTACCCACCCAGGTATTTTGAATGAGAAGAAGAAAGTCACCCTGGGCACACAACCCACTGTTCTGCGCACATTCAAGTCTCTCTCTACCACCAACATCTTTGCCTGTTCTGACCGACCCACTGTCATCTACTCGTCCAATCACAAGCTTGTCTTCTCCAATGTCAATCTGCGAGAAGTCAACCATATGTGTCCACTCAACTCTGATGGCTATCGGGACAGGTATGTGAACATGTCTGCCAAAGTCCTCACAGTTATGAATTGATTTCATGAGCTAGTATTCTTAGTTTACATAGACAATCATTATGAGCAGAGATTCCTGATGTGTGACAGAACTCTAGGATTCTGGGTTCAAATCCCTGATTATGATTATAGGTTTGTCAGCACCTTAAATTGCTCTTTGGTTTGACTGAATTGTGACATCATTAGCACTTACAGTCCATTTGGCTCAAAAGCGGACCGATGAATTGCAATCTAACTCGAAAACTAATAAACATAACATACTCAATGAAACGCTGATCATAATCAAAACATCATACCCACTCTGTGAGGTTTTTGCAGAATTTTTGTCCTAAAAATAATAAAGTTGTTTAACAAACTATCATTAAAATATTGACACAGTTCACTATTTGTTACGAGGGAGGAGTCAGGTGTTCGAGAAGCACGTTCACAGACAGTTATTTATTCATTAACCTGTGCTGTGCCGTCTCCATCCGTTCTCGAACACCTGGCTGTCCCTTTCTCTGCACTCCTCCCTCATAACAAATAGTGAAACTGTGTCAATATTTTAATGATAGTTTGTTAAACAACTTTTTTATTTTTAGGACAAAAATTCTGCAAAAACCTCACAGAGTGGGTATGATGTTTTGATTATGATCAGCATTTCATTGAATATTTTATGTTTATTTGTTTTCGAGTTAGAATGCAATTCATTGGTCCGCTTTTGAGCCAAACGGACTATAGTTTCACATGCCGTAAGATAACTGAAATTTGTACATGGCAACCAACCCAACTCACTAATGTCAAAATGTCTATGGTTTACTGAAGGAAGGTTTTGAATGTTAAAGGAGCCATGTTTGCAATACCCCTGTGGTTCCAGATCAGAGTCAATCCCCAGTACCCTGTGCTTGCAGCATGTGTTGTAATACACAGTGGATTGGTACATATAATATCAAACACTGGGTCAGGAATGATTAGTCACAGCCACCTAAACTGAAGTAATCAGATATGATCAGTGATTTTAATCAGGGCACTGTAATAGTGTTCAAGTCAGTGTCTTGTTACTCTTAGTTTCACCCGACATTTGTTACCCTAGTATGGTTTATCATATTAAGACATATGAGCTGATATTTTAACTCACAAAATGATTGCTGTTAACACAATGTGTTTTCTGTGTTGATAGTTTGGCTTTAGCCAGCGATAGTTCCCTAATCATTGGCACGATTGATGAAATCCAGAAACTGCACATCCGAACAATACCCCTGGGAGAGTCTCCACGGTAAGTCTCAATATCTGTACCAACAAATCTCGCTCAGTGCATGCAAACAAGTCTGTTGTTATGTTCCTGCTGCCAGTAAATCAACTGACGTTGTGCTCCTCAGTCACCACTTGGTAACTTTTTTGGGGAGGTGGGGTAGCCTAGTGGTTAAAGCGTTGGCTCGTCACACCGAAGACCCGGGTTCGAATCCTCACATGGGTACAATGTGTGAAGCCCATTTCTGGTGTCCCCCACCGTGATGTTGCTGGAATATTGCTAAAAGCGGCGTAAAACCAAACTCAGTCAGTCAGTCAGTGGTAACTTTTTGATTGATGATTCACTGGGCACATCTTGTTTCAGACGAATTGCATATCAAGAATCCTCTGAGACATTTGGTATCATCTCATTCCGAACTGACATCCAGGACAACCAAGGAACACGAGCCACCCGGGTCAGCGCCAGCACACACGCCAACAACATCAGCGTCAGCTCCAACGCAAAACTAATGACTGGATCCTCAACATCAGCATCGGAACATACATATGGGGATGAAGTGGAGATTCATTCTCTCTTGGTGATCGATCAGCATACATTTGAGGGTGGGTTATTTCACAACACAGGTATAGCAATTGTATTGAAGGGAATGTGCTCTATTGAGTCTGTGGTGTTCATAATTATGGAATACATTCAGGACATAAAGCCATAAGTCTGCATTAAGGCCACGTTGTAGTCAAGTGTCTGCATTCATGACATGATAAAGTCCTGTGTCTGCTCTCATGACATGATGAAGCCCAGTGCCTGCATTCATGACATGATAAAGTCCTGTGTCTGCTCTCATGACATGATAAAGTCCTGTGTCTGCATTCATGACATGATAAAGTCCTGTGTCTGCTTTCATGATAAGATAAAATCCTGTGCCTGCTTTTATGACATGATAAAGTCCTGTGTCTGCATTCATGATAAGATAAAGTCCTGTCTGTTTTCATGACATGATAAAGTCCTGTGTCTGCATTCATGATAAGATAAAGTCCTGTGTCTGCATTCATGATTAAGATAAAGTCCTGTCTGTTTTCATGACATGATAAAGTCCTGTGTCTGCTTTCATGATAAGATAAAGTCCTGTGTCTGCTTTCATGACGTGATAAAGTCCTGTGTCTGCTTTCATGATAAGATAAAGTCCTGTGTCTGCTTTCATGACGTGATAAAGTCCTGTGTCTGCTTTCATGATAAGATAAAGTCCCGTGTCTGCTTTCATGACGTGATAAAGTCCCGTGTCTGCTTTCATGACGTGATAAAGTCCGTGTCTGCTTTCATGACGTGATAAAGTCCTGTGTCTGCATTCATGACATGATAAAGTCCCGTGTCTGCTTTCATGACGTGATAAAGTCCTGTTTCTGCTTTCATGATAAGATAAAGTCCTGTCTGTTTTCATGATAAGATAAAGTCCTGTGTCTGCATTCATGACATGATAAAGTCCTGTGTCTGCTTTCATGACGTGATAAAGTCCTGTGTCTGCTTTCATGATGAGATAAAGTCCTGTCTGTTTTCATGATAAGATAAAGTCCCGTGTCTGCTTTCATGACATGATAAAGTCCTGTGTCTGCTTTCATGACGTGATAAAGTCCTGTGTCTGCTTTCATGATAAGATAAAGTCCTGTCTGTTTTCATGACGTGATAAAGTCCTGTGTCTGCATCATGGCGTGATAAAGTCCTGTGCTTTCATGATGAGATAAAGTCCTGTGTCTGTTTTCATGATAAGATAAAGTCCGTGTCTGCTTTCATGACGTGATAAAGTCCTGTGTCTGCTTTCATGACATGATAAAGTCCTGTGTCTGCTTTCATGACGTGATAAAGTCCTGTGTCTGCTTTCATGATAAGATAAAGTCCTGTCTGTTTCATGACGTGATAAAGTCCTGTGTCTGCATTCATGATAAGATAAAGTCCTGTGTCTGCATTCATGACATGATAAAGTCCTGTGTCTGCTTTCAGCCTGACCATCGATGTGATTGTATGTTTCAGTCCTGTTCGCCCACCAGTTGATGACAAATGAATGTGCAACTAGTTTGATCTCAGCCAAGCTGGGAGAGGACCCCAACACATACTACATCGTAGGCACAGCTCTCGTCTACCCAGACGAGGCAGAACCCAAACAGGGGCGTATCCTCATCTTCCATTTCAAGGATGCCAAACTGACGCAGGTGGCAGAGAAGGAGATCAAGGGAGCTGCATACACCCTGGTGGAGTTTAACGGCAAATTACTGGCCAGTATCAACAGTACGGTGAGTACACAACGAGAGTGGGTGTTGTGAAGCCCATTTCTCATGTGCCCACCCTAGCTTTCTGTCATGTTATGAAGACTTATTGCTACAGTTAACGGTTGTTTTCATGTGATATTTTAGATTTTTTATCAGGAAAGGTGTCCACTTGATTATTTTTCAAGTGTCGTAGGGGAGTTATTAACCAGGCTGCTTCATATGTGTAAGGTTAGCTGTCACCTGATTTGGTAAAGTCACTGTAGTTGTGTAACGATATGTCAGTACAGTATTGTATCAAGACACAAGACTCACAATACATCGATTTATAACTCCTATATCACAATATATACGATTCGTTACATTGCAAGTTGTATTGATGAAAAGACCTGTGAATAACAGCAACTTTAAACTTGATTTGTTTGATCACAACACAGATTTACTTACAAAATAGGGCATTTTGCGACCCTCAAGATCCGGGGTAGAATAGGTCTTCAGCAACCCATGTGCTTGCCATAAAAGGCGACTAACAGGATCAGGTGGTCAGTTTCGCTGACTTGGTTGACACATGTCATCGGTTCCCAATTGCGCAGATCGATGCTCATGCTGTTGATCACTGGAATGTCTGGTACAGACTCGATTATATACAGACCGCCGCCATATAGCTGGGATATTGCTGAGTGTGGCGTAAAACTAAACTCACTCACTAGGGCATTTTGCAATGTGTAAAGTGATTGATTATCCCTGACTTTCCATGAACTAAGACACCAGAAATTGTGTCATTTATAAGAAGCTACAATCCAGTGACTGTTCGCGTATCTTGTTCACACATTTTGATTATTACGTTGCAATGATTACAGGTCCGGTTATTTGAGTGGACGGCCGAGAAGGAGCTCCGCCTGGAGTGTAGTCATTTCAACAACATCATTGCCCTGTACCTGAAGACAAAGGGAGACTTTGTCTTGGTGGGTGACCTCATGAGGTCAATCACATTACTGGCATACAAGCCCCTGGAGGGAACCTTTGAAGAGGTGTGTAGGACTTTGATCTGTGTGTCCTTGATGGCAAATGTCATCCAACATCCAGCAGTTCTTGAAGTGAACATTTCAATTTCACATTTATATCAACATGTCTCCTAATTTTCATAAAGGTTTGCAGAGCTTTTCCTCTTTATCTCAATTTTTGTAGTTTAACCATGTGTAGATTTTAGTGATATCAGAATGTTTAGTTGTATGATAATGTTTTGACTTTACCGTCCAGATTGCGCGAGATTGTAACCCAAGCTGGATGACGGCTGTGGAGGTGTTGGATGACGACAACTTCCTGGGGGCAGAGAACTCGTTCAATATATTCACTTGTCAGAAAGATAGGTGAGAGATAGCTGCAGTGACAACACTGTTGACACTTACTTTCATTATGTACACATTATGTTCTTGTTGCCAGTGGCAATATGTCCCATGGAATAGTGAGGATTGAGGCTTGGAATTGGTCCCCATTCCACAATGCAAAGACACTAGTATGTCTGTGTAAATGGGTGGGAGTTACAATCACTTTTACGCTACAATCACTTTTACGCTACAATCACTTTGGGGAACCGGACCCAGCATCAACATATGCTGGTTGTAACAGGTCACTGGGTTTCATGGTTGATTGTGTGTCGCACTCATCAGACATAATATGGATTGCTGCATGTAATAGCACTATATGTTTCTGGTGTATTATTTATCCGGGCTCGATTTAGTGCTTTGTTACTTGCACTGGTGCAACCCAATATTACAAAGTGCAATCTAGTTATTTGTCTAACATGCACCAGGTGCAAGTCAATTTTTGAGAAATAAAGCAAATGTAATCTAACATTACAAGCATAATTATGTCAGCTCATTTTTCTTCTAAACTTTGAATAATTCAGTAGCATATTTCTTTCATTACATGTTGAAATAAAAGCAGTGCAACTGGAACGTGGCTGATGCATTTAGGTTTTAAGCTTAGATTGCATCTGGTGCAAGTAGCTTACCATCTCTTAAATCGAGCCCTGAATAATAGGTCATGTCATGTAGCTGGAATATTGCCAGGTAAGACATTAAGGAAACTGTCATAACATGTGCATGATTCGTTCTTCAGTGCTGCAGATACAGATGAAGATAGGCAACAACTACAGGAAGTTGGCCTTTTCCATCTCGGCGAGTTTGTCAATGTTTTCAGACATGGTAAGTTGATAAGTATTCACAGTGTTCCAGATATCTCGTGAAACATATTTGTATACATATGGTACACTATTAGAAAAGTTTGTCCATGGTTTTGTTTCTACATTTTCATTTCTGCATTCTGGAGCAGGGCAGTGGAAAGTACCAAATGAAGGTGGTACTGAAATAACTCCCAATCATTTTAGAAAGCTGATTCTGATTGGCTCAAGAACCCATGCATGTATTATTTAGATGAGGAATAGATTGTCAATTGTTAGACATTTTCTCAGTGATGTGCATGTGTAAACTTGACATGACATGCTTCTCCTTCATGTGGAGGTAGACAAACAGGTCACATTGTGTGTTACAGGTTCACTGGTGATGCAGCATGCAGGGGAAAATGCTACACCTCTACAGGGCTCCGTGCTCTTCGGAACTGTCAACGGCGCAGTGGGTAAGTACATGAAGCTATATGAAAGAATATATTTCATAAGCTAATGTTGGAAAGTTAGTGTTTGATTTTGATTCCATAACTGATTGTGAACTGAAGGGTATAGTTAAGGCTCCCTTTCCTGCCAAATTATTTGACTACCGGTATATTGCCCTGTTTGACCAACTGTAAACCAACTCTCTCTCTCACTGTTTAAGGGCTCATGGCACAACTGTATGTCTTGCCTGACTATAAAGCCTGTGTCACAGTCCACACAATGTTTCGACCCATGAAAATCCGGGTTAGAATTGGTCTTCAGTAACCCATGCTTGTCGTAAGAGGCGACTAACGAGATCAGGTGGTCAGATTCGCCGACTTGGTTAACACATGTCATCGTATTCCAACTGCGTACATCGATGCTCATGATGTGTCGAGGGGCGGTGGGGTAGCCTAATGGTTAAAGCATTGGCTCGTCACGCCGAAGACCCGGATTCGAATCCCCACATGGGCACAATGCGTGAAGCCCATTTCTGGTGTCCCCCTCCGTGATGTTGCTGGAATATTGCTAAAAGCGCCGTAAAACCAAACTCAGTCAGTCAGTCATGATGTCGATCACTGGATTGTCTGGTCCAGACTCGATTATTTACAGACCGCCGCCACAAAATGTTTCAAATAAATTATAGTTTATTATTGAGTCATGATGTCGATCACTGGATTGTCTGGTCCAGACTCGATTATTTACAGACCGCCGCCACAAAATGTTTCAAATAAATTATAGTTTATTATTGAGTTATCAATGACCTAATGCTGTGCAGCTTTGTGGAACGGGCTGGGGCCAGTTTGATGTTATGTGACCACTAGATTGAAGTCCTCTCCTTCTGTTTCAGGACTTGTGGCACAGCTGCCTCACGACTTCTACAACTTCCTACTAGAAGTCCAGAACCGTCTGGCCAAGGTCATCAAGAGTGTTGGCAAGGTGGAACACTCATTGTATCCTTTCTATGTTTGCTGCTGTAGATATCTCCTGTGGAGATTCTGGTTTAGTTTAGGCCTCATGACAGTTAATGCTTGTCTCCCTGTGTGGGTTCCAGGTTAGAATAGGTCCCTTGTGTATCCAGGGTTTGGCCTGTGCTTATTGGACTCATCGTTTGGATTTGTGGGTCCAAACATCCTATAGTTCTCATTAGGTGGTTATCTCCAGAACCTCTGGATCCAGTTTGGTGCCTTGATTTCTGAGGAAGTTTGCAGACCCAGGTATACAGTAGTACCGTGACCTTATTTTCAAGGTCACTGTGAGTGTTTCGCTAATGAGCTGTTTGTTTGTCTTCACATCCTCTGCATTGATTTGCCGTTGATGTGGATTGCTGGACTTCATTTCCAAGATAATAGGAAGCATCTGCCTGTTGGCTGTTCGTGCAGGAAATATCAGGACGTCCACATCAATATGCTTCCATAAAAGGAAAAGGATGGCTTTTTGTAACTGAAAATGATTATTTGGCCCTAGTCTAAACAGAACAAAATACATTTACCAGTATATTTTTGAGTAGGCTTTCTAAAAAAAGTATGACATTTCAGACGTTTAGTGTGTGATTCAGTATATCACTCTCATTACTTACACAGTATATTGACCCGTGAAGATCCGGGGTAGAATAGGTCTTCAGCAACCCATGTGCTTGCCATAAAAGGCGACTATGCTTGTCGTAAGAGGCGACTAACGGGATCGGGTGGTTAGTTTCGCTGACTTGGTTGACACATGTCATCGGTTCCCAATTGTCGCAGATCGATGCTCATGCTGTTGATCACTGGATTGTCTGGTCCAGATTCGATTATTTACAGTCCGCCGCCATATAGCTGGGATATTGCTGAGTGTGGCGCGTAAAACTTTACTCACTCACTTACAGTATATTGTGATCATAAAGTCTGGTTAGATCAAATTATCTTTTCATAAAAATACAACACACTGAACTTGTACCTGTCAAACCCTAGTTATATTTGGTTTTAATAGTTTAATAAGTAAATCCACTGTCAATATGAAAATGACCTTGACCTAATAAAGGTGGCGATCTTTCTACACTGAGCGTAAGACTGAGGCTTGTGTTGGGTTTATCGATGGTGACCTTATTGAGAGCTACCTTGACCTGAGTCGGGACAAGATGCAGGAGGTGGTGCAGGGACAACAGGTAACCATGGTTACACGGTACTAGACACAATTGGTTTTCCCTGAGAGAGGGCCAAGGGATTTTTATATCACTGCATATTCCTGAAGATTTATAATCTTAATATGTGATCTTTCAAATTTGGAGAGGATCATGATGATTGTATTTTGATAGAATCATAACTCACTGCTTTGAAAGCTTTGTTAATTGTTATAAATACTGCTGACTACTTTGGGCATGAGTGCAAAAGGCTCTGAAGAGTGCGTCCCTTAGGTTTGCCAGAATCCTAAGATCATTGGTTCAAATCCCAGATCTGCCTGGATTACCATGTGTCACCAAAGTGTTCTAGAGCTGCATTCTGGGCCTTTTGGAGATGACAAGTTGTAATATGACTCAAATGCTCTTCCTTATTAGAGTAATTATAGACAGCTTCTGATGGCAATGGTGTAATACCTATGTTACTGCACTGTAGATAAAAACAACCATTCAGGCAGTTATGTCTTATTTCACTCACGCTTCCAATTGCTTTTTGTGTTTATCAAGTGATGCCATGATAAATTCAGAACGTTTTCCTTTTCAAAATCAGCACTAGTTATGATAGTAATTAACTAAAACTTCTTGAGAGACAAAACAAGTTTCAATCTGTTACTGTTAGATCTGAATTGAATGACTTCTATTATACCATGTTAATGTTGGTCAGATTGACGACGGCAGTGGTATGAAGCGAGACGCCACGGTGGAAGACCTTGTCAAGATGATAGAGGAGCTGACACGCATCCACTGATGTGAAGCCAACTGATGTGGTAACAACAATACCAGTGCGGACTACACGCACGAAGCACTCAAATAGACAACTCCCGTAAGAACAGTACAATCCTGGGTGCAGCATGTGCTATGACTAAACCAGTGCTTTGAGACAACACTTCATTGTTCAGCATCACCGGACATCTTTGTGTTCTGCGTCTGCTATTGTGACCAAGAGGATATTTTGTCACGTGTACAGTAATAAAACAACAATATTGATACTGGTCATTTTGCTGCCAGTCGGACAACAATCAGGATGACTGAGGTATAATTGGCAATGGACTATGGCACCATGAGGACTATGGACAACCTTCAATTATGCAACATTAAGGAAACTAAAAAAAACTTCCCCGCAGTCAGTAGATTTCTAACAATTCATGTCATGATAGCTGTGTTAATGTATGTCAACAGTAAGGTTGCCCTGTGTGATATTGTACTCCAAGTGTCATTATAATACTACATTGAATCGTCTAGCCTTTTTCATTAGACTATAAAATTATCAGGGTTTTTTTACAAGTCAGGAAAAGTAAAATGGCTGAAAAGGGACCTAGGTCTTTCAAAGAATATTCACAGTTAGTCACAATTGTCAGACTTTGACATAATTGATATGAGACATGATTTCACTTACAAGCCGATTGTTGTGACTTGTTGAAGACAGAATAAATTCATTGACGGAATGTAGAAGTTGTTCCACAGTTATTAGAAGTTCTGAGGACTGAGAAAGTTATTTGCAACATTAAACCGTGATATTAGTCAGGTCTCGTCTGTGAAATGTTCGTGTTGTATGCCAACATCCATAACTATGTCAACAAAGAATTTGTTTCTTTGTGTTAATTAGTCACAGTGTTGAATGTAACAAACACTATAATCGTTAGTCAGTGTTCGAATTTAGCCAGAAGTCATGGGGTCCTTGTCATGACCCTCAATCCAGGACTTGTCAAATACTTCAAGATCAAATCTCAAGGATCCCAGGAACCAAATTAAGTTCGAACACTGCTTATTGTCTGTCAAACAGAAAATTATTTTTCTATAATTAGCATTTAAAACTACGTATAAATATAGTATAATCAGGAGAGTAGGTATTGTTGTGAGGTGTTTACTGTGAGGTTGACACGGGAAGAAGCTGACCGAAACAGCTGATACGTGCAGTTGGGGACTACAGATCACTTGTTTTGCATTTAATAGTTGTTTAAATGAATTCTGTCATGTAGTTAGCTCTTCCAGGTTATAAACAGTTAGCTTTTATGAATTCTTAAATAGGAGGAAGAGTTGAGATATTAGTAAGCACTACCACAAACTCCATTGTCCCAGGTAAGGTTAGCCCTTTCACAATGGAAGTGTGCAGGTCATTTGTTCACTGGTTGGTCCTGAAGATAAATATGGACTGGTTACTGTGTTGTTTAATATCTTTCAGGTGACGTGAACATTGTTCATGAGTGATGGGCAGTGGGGTAGCCTAATGGTTAAAGCGTTGGCTCGTCACGCCGAAGACCCGGGTTCGAATCCCCACATGGGCACAATGTGTGAAGCCCATTTCTGGTGTCCCCCGCCGTGATGTTGCTGGAATATTGCTAAAAGCGGCGTAAAACCAAACACAGTCAGTCAGTCATGAGTGATCCGAGTTATATGAGATTGAAAATACAAATTCATTAAAATGAATGAACCTCAAGGCACATCTACTTCAATAGGAAGACAGGGATGGAAATAACCAATTGCCCGACGTCCGAGTCCAGTGTTTTTTCTGTCGGGCAAGCAAATTTGTATATCACACTGTACCGGTGTCCAGTTGACTTTCCAATGGTAATTATGTTGTTTATTTAAAAAATCAGCAAGAAAACGGTCGGTATAGTGGAAAAGTTATCAGGGCAAGTGACTTTACATGTGCCACTGTACCGGAGTACACTATCAATTTTAAAGTTATTTCCACCCCTGAAAACATTTTGGTTGTTAGCAATTGACAATAACACGGTGACATTTTATGGTACTCCTCGGTGACAAAATGAAGGAATGGATCAGAACATCAACGAAACCTGTCATGTTCCAAGGTTCTGGGGAGGTGTATGCCTGTCCTAGGGGTGACATTTTCAAAACCAGAATGATGCAACCCAAAGAGTACGTCATGTACATATGTGTAATTAGACCTTTTATTATCCCTTGTGTATGTATATTATATAAACAGTTGAGACATTGTCAATACTTTATGGGCTTGAAACACCACGTTATACCTGTGATTACGTCACCACGTTGGGATGTAGTGGCGATGTAGTGGTGATGTGTGTCTAATTTTAGTTAGCTAATGACAGGGATCCGTTATAATTCACAGAAGCGTGCGCTACTTTGAACACCAGGGAACCATTGCCTGATATCGAAGTAGGGCATATAATTGGAGTTTGTGGCACAAATTGCAGGAGAGACGTGTTTTGGTCATGCAAGACCAGCAGTAAGACTGTGACTTGGTGTGTAGTTTAAAATAGGGGGTGCAGTCGGTCATCTAACGTTACGGGAGATGGAGTTGTATTAGACCTGTGAAATATTGACAATGGAGCTGACGATGCTCCACACAGCCTTCATTACCCTGTTGTCTGTTGAAAGATTCCGGTTGTATTCTTCTTCACTTGCTTTCAGCCACTTAGTACTAGGGAGGGTCGATAGTCAGGCAATCGAAGTCCTGGCATCTCATGTTCCATTCCCCACATTGGCACCATCTTGTATCCTCCGGCAGAGACATTGCTGGTATATTACTGGAAGCGGTGCAAAGCAAAAAATTACCAGAACACCATAGACAGAAATTAGAGTGGGGATAGGATGTAGGGTTTCTTTGTTGTAGATCAATATGCAGCCCTTGATAACAATCTTCGGCTTCTATCTAGTTCTATCAATCTAGTATTTAATTCTTAGATATTATCTGTAAATTTGGAAAGACTTCACAATTCTGATTTTTTTTCTAGTTTGTTCTTATACTATGAGATTGTTCCATATATTTTTTCCGATACATATTTTTCATAACTCCTGGATTAAAATAAGTGAATTTTTCACGTGAAGTATGGATTGTTTGTTTTAGTGTTTATAGCATACTGATCATATGGATACATGTCCATATTTACCAGTTCCATTTATTTCCTAGATGTTCAATTAAAGTCATCTCACAAGACTCATCTTTTATCGCCACCTCCTCGTCTTGAATGAAGAGTCGATTTGAATCACAAAGTTTAATATAAACTGTCAGATTTTCGACGTAAAGCATATCACTTAATCTCTATTACAAAGTAGGCACCATCCTGGATGAAGATACAAGAAAAAACTTATAATAGGCATGGACAGTCTTCCGATATCTTAGGGCAACGATAACTTTGAAATTATGCGATGATAGTTACCATTTCCTTATGTTAGATTTACAGTAATTTTAGGGCTAAGATTACGACTTTCTCGTGGACTCGAGTTCCTGACAAGTTAAGACAACTCTTTTCTTCACTTCTCTAACACCAAACTCCTGACAGTAGCAGCTCTCACACAGTCCCTTACTGTGGTAGGCAGCTTACAGTCATGCATGGAGTTGAACTTACTATCCACCAACTAGGTGTACAAACAAGTGACACACAATACTCTTCCCCCAAGCTAAGTTAGTTTGAATTTCTGTACCATTACAATCAAGATTTTTACTTTGTAAGTATTGAACGACAACGTTGTTGTTTTTCTGAGTCTTGAACCAGTCTGAATAAACAAATGTAAATTCATCTCGGAAATAATGTCATTCGTAACTAGTTTTTCCAACTGTCAAGACCAACTCATTCACAAAAATATGAATGTCACTACATTTTGGGTCAGAGATTTATTCGTAATGGCTGCTTTTACGCTGAAGGCAGGGATAATATCGAAAGGGTGATAGCAGTGTATGAAATACGGCCTGTCCGACCGCCCGACGGGCTAGATTTCTGACAGATGGTCTAAATTTACAGCTAGCCAGCCCGATGCTCTGATAAAATGTTTTTAGATATTCCATACATCTGAGTAAATTCACCATATCTTGGTGTCTGGTCTCATTAAATCCATTTTGGGCTAGTAACAATTTGAAGTTACCAGCCCTGATGTCTGGTTGGGGTTTTGGCTTATTTCATACACTGGTGATAGAGGTGTCATGTCCAGGGGAGATACTTGCCCTAACCAATGTGGCAGACGTGAAAAGAAAGGCAACAGTTTGAATTAAATGAAGCATCTTATCTCAAAATGGGATACTGTTCTAGTTTTGTGTACTCAGTCTCATTGTCTTTCTATCAAGCAAATGTTACTGGAGCCATCACCTTATCTACTTCCTGGCAGCCCAACCCTGGATGTTGTTAAGATGTAGAAGTGCAATAACCAAGTAACTCCCATTTTCCATAGCCTTTTTACAACTCTTGCATGAGTGACAGGGCTGTACTATTTTTGCAACAAATAGTTATGATTTACAGGCTAAGTTGTGTTTTGTTTTCATGAGAATTGGACTTTCTGTGTGGTTTCAGTTACTATGTTGATCACATACCAATGAATTAAATTTGTACAGAAAGATGACTTTTGTTTTTATTTGAAATATAGTTGACCACATAACAATTATGAAACAAGCCAAAAATGTGAGCCAGACTCACTAATGACCGAAACTCTCAACTTCAGCTGAACAATTAATAATGATTATTCTTGATAAAAACACGATATCTGTATCACACTTTGCACTGCACGTTCCTACTGACAAAGAAGAGACGACACAAATCAGAAAATAATTCATTCATTCATTCATTGAACAGTTATTGGTTGAACGAATTTGATGAGGGACTTTTCTCCAAGTTCAAGAGGTGAGGTGAAATTGGGTTTAACGTCGTGCTTGAGAATATTTTGCTCATATGACAACGTGCATGAGTGTGTATGTGTATGTGCGGCTGCTTGTACTAGCCCAGACTTAAGCTGGTTTGATAGTGCTAGCTCACTGAGATGCCATGCCGCAGTGAAGCATGTATACCCCACTCAGACACATTATACTGACTCTGAGCCGACCAGTCCTTGCTGTACCCATTAATGCCGAGCGCCAGGCAGGGACCAACAAGTACCATATTTTAACATGTTTTGGTATGACACGGTCGGGGATCGAACTCCAAGTTCAAGAGATGCAATTTGTAATGGTTCTAAAATATTACCTTGCACTGCAGCTTTTTCAAAAATTATAAGCTTGAAAAACAACAACAATACACTATATGTATCAGAATTAGCACTGTATGTTCCTATTTGCAAATAACCCACAATTCACTATATATGTATCGGAATTAGCACTGCATGTACTATTTGAAAAAACCCACAATACACTATATATGTATCTGAATTAGCACTGCATGTTCCTATTTGAAAAAAACCCACAATACACTATATATGTAACTGAATTAGCACTGCATGTTCCTATTTGCAAATAACCCACAATACACTATATATGTATCGGAATTAGCACTGCATGTTCCTATTTGCAAATAACCCACAATACACTATATATGTATCGGAATTAGCACTGCATGTTCCTATTTGAAAAAAACCCACAATACACTATATATGTAACTTAATTAGCACTGCATGTTCCTATTTGCAAATAACCCACAATACACTATATATGTATCGGAATTAGCACTGCATGTTCCTATTTGCAAATAACCCACAATACACTATATATGTATCGGAATTAGCACTGTATGTTCCTATTTGCAAATAACCCACAATACACTATATATGTATCGGAATTAGCACTGCATGTTCCTATTTGCAAATAACCCACAATACACTATATATGTAACTGAATTAGCACTGCATGTTCCTATTTGCAAATAACCCACAATACACTATATATGTATCGGAATTAGCACTGCATGTTCCTATTTGCAAATAACCCACAATACACTATATATGTATCGGAATTAGCACTGCATGTTCCTATTTGCAAATAACCCACAATACACTATATATGTATCGGAATTAGCACTGCATGTTCCTATTTGCAAATAACCCACAATTCACTATATATGTATCGGAATTAGCACTGCATGTTCCTATTTGCAAATAACCCACAATTCACTATATATGTATCGGAATTAGCACTGCATGTTCCTATTTGCAAATATTCACTATATATGTATCGGAATTAGCACTGCATGTTCCTATTTATGTAACCCACAATACACTAGCATTAGCGTGTTCCTATTTGAAAAAACCCACAATACACTATATATGTAACTGAATTAGCACTGCATGTTCCTATTTGCAAAAACCCACAATACACTATATATGTATCGGAATTAGCACTGCCTGTTCCTATTTGCAAAAAAAAAAGAAAAGATTACATGAATCCGGAAAAATCCATTCATTGTAAAGGTAATGGTTGAACAAATTTGATAAGGTACTTTCCCAAAGTTCAAGTACAATTTGTGATAGTTCTAAAAAAGTAGTACTTTGTACTGCAGTTTTTTCAAAAGTTTCAAAACCAAATTCGCACTGCCCCCTCTCCTTTACACAAAGAAGCTGTTTTCCAAATTCCAAAATGAAAACATTTTGACCAAAGCTTTGCAAGTCATTGGTTGAACAAACTTTGAAATTGTAATTCTTGAGAAAAAAACCCGTCACAATTTGCACTTAAGTTCTCCTTTAGACCAAGAAGGTGGTTGAAAACATTCCATTCAAATGAGCTCAGGTTTTTCTTCAGTTGAAAATATGTAAATTAATGCAACTCTTTCGAAAATTCCAAAATCAGAACCCCCTCTCCTTTAGACAAAGAAAGTGGTCCCCTAATTTAAAAACTATTTGTTGGATTGTTTTCAAGTTATTGGTAGAACAAAATTGTCTCCGACGGACAGACCAAATTCCTTGTAATAACTATATACAGCCAACCTTTTATGGTCATATCCCATGCCCAAAAATAATGTGACAATGATTGACATAAACATACTCAATATTTTATTGATGAATACAATCATAGGTTGACATAAAATCTCTATCTGGAGATGAATAAATACTAAAAGCTGATTAGTCCCCGCTATCGTGGCATGATTAATAATGCAAATTAACATGACCATCTGTGCAAATAAATCAAACGGATCAACATTCTCCATAGCATCTGTACACACTGCAATTGTTTCTACAAAAACAGAAGCTGAAGAAAACTGCCCAGTATGTATAATGTGGAACAATTCATGTCACTTGGAAGAAAATAGTACATATTCTGACAAATATTTTTCCTCATTAAATAAAAACAACACATTTTACATACAATGCATGTGTCACCATGGTGACAGGCTGTAATGTTTCACCCATGAAGTGAGATCCTGTAATATTTGTGCCCATTGAACACTACAATTACTTAAGCACTGGTCATTGAACATACTTCACAGGTCTGGAGTTCCAGCTCTGAAGACTCCACAGACCTTCTTGGACCATCTTGGACCATCTTGGACCATGCATGATTATCCAAAGTATCAACCTCCATTCTATTCTGTTATACACACTGGACCGATACGTGTTCAGATTTTCATTTCGGCAGCGACCAATCTCGCTCTCTCGTCTTCCATTAACAGCATACTGCATAGAGGTAAATAGGGTACAGACTGAAAACATGATACATTGGTTAATCAATTGCAATCTTTGACTCGGCATTTTGGCCAATTGAAAACATGGAATACTATCTGAGGGCCCTCTCCACTGTTGTAACGATACTCCTTGTGCTCACATCCCCTTGTAGAACATGACACCAGCTTGATGCAGATGATCAACAGGGCTCTCACTCACTACTGCAACTGTGCACAGTGTCCTGAGTTACGACAGTCTTGGCGTAAAGGTCACTTTGGAGACCCTCTAGATGACTTTCAAATAAATATATCACTGGTGAATAATGTAATTGAAAATCTGTTTAGAAAATACCATGCAGATCCTACAACGGTAAAAACAACAGTTTCTTTCTCAACTGTAGGGACATGATATAAATCAGTTGGGCAACTCTCAAAAACAACAGTTTCTTTCTCAACTGCAGGGACATGATTTAAATCAGTCTAAAACTCTCATAAACAACAGATTCTTTCTCAACTGTAGGGACATGATTTAAATCAGTCGGGCAACTTTCACAAATAACAGTTGGATATCAAGCTTAGAATCTATCTAAACTGTAGTGACATGATATGAATCATTTTACAAAATAATGCTGATCATGAAACGTCAACATCCAAATCTAATATTGCATGATTACGCCCATAAGTCTCACTGATCTGTCCACACAAAATTACATCAAAACAGCTCTGCATTGTATGAATCAGTCTTGACAGACACAACACAAGATTTATGTTCACTGATAACCTCAACCATCACGCAAAGTAACACGGAACAACAGCTACAGGGTAAACGGACTAGTGCTGTGTTGACGTCACTTTTCATCCTTAGTTGACACTACTGAGGAACATGAGCCCTCCTAAACCAATATCATTCTTCATCATTCCAGTAGATCCACATCCACTTTGTAATGGCCGTCCTGGATTATTCGAGGTATCACACGTCTATTCTATTATGAGAAATACCCTGTACAGATTCAAATGCAGCTGTGTCCTGTAGCACAGTAAGCACACAGAATGATGTCTCACCCGACTTTGCTACACGAACCGTTCAAAATGCCTCTTTCAAACAAGCCCTCAGTAATGCTCTGTATTCAACATCATAGCCTTGTACAAGCAAGACCTTGACATACGTTATCAAACTGGAAGACTGTCATAAAAGAACTTTCCGCTAGAAAAGAGCAGAGAGATAGGTGAGGCAAGTCCTATTACCACAGAACCTTGAGGTTACATTTGACACAGCATGCAAGAGTTCAGTTATTGTTATCACTGCCTGGTACACTGACGGAAGAACAATGTCATTGAAACCATTCTCAACATGACTGACTGACTGAGTTTGGTTTTACGCCGCTTTTAGCAATATTCCAGCAACATCACGACGGGGGACACCAGAAATGGGCTTCACACATTGTACCCATGTGGGTATTCGAACCCGGGTCTTCGGCGTGACGAGCCAACGCTTTAACCATTAGGCTACCCCATCGCCCTTCTCAACATGAAGCTAAGGTGGCAGGTGGGTCCAAGGTATCATAACATAATACAGGTTGAATACAGTGGATAATGGTGACGACAAATTCCCCGACCACATAAAACGTGACTAATTTCAAATCCTACTACACAGCCTTAACCCAACATCCATACAAACCATCACGTTATTTCACTCCATGCAAAAACCATAGACATGAAAAATGTCACAGCATCAGTTTTCTGTAGAACAAATCTCAGAAACAATCCATAATCTTTGCACAAGGACTGGCAAACTCCCATACTCTTATTCAGACTCGTGACCGTCCTCGTGGTAAGAATTTCTATTCTGAAGACCTGCCCTGATAATTAACCTTGCCTCAGTATCTCCATTGCCAATACTTCACAGATTGAAATACACTACGACTGTTCCTCCACGGCCAATGAATATATTTCTCGTGTTGTAGGACATGTTTTTAGTAAACTACTGAAACAAAACCGCTGTCAGCAATATTCCAGCAATATCACGTAGAGCGACACCAGAAATGGGCTTCACACATTGTACCCATGTAGGGAATCGAACCCTGGTCTTTGGCATGACAAGTGAACGCTTTAACCACTAGACAACCCCACAGAGAATAACAATGTGATGAAAATTATTGTTTTTGTTAATACTTTCAAAGGATATGTAAATCATCATTTGTGAAAGGAGTCGGGGCTTAGTATTTGTAGCAATGTGCATGCAAGGCTGCATGTATAATCCTGACTGAAGGCTACCCTTGTGGTCAACCAGGGCTGGTTATATTTGTCAGATAAAAATATCAATTGGTGCTGAAGGAATGCTGTGAAGTATTGACAATGAGCAAGAGATTGAATTTGGCTCATCACCACTTCAGGTAATATTTCAGTTGAATCACAAGTCTGCTTGATGTGAGTGGAACACCATAATGATGTACTTCTTTCCTGAAAACTCCATACACATTTCAGTGACTTTAGGTCAAACTTTGTGCAATTAAACACTAAACATGAAGCACACTATCCTGGAACTACTAAGGGAGGCAATCTATAAGTCACATACATAACAATGCTGAAAAGATCTTGATTCAAAAGACCACAATTCTGCAGTTTGGCTTCATGATGAGACATCATGAACCATGTTTCACAAATTGAAAATATTTAACTATCAATACATGGTGGAAATCATCAATAGCTTTGATGTTCAATAAATGAAAACAGTACCCATGTCTATTTACAAATAAAAAATATGGGTTCACAAAAACGTGATGGATATTGTTTCATGAACCATCATTTACAAAAGTATGTACATACAAAATTAGAGATACCATTTGATAATATTAACACATTGATATCATTATTCAAGTCTTTGCAACAACATGGATCATATATGGACAAACAGCTCACACAAAATGGCTGTGAAACTGTAGCAATGTAACAATTTGACATCCACTGGTTGATATCGATACACAGGCCCCTTTCCACTATCATACAGAGCTGTCTTAGCACTAAGATCACTTTTGGAAGAGGGCCTAGACCGGGAACAGGAATCCTCGGCTTATTATAGCTGATTAACAGGACTCCCTTCCACATAGCAATCCTAGTGCTACAGATGTCCAAAGCCAATGCTGCACTGTCCGTGTCAAGATCGTCTTATCGCTAATATCACTTTGTGGTAAGGGGCTCAGGTCCATTCTCATAAACTTCTAAACCATTCTGTCACATAAATATATCACTGGTGAATGATGTTATCATTGAAAATTGGTATATCACATAATATACACACCCTCTACAGGTAGGTCAATATGACAACAGCACCTGCAATAACTAGGTCACACCGTAAGGCTGCAAACGCCTGCTTCTCATTACCATGATTACATGGCCTAGCTGCATCCTCACCTATCTGATCTATTTCCCACCTTTGTCAAGGCCAAGTGACGTAATGCTAAAAACAGATACCCAATCAAACTGCATCATTCTTTCATGACTGAAACACGGCAGCGAAACCACCAGTACTCGAATAACTGTTGTCTCAAAAAGCATCAGAATGTCTTGAAGCATAATACTTCCTTCCCCTTTTTCAGTTCTCAGTGTAACATCTTTTCCAGCTCAATTGTCTTAGAAGAGTCGATTACTATAATTAAAATATAAAGTAAATAGAAGCTTGCGTAGATAAGGCTGTGGTTTTGAATGAAAATATCTACAATGAACTCAGAAAAGGCCTATAAGTTTATTTCCAGCTAATGAACAGACATTGTGCGCTAAGTTAGTAATGACAGACGTTAAGGTGGAACCGCCACTTCCAACACAGGTCTTACAATGGAGATATTATACTCTGGGCAACCTTAACATGACCCAAATCAGAAAACTTTGGAGTGTGTACATCTATATTGATCACACATTCATTACAAATAATAAGCCTGTCACACAAAACAAGATATGATCATTTTTAAGACATGTGAGGTCATTACAAGGTGAAGGTCACTTGACAGATATTTTACAAGGAGACAACCCACTAATCAACAATAGTACCAATATCATCGAGAATCATTATGTGTTACTCACATTAACAGGATCATAGTATGTCGGTACATTACGACAGTTATACAACACCAGCACATTGGCCACTGTGTAGAGGTACAGATATTGCATATTGAAGAGTGACACTGACAACACACTAAATGAACATATTGGAAATAATACACAGAATATCAGGAGACCGAACTGTGAGATACTGAACATAATGGATGCACCAATGTGAAAAGGTACGGACCATGATACCTTCATTGACCCGTTTTGAAAACAAATTGTAGAAAATCACAAAAGAGAAAAAAGATGAATTATTTAGAATTGCAAAATGTCAACATGAAAGAAAGGGGAACTAGTCTCCACACATTTTTGATTGATTACCCCAAAGAGAGCAGATTGGAGCTCAAATTTGCACAAACCACATTTGTTTTATTTAAAGGAAATGCTTTTCTTATTTTTCACCAAAGCCTTTGACCCAAGCTGGTTCTCACAGCAGTGTGAGAAATTTACGCTGGTCCTGTGGTTCCTGGCTAGTAAAATTTCATCAGGACCACTAAATGATAAGTTTGCAGTGGCCCTGGTGGCCAAATCTTTGAATGTTGGACCAGTGAAGTACAGACAGGACTAGTAATTATTGTCCACTCACTGGTCCTGTGGTCTAGTGGGAAATTTTAAAAGGTTTCTTTCCCTGCACAGCCATGTAAGATAGGCCAAAGAAACAGTAATTGATGGCCATGCTTCTTGAGAAGTACAAATTTGGACTATTTCACTCAAAATAGTTTTCAGCTCCACATTCTCAGTTCAAAACTTGAAGCTTATATATGGAGACCAGTTCTCTAGCATATTACCCTGACTGACAATTTTCACAGCAATATCTTTAGGCATTTTCATTTCTAATCCCAAACCATAAACCTTCTTCATTAGGCAATATTTAACAATGTCAACTGAGAAACAAAATGTCATCACTTGGTGTTTGGAATTCTTACTTTCCCTATATTTGTTTCGAATTCTAAATATGTGTTGGATAAAGACAGACCAATCAGTGTTTTACGAGACCCTTTCTGAAACAGAATCTCATTTTGTAATACACTAGACCAGCTCAGCTAGTCTTAGCACTTGTTTCTATAAATACATAAATACTCTATATACAATGAATTCTTAACTTACACACCCACAAACACACGTTTAATGGGATAAAATGCTGAAAAGTCTGCTCACATCATGGACATTTCATTGAAATCCACTGAGCCAAATCATTCTGATGCTAAAATATAGCCATGGTTTATGTGAAACAAAGAATCCAGGAATGACCTTTAACTACGTTTCCATGACAAAGGGCAGAGAAGGTTTTGAAATCAGGAGTAAATTCAGGTTCCACAGGAAAGTGCCTCAATATGTTTCTAAACAACCTTGAACCACATCCCAGTATTGGGTATTGGGAGGCACACAAATTGTTTCACACTTTCTGTACATTCTGGATACAAACATGCCTCATGACATCATGGAGCAAAACAAGTTTGCTGTTGACATGAACAACAAATCCATGCCACATTTCTGACCGGAAAGGTCAAGGTCATATATACAATAATGTAGACAAATAAACATTGAAAAATATATTCTTCCACTACTTTCAGTATTATGAGTGAGTGAGTGGATGGCTCTGGTCTCATAAACACATGATAAACATTTCTAATGCTTCTACAAGACTCATTTCCTCATCTCAACCTGCTGGCTCGAATATCTTTATCTTACTTTCTACACATTCATTATCAGAAATATGTGCTTCAGCAGACTTACGAATATCACACCTGAATAGACGCCTGTAGCACTTTTCTTAATCAGCTGCACACTGTATATCTATATAATAACGTGTCATTGCTAACAGATTTCCATCTCCATCACTGAACCAGAGACCATATAATCTATTATATGGTCTCTGCTGAAACCTATGTCATCTGTTTCATTGTTATCATTTACACATGTGTCATCTGAGGTCCATCTTCATCACTGACATCAATGGTATCTGAGGTCCATCTTCATCACTGACATCAATGGTATCTGAGGTCCATCTTCATCAGTAACACCTAAACTGACTTCTATCTTCATAACTGACAGATAGGACATCTGACTTTTCATCTTCATCACTGACACTACAACATCTGAGTTTTATCTTCATCACTGACACCTACAATAATGAGTTTTATCTTCATCACTGACACCTACAATAATGAGTTTTATCTTCATCACTGACACCTACAATAATGAGTTTTATCTTCATCACTGACACCTACATCTTACACCTACAATAATGAGTTTTATCTTCATCACTGAAACCTACAATAATGAGTTTTATCTTCATCACTGACACCTACAATAATGAGTTTTATCTTCATCACTGACACCTACAATAATGAGTTTTATCTTCATCACTGACACCTACAATAACTGAGTTTTATCTTCATCACTGACACCTACAATAATGAGTTTTATCTTCATCACTGACACCTACAATAATGAGTTTTATCTTCATCACTGACACCTACATTAACTGAGTTTTATCTTCATCACTGACACTTACAACATCTGAGTCTTAACTTCATAACCGACGTCTACAACCTATGACATCTGCATTTCTTTCACCGCTTACGCCACTAGAACATCTGAGTTTCATCTTCACCACTGACACCTACGACGTTTAAGTATTCTTCATTACTTACACCAACAACATTTGAGTTTTAGCTTGTCTGCCATATCTTCATCACAAACACCTATGTTATCTGTGTTTCATCTTCATTACTAACACCTACGGCATCTGAGTTTTATCTTTATCACTGACACCTACATTAACTGCGTTTTATCTTCATCACTGACACCTACAATATCTGAGTTTTATCTTCATCACTGACACCTACGGCATCTGAGTTTTATCATCATCACCAACACCTATGATGTCCAAGTTTTATCTTCATCACTGACACCAGTGTTATCTGACTTCTGTCTTCATCACTGAGACCTACATCATCTGTGTTTCATTGTATCACTAATACCAACGTTATCTGATTTCCATTTTCATCAAAGACACCTATTTCATCAGAAATTCAGAATTCAGAGTTTCAGAATCAGCAGCAACACATATCTCGTCCAAGTTCCACTTCCATCACGGTTATTGTGCTCCAGTTGTTGAACTAGATCAGTCTGTAGTAACACATTAATGCAATGTTCTTCAGCAGTCAGTCAACATCTGTCTGTCTTCATCCACTGGTTTGTTTCTCCTCTTCAGCAACAGAGTTGTGCGTTATCTGCGTTTCATCTTGCCCTTCTTCTTCATCATGGCCTTCCTCTGCAGCTCTTCCTGTTCCTGTTTTATGTCTTCCAGATCCTCCAGCAGTCCTAGCTTGGCACTGAAGCACACACACCACACTCATTACCATGATTATTTCATACCTAGGCATACAATAACACATCCATAATGGTGGATAAAACCAATTTCATCACCTCTAGGGAAACATGTTGTGCACTAATAACATGTTTTGAACAAATAACACATTGTACCAGTTAGTGAAATAACTCTTTTATGGCAGCTGCTTCTTAGAGTGACTTCCCTTTCTCAATGTTTACATTTGCATCAAGCATCTACTTTCCATGTGACATCCTCGTTAGACTAGCAGTAAAACTGCCGTCACCAGAGTCAAGTGGCCATTACAAGAATCATGATATCTACCCTCAAACCCCACTTAGACATCTATAATTTTGTGCATGTCTCTGGTTATGTCATCGTACCGTATTTTCAAATGGTTTACAGCAGACTTACTGTTTCCAAGATGAGGGTACATTTTGCTCAATTCTTGGGATAGGTTAGTGCCAGAAAAGAACCTAACTTCCCCCTTATTTTCCTACTATAAACATGACATGATAATTGAAATTAAATAAAAATTCAAACTGACAAATAAGAAAACAATTTAGCTGGAAGAAAATAGTTCAAAGTCCCAACAGTCATCACAAGTTTGATAGCTGAATGCTCATTTCGTTGGAGCTGGTTGTGACCACCCATCACAGTGAAAAGATGGGACTATAGGCAGTGATAGTATATAGAACTGCATTAATGGTGGTCACTGTGAAGAGCAGGATATTTCCAATCATGTAAAACAAATATACCCCATATATTACAATTAGCGACTAAAAGACCAAATGTCTGACTGGTATTTTAGAAGAACAGTAAAGGCAAGGTATTTTGGTATTTGATGTTGTCAACAGAATAAAGATATATACTGAAATGTTTGTTTATGCTATATGCCGGCAGTCTGTAAATAATCTACACTGGACCAGACAATCCAGTGATCAACAGCATGAGCATCAATCCACGCAATTGGGATATGATGACATGCTTCAGCCAAGTTAGCTAGCCTGACCACCAAATTGCCTCTTACGAAGACCAATTCTAACCCGGATCTTCACAGGTACTGTTTAGAAAGAAGAACTTGTCATCAATAAAAGCTTCTTGCCTTTACTGCCAAAAAATCAAGCATAACAACTTTTTAACATTTCCTGTGGATGTAAACAATTCTCCAATCAATTGTAGGACATGGAATAACTCACCTTCTTGCTTCCTCCTTCATCACTGTAGCGTAGTTGCTCTCCATGCAAGCCAGGTCATCATCCCTTATATGGTCATACCTGCAACCAATACATCACTGTTAATTTGTGTGCAGAACTCAAGAAGCTCAAATCTACTAAACTGAGCAGAGGACAAGTAAAAATCCAAGGAAGGTCCCAATGGACGAGACCGCCTCCGTGGTGTAGTGGTTAGAGCATCCGCCCGGAGAGCGGAAGATCGCGGGTTCGATCCCCGACCGCGTCAAACCAAAAGACGTTTAAATATGGTACCTGTTGGTCCCTGCCTGGCGCTTGGCATTAATGGCTACAACAAGGACTGGTCGGCTCGGAGTCAGTATAATGTGTCTGAGTGGGGTATTCATGCTTCACTGCGGCATGGTATCTCAGTGGGCTAGCACTATAAAACCAACTTCAGTCTGGGCTAGTACAAGCAGCCGCACATACACATACACGCTCATGCACGTCGTCATATGAGCGAAATATTCTCAAGCACGACATTAAACCCAATTTCACCTCACCTCACCTCACCTCACCTCACCAATGGACGTCTTTCATGAAAGTAGTAAAATGTAAACCATGTAATATTTGTGATTACACAATGCTATCTGACGTCCATCTTCACCACTAATACCTAGAACTTATTTCTATCTTTATAACTGACATCTAGGACATCAGTACATATTTAAGGTCCTTCAGAGTCCCATTCAGATTCAAACCAACACATAAGATGCTAGTAAGTGGGCAAACTACACCCTTCCTCAGGGACAACTGAACGATGAGGAAAAACAGTCACTCACTTCCGCTTGTCATATCCGAAGATCTGTCGTATGTATTTGGAGTAGTCCAGACTTGAAGGATCATCCTCATCCTCGCCATCATCAATGAAATCATCCATTTCTTCATCTTCTTCACTCTCGCTGGCTATCACCTGGCGCTTCCTCTTAGCTGTAACAAATTGACATGCACAGATTGCAGTTGATAGAAGTGACAAGGTGCATCCATCTTCAGTGGAGATATGGAGAGAGATGTCATATTTGAGTAAATAGTATATATTTATGTGTCATATCCCCACTTTAAAGCAAGCTCAAAGGGTTGCATTATAAACCTGTCAGTGGATCAGCATGTATTCAACTTTCATTCTCACCTCCCTGGGAAGAAGAGGGAACCAGTTCATGAACAATTCAATTCTCAAACCGAAATAGTGCTCTGTAGAGCAAAGCCAAAACCCTGAAAGCTGCAAAGAGTAAATGGCTTCCTTTATGATTATGTTAAAAGCAAACTGAACAGAAAGCTCTGTTTTTCTCACAAATGAGCAGTGATGAGATAAAATAGTAATTAGCAGCTTGAATGCATTGGAAGGCAGTGTTTACGAAAGCTTAGATTACAGCTGAATGGCCAATCAGGCTTTTGTTCAGAAAGGTCAACATCTGCTGGACTGCAAAACATTGTAATACAATTTCATTGGTGCCATATCTCCTAGGAGACCAGGACATCTCACCCTGGTGATATCTCTGGGCAGATCATGTCATCTCACTTTGGTGATATTTTCTGGGAGATCGTGTCATCTCACCCTGGTGATATCTCCTGGGAGATTGTGTCATCTCACCCTGGTGTCATCTCACCCTGGTGATATCTCCTGGGAGATTGTGTCATCTCACCCTGGTGATATCTCCTGGGAGATTCTATCATCTCACCCTGGTGATATCTCCTGGGAGATTCTGTCATCTCACCCTGGTGATATCTCCTGGGAGATTGTGTCATCTCACCCTGGTGATATCTCCGGGAGGTTGTGCCATCTCACCCCTGGTGATATCTCATCCCACCCATCTCACCCCTGGTGATATCTCCTGGGAGGTTGTGTCATCTCACCCTGGATGATATCTCCCAGGAAACTGTTTCATCCCAGAGATATCTCCTGTCATCTCACCCTGGTGATATCTCCTGGGAGTGATTTCTCACCCTGGTGATATCTCCTGGGAGGACGTACCTAGTGCAATTTTCAAGCGGAATGACAGTTTCTACTGTCTGCCAGCTGTCTCTTTGGCCGCCACTAATAGCTCCACCCTGGTGATATATCTCCTGGGAGAAAAACACATCAGCCTTATGTGATATCGATCTGACGAATTAACTTCTCACCCTGGTGATATCTCCTGGGAGATTCTGTTTTGTATCAAACCATCTGTCATGTGACCAATTTCATCCTGTTGTTTGGTGATATCTCCTGAGATTCTTTATGCTACTATCATCCCATAGATTTCTGTCTTCCTGGTAACAACTCAGATATCTCTGAATGGAGATTGTGTCATCCCACCCTGGTCCTGGGAGATATCTCCTGGGAGATTCTGTCATCCCACCCTGGTGATATCTCCTGGGAGATTCTGTCATCCCACCCTGGTGATATCTCCTGGGAGATTCTGTCATCCCACCCTGGTGATATCTCCTGGGAGATTCTGTCATCCCACCCTGGTGATATCTCCTGGGAGATTCTGTCATCCCACCCTGGTGATATCTCCTGGGAGATTCTGTCATCCCACCCTGGTGATATCTCCTGCCAATATGCAACAACAACAACAAACATAACAATGGCTGACAACTTACTGATTTGAGGTTTGGGATTATTTCTTTTAATCTCTCCCACAATTCTGTCGAAGGGATTTGATGCAATTGGTGACGATGGTGGTGATGGTGATGATGGTCCACACACCAGAACATTTTCATGTGTATCATCATACTCTCGGCGTGGTTTCTTTCCTCCATGGCCATGTTCATTCATCCGATGCCTCTCTTTCGACATCTGTTTAGTATGATTCCTATGCTTGTCTTTGGAAAAGTGTTGGGGGCTATCTCTTTGCTTGTCACGTGATACCTGTTCACGATACTTATCCTTGTGACCTTGAACTTTGACTGGTCCATCCCCATGTTTATTCTTGGACATGGGTGCTTTGTACTTGTCTCGAGACACCTGTTGACTTTCACGATGTTTGTCTCTAGACACTTGTTGACTTTCACGATGTTTGTCTCTAGACACTTGTTGACTTTCACGATATTTGTCTCGAGACACTTGTTGACTTTCACGATGTTTTTCTCGAGACACCTGTTGGCTTTCACGATGTTTGTCTCGAGACATCTGTTGACTTTCACGATGTTTGTCTCGAGACACCTGTTGATGACTTTCACGATGTTTGTCTCGAGACACCTGTTGACTTTCACAATGTTTGTCTCGAGACACTTGTTGACTTTCGCGATGTTTCTCTCTGAACATCTGTTTGGAACTGTCTCTATGTTTATCTTGCGTCATTTGATTAGGGTTTTCTCTGTGCTTGCCATGCGACATTTGTGGACTTTCTCTATGTTTTTCTTTGTGCTTACCATTATCCATTGTTCGATATTTATCTAAATGTTTCTCACTGCTTTTGTTCATCATCTGCCTATGTTTATCTGCCAGCCTTGAATCATATTTGGAACTGTTGTCACGCCTATCGAAATGTCCATTAGAATTACTGGAGCTGTGAGCACTTTTAGGATGGGATTTAGCAGACATTTGTTCCTTCACGCTCTGTGATGACAGTGAATGTGGCACATGTTTGGAATTTGACGAGGGTGGAATTTTCGAACCTGAATACTTTGAACTAGAAACCGATGACTTTGAACCCGAAAACGAATGAGACAATTTAGAATTCACAGCAGGGGATGGACTGGACTTATGCCTACTGGATGAACTGAAGCTTTTGGACAATGATTTCGAATCTTGACGTTTCTGCGGAGCCTCAACAGGATCTTCATCAGAAATGTCTGAAAACGATTCTGAATCAGAAGACACAATAGGTGGTGGAGGGGGAGGCCTGCCCTTGCCAAACTTCAACCAATCCTTGTATTCCTGAGTCTGTTTGCGAGCCGCCCTATCCTTTTCCTCTTGAGTCATCGGCCTCTCGTCTTTCTTCTTCTTCACCGCTGTCGCAGCTGCCAACACACCTTCTTTTGGAGCATTCTGTTTTTGTTCCGCCATTTTCATAATTGATGAAAAATCAACCGGTGCTCCCATTGATTTGGGTCTCTTTTTAATAACTGGTGGTTTAGGCTTGCTAGTGGGCTCGGTTCTGACAACTGGTGGGATCAGTTTTTCAGAGCGTTGTTTCTCTTGACGCTGTTTCTCTAACATCTTCTCTCTGTGCTGTTGCCTTTCTCTGTCATCTTTTGTAGAATGGAACTCTTTGGGAGATGTAAATTCTTTTGTTTTTTCATCTTTAGATATCTTGACCTCCTTTGAAGATTTAAACTCTTTTGCTGCAAGCTCTCGGGACATTTTCCTTTCTTCCTTTTCTTTTCTCCTCTGCCTTCGTTCAGCCCTCTCTTTTTCGGCTCTAATTCTATCTTCTTTCTCTTCTGTAATTTTCTGATTGATCTCCTCAACCTTTTTCCTCATTGCATCTTCTTTTTCTTTGCGAATCAAGGCCTCCATTTTGGCCCAGGCAGCATTTTGGGCAGGCAAAGCTGTTCGAGGACCTTTAAACGTATACTGCATCTGCTCCACATCTTTGGCAGGGTCATGAACTGGTTCACTATTTTCTGCATCAGGTTTGGCTTTCAGCGCTGTCATTGTGTTATCCGTCTTTACTTTGTTGGGTTTTGATTCCTTCTTCACTTTGTTGTGCGTTGATTCCTTCTTTTCTTTGTTTTTATCTTCATTTTCTTTCTTCCCTGAACTTTTGTCCTTCTGTTCACTTTTGCTACTTGAGCTGCTCTTCACGGAGCCATCACCACTTTTAGGGATGCGGAAGATCTTCTTCTTTTCAGCTTCCCTCAATTCCTTCTGTCTTTGTTTTTCTGAAAATAGATGGCATGGCAGGATGTACATTTCACCTGTAGCACCAATCCAGAACTACTGTCATCAAAAATTAGCGCTCAGTTTAAAGTATCCTCTTCCTCCTTGGAGTACTGAATATTTATGAACATCCAGTAATATTTATTGATTATTAAAAAGCCATGTATATTTAAATGAGGAAGGACTGCATTATCAAACTAGGGAAATCCTTATGATGCAGAATGTTAATGATATGTACACTGGCAAGAGAGGGAATCACTGAATAGAACATTTGTTACTTTGTTATATTCAATAACGAACAGGTTCCCCTAAGAATGGAGCATTTTGAAAGCCAAATTCCTGAAACCAGCTAGTAGTGCTAAGGATATATGATCTCCTCTCATGCTTATACATGAGCTGACTAGTCTTAAAATACTGGTTAAACTCATTAAAGTGGTCGGTGAAGATACAGATAACATAACTGAGAGTACGGAAACAACGAAACAAAGTTTTAAAGGAGAAAGGTGATAGAAATACAGCTATTGTACCCGCCTGATCCTTGGTCCAGTTGCATCATGTTATATGCCAAATAGTGAGTGAGTGAGTATGGTTTTACACCGTTTTTAGCAATATTCCAGCAGTATCACGGGACACCAGAAATGATTTCACACATTGTACCCATGTGGGAACCGAACCCGGGTCTTCAGCGTGACGAGCCAACGCTTTAACCGTTAGGCTACCCCAACGCCCTATATATGCCAAATAGATCTCACGATCCCAAACTGAGTCATGCAATGCAACTGAATGCAAAGACACAACCGTCACTGGTTTGTATAAACTACATTATCCCCATACTGTGGCTTTGTTGTATAGTCATAACCCATGTACATGTTATTATCAACTGAAATGAGTCTGTTCAACATCTTGAAAACTCATGGACATGACATGAACCTTGTGCACTAACTTCGTGTAAAGTCTACCATAGCCGCTGAAGTATTTTGTAGTATTCTGAGAAGTCTTATGCATGAAGTAGGATGTGTCTTGATTAATTTGTGAATGATAACAAGTGTGCTGCAAGTTGACAATACATATTCACAGGAGGGAGAGGAACAGAGTGTATATAAACCTGTGAGAACTAACGTGGGCAGGATAATCTCAGACATGATACCCTAAATACAATAAGTGTTCATACACAAAACCATTTGTATTCATACTGGTGGAATGTGAGAACGTAGAATTTATTCTACCTAAACTACACTGATGTGTACATACCTTTTACATGTCGTTCTCTTGCTTTCTCTTCCTGTAGCTTCTTGAGGGTTTCAGATTTTACTTCTTTCGATTTCCTGTCTTCTTTCTTTGATGAGGACAGACTTGTTGAAATCTGTGCAGTGTTTTCAAACTGAAAATAGACAAATATGCAGACCATTACTATATTACCAGATAAAAAGCTGAAACATCTCTAGTCAAAGGGTAGTACACTGAACTACATGAAAGCTTTTTATTATTTTGATTTTACTCCACCACAGGAACTCAATAATACCATGCTTTAAATATCAATACAGAGCTTTAGACATTATTAGAGCTGTATAATGAGGAAATACTTCACAAATGTGCTGACTGACTGCAGGTCTGATAATGTACTGATTACATTGAAAATATTAAAGTAATATGGTGCCCACATTCCAGAGAAGTCAAGTCTCACTCAATTTACTGGTTTATCATTTGTTTATACTGCAGTTTTTAAGCATGCTAAAGCTGATAACAGTTTTCAGAAAATAGCTGACTTATCCCAAATTATCAACTATCAAAAAAGCATCATGTTGTGCGGCTGATTGGATTTCTGCCTGTTGCACATATACAATGTGAAATTGATTTTCAACTTGATACAGCCTGCATTATTTTCTAAAACAGTATATAATTACATGATTAATGACTAAGATTAGAACGATTTTAAGAAGGTGCATATCTTCAATCATGAGTAAATGAATAGGTTTTTATGCTGCATCCATCATGCAGTTTGCACACCTAGTATTATTCTGTGGCCTTGAAAAACTGAAGCTTGGATTTATGACATTATACATTGGTCTATGATTAGTCTGTTGTGTACAACATAACCATAGTCACATCAACATAAGGACTGTACTGTATATTTTCTTCGCTAAAATATTTTCAAATTGCAACACCTTATTTTCATTATGGGTTCATGAGGTCATTTGCCATGTAAAAGTGTTCTGTTGGGACATGGACACTTTACAACCGTCATTCTTTTTCACCACCAAGAAGGTAAGAAGTTAACTTCTGGTTCAGCTATTTAGAAAACATTAAAAGGTTAAACAAGATATAAATTGTTCGGGATTAACACATTTTAAGTAAAAATTATTCACTCAATTGTCTTAATTATCAGCATATCAATGATAGAATGACGAAAGCGTCCTGAAACCAAAGATATATTTTCTTTAGACATGGTCAGAAAAACAATTTGCTCCACAGGAGTATCGAACCTGTCACAGACTGTGGATTGATAAGCCCAAGTCAGCAAATCCCCCTCCCACACGGTTCCGGATAATATGGCCGTATACAGCTGGTTCGGGAGTCTGGCTTTTCTTTACTCTTACCTGATGTTTTGAGACTTTCTCATTATCAGCAGCAAGGGACATCAAGTACTTGAAGTCCATGTTGGTACAACCTCAAACCATATCTTCAAAAACCTATCCTATGACCTCTCACTGAAAATAAAAATTCGGTCGCTTTCTGGGGCAAGTGCTTCTTGTTGACGTTTTCAGATCCGAGTACACGCGAGAGAAGTACTTCCGGTTGCAAGGGATAACCCAAATTTGGGAATAGACCTGTATACGAAATCGTTAAAAAAACAACGCCAGTGCGTGAGCCGTATTCAGTCACTATCTTTATCACAGCTGTTATAGCTTTACACAAACAGAAAAACACTTACACAAAACCAACAGAAAAACACATACACTAACAAAAAAAACCGTACACAGATAAAAAGTATAAATATTCATTAACCATATATAAAATGTATTTTAAAAAGCGTATGCACTGTACGTTTGTTTTTTCTCATAGAAAATACGAATTTTCTGTCTGCACTTTAGAAAGAATATAAAACTTATCAACTGTCAGTTACATTTACGACAAATGACTTAAAGATCTTGAGAAAACTTTATGCGCATTAGAAGCGCAAGACTTTACTCGTAAGTGTTGCAGTCTCCCTTAGTGAACATGGATTATAACATACAAGCACGAAGACGACAGCAACATCAATAATAATAACAAATTACGTTAGTTTTAATTTCGAGTATCACAGTTATCACAATAAACCTTAATTTCAAGGCAGGTTTGAATCAAACACGATTATATAACAACGTAATTAACCAATTAATTACACGACTAAGCTGAGTTTAAGTAGGTATTGTCTTAAAGATCACATCGTTTCATCAGAACAAAGCTTCAAGGAGTCATTCCAATTCACAATCAAATGCATACGTATCTGTTCTTTCTCAAAGCAGCTAGACACCACATAAAAGTGTTTATGACCCCTGTGATGACAACCCTCATTTCTACAAATCACACTTGAGTTCCGCCCACCAGCCATATGTCACCAAATATTTGAGTGCAACAGCAGTTCGGCCATCATTGAAGGCGATAACGAGCTGGTCAGTTTGTCACACAATCCGCCGATATCGACGATTTCCGGGAGACTCGGATGAATCCGATGATGCACTGAGTGCAGAACGTCTTGCAGTTGTGTTCGTGTTTGTAGATGTACAGAATCTCGGAGTCTTGATCATTTTCGTTACAGAAATAGATGGGCATTGGAAGTATGATTTCGAACAATAATATACATTAATGACTTCATGCATTACAGCAACATCACATAATGTAAGGCCATGATGAATTAAATGTAAGGCCATGGTGAATTAAATGTAAGGCCATGATGAATTCATAACCCCTCACCTCCAACCCCAACCTAGCAGCCTACCTCAGATCATTTGATTACGGTTGATTGTTATGTAAACAAACTGCCATAGACAAGGTAAACAAACTCCAAATAGGGCTGGTGTGACATTTCGTGTTTTAAAAACACCTAAACTTGTTTGTGTTATAACACATAAAATTGTACACTAATTAATAACGCTGTTCTCAAAAGGACAAATTCATTAACATGACTGTTGAAAATAAATGAATATAATTGCCTTCCAACTGTTTCTCTCGAAGAGACACTGTAAACTATGGTTATACCGAACACGTTTGGAACGAACGATATAGAGAACTATTTTGGGGTCAATGCCAGCTACTGTATATTTCAGTGGAAGTGCGTATAACAAAATATGGTTGTAACGAACTAGAGGTCCCTCAGACTTCGTTATATGCCTGGTGTACTGTATACCAGCAAGACGCGTGTAGAAAGTCGTTTCCTTGTTTATATGCCAGGTTGGATACCTTTAGACGGCACGTCTTGTCCCTGGATGACACGAGTTGGTCCATGAGTCCAGAATGTGGCGTAGGCAGGAAATAGACGAAAACCAGAAACGCACATTCTTAGGACATACGCGATCTACAGTTCATTTACTTATAATTAAAACACATTGAAAACATTAAATGTATGGATGATTTTATTCTGTATATAACAACGTTACTATGGATTTATAACTTCTTTCATATACTGAGGGAAAAAATAAAGGATCACATGGAAGGTCACGTGTTCCTTTATTTTGTTCCAAGGTTTCTTCACAAGCTTTGTATCGCATAGCTTGTGAAGAAACCTGGAAAGACAAATAAGGGAACACTTGTGCTTTCATGTGGTTTCGTATTGTTTTCCCTCAGTATATTTACATCTGTACGCCCCCACCCCAACCCCACATCACACAATCCCAAATGCACCCTAAACACATCCCGAAACCCGTGAACAAAGGGGCGGGCAGCTGAACAAATGGAGCTAAGATCACTTTGCTGATCGTAGCAGATATGGTAGCCCTTCGACACTCACAAAGTATTACTACACAGTTACGCATTCCCCGACACTACAATTCTCACATGACATGTGAGTTTATGACACATGCAGGTCGTATAGAGGTCTATAAGGTGTTTTGTTTCAACATACCGAGTCGCTAGCTCATCTTTGCAGGTTTACATGGTTCAAACCTATTTAAAAAAATAATTCCCTATGTATAAAGGATATGGATTTACGCCGCTTTTAGCAATATTCCAGCAATATCACGCAGGGGGACACCAGATTTGGGTTCCACACATTGTACCCACGTAGGGAATCGAACCCGTGTCTCCGGCGTGACGTGCCAACGCTTTAACCACTAGGCTACCCCACTGCCCCTTTGCGTAAAGGAGAACGTTAACATAAGTCGATCAAATTTATCCCATAACAACTTCATGTTTGTATCCTTGAACCAGCCACATTTTCCACCCCCTTAACATATCATTTTAATACTCTGATATAATATTTGTATAGCTCTGTGTGGACTATCGTGTCCAAACTCTGTCTTATATCAGGGAGAGTGTAGAGTATCCCTGCTTATATATATGATACTGCACCCGTGTTATAAGTCGTATTTCGATCATCTGATAGAAACAGATTAATTATTTCCATGTGTGTGAGGGGTCAGGTGATAAAAACAGTTTTAGTTTGCATTACATTTTAGTAGGGGAGCACATCCAACCCTTCCCCACCCCACCAACTGCACCCCGACACGTGATCCCTGTATCGGTCAACCATCGCTCGCTGTTACGTCACATTCTGCTGTTCACCGTAACACGTGAAATCCAGCATGGCTGTCCGGGCGGGTTGAAAGTCGGGGCCGCGACAGAAAAGATACCCCCCAGATATTGTCTGTGCATGACACGTTACGTAATACATAAGTCATTAGCCATTAACTACACGTATGATCATGGGTGGGGGGTTGGTTTGAAAACGGGGGTTATTTGGTAGACCTGTTGCTCCATGCGACGCTTTAATTTTGTAAGACCACGAGATTTACTCATATTACTCATTTGCATAGCGGACATTTTGAAATGAAAAAACACGCGTTTACATTATTTAAGCGTTACACATTTGATACGACTTTCGAAAATACTTCAAAACTATTAACCTCTTGTGTTTACGTAAGTTTCTAGCATGTTTTATTAAATACGACTTGATTCGTCAATCAGCGGGGTTAAAAGGGGTACGGGTCCAACAGCGCGAGTCTGTTGTCGCTTGTATCTATAGTTCAGTGGTAGTCGTTTGTGGTGCCCTAAAACCTACAATGGTCTTAAGTGCACAGTAATCATTAATAAACAGGAGTGAAACGTCACACGTGTTCCGCCCACTCATGAATATTCATGATTTCTGTGCACTTAAGACCATTGTAGGTTTTAGGGCACAACAGTCGTTTTCCAGTGATCGTCGCGTTCAAAGCAACCACACAACCATAATCAATCATATGCCTGCACAGGTTTCGCGAAGTTAAAGGCTGTAAAAGATACATATATTATAAATCATACATATACATTTATGTAGTCGCCACATTTTACAACGAGCACGGATTTTGATCAGACGGACCAGTAACATAAACTGGGGTTCGAACCTAAGATCGACCATGGGCTGTTTGCATGCCCGGGGGACGTGTAGCGGCCATAAAATTTCCGAGTCCGTGCTGGGATTCGAACCACGGACCTTCTTATCAGAAGTCGGACGCCTTGTCCACATGACCAAAGAGGTTAACCACCACGCCCTGCTACATACTCCCCGTCAACAGAAGGCACGTCCCGAGCCGCATAGTTGGGTACTGAGACTTATTTTGCTCAAATTTCATATGAACGTGCTCAGCCCCACGTTGGGCGCCAATGTAGCGGCCATACAATTTCCGAGTCCTGTGCTGGGATTCGAACCACGGACCTTCTTATCAGAAGTCGGACGCCTTGTCCACATGACCAAAGAGGTTAACCCCGTCAGCAAGCTGACAAGGTAAGGATGTCATCTGTGGGATGACTCCACGCCCTGCTACAGACGCAAGCATACCAACCGTACTTTCTTCAGGTTGAAATGTCGAAACTCACGCCTTCTCTCATTGAGTCCTTGGTTGTTTTAATCCTTTTTGACGGGGATTTGTGGATCCTTTTGTCACGATGTTGTCTATAAGGAATGGAGCGAAGATTTATCATTTTACTTTATATGCATCTCTCACCAAAACTTTAAACATAAATGGGATGTATGTGTTCTTGTTGACTTAGGGAGAGGAAATAATCGAGACTGGACCAGACAATACAGTGATCAACAGCATGAGCATCGATCTCCGCGACTGGGAAATGATGACATGTGTCAACCAAGTCAGCGACTCTGACGACTAAATCCCGTTAGTCGCCTCTTACGATAGATACGGGTTACTGAAGACAAATTCTAACCCGGATCTTCACGGGTCAAAAACAGATTTCTGGTATTCTGTATCCAACTTACTTAATGAAAATTGTTCAGAGATCTACAATATGAAAATTGACCTTAAACTTATTGTGAAGGAAAATATATATACCGATGACGTGTTTTAGCTATTGTTGCCTTCGGCTTTATTCTGTTTTTGTAAATGAACAGATGTGAAAACTATGTTAAATGTTAATCAGTTCAAACATTATCATCACAAGAGATCAACCACCTTGATCTGATTACTTCTGGAACGGGTTCGATTCCCCACATGGGTACAATGTGTGAAGCCCACTTCTGGAGTCCCCCGCTGTGATATTGCTGGAATAAGGAAAGTGAGTGCTGTTTAAAGGAAATTTGAACAGTATTTCAATCATTCCACGCGATTTAACTCAATGTTGAAGGCAATCCCAGGCAGGTTTTCCCTTTAGCCCAGTTTAGGTTTAGATCACCTTTTGGTGAACCGGGATTCGAACCTATGATCATTGTTATTTTTTTGCACGTCTAAAGAAAATAGACTGTTATTTTACCTCGGCCGTTTGCGAGAAGGAACGTCACCCTATGATAAACTAGAATCCGAGTTCGGGTATATGTACATGCGACTTTTAGTATATTTAGAGCGGTGATGAAACTTCCGGTTATGAAATTTCCGCTTTCAAAACGTCAAGGTATCACCAAACACTTGACTACGTACGTTTGATTGTCACTGGATAAACGACTAATATGTTCTGAGACATATTCATTACCATCTCAATAAAGCGATTTGAAGAAACGCTTCTAGGTGATTTGAGACTTCCATGTAACTTGTTTAGCTACCCTGTACTGTAGATTCGACTTGCTTTGAAGTGATACGCTTTCGGTTTGCATTTCAGTTTCTTCACTGTGAAAAATCACCCGAAAGAACAATATAGCTGAATTGTTCAAATACACATACACAACCTAAATTAACTCCTTTTTGACAATTTGAACAATGCCATAAATGATCCTGTTGGAATATCACCCGAACCAGTTTGCCCAACTGCCGATTCATTTGTCTTGAATTCGGTTGAATTCCAGTGTTTAGATGCTTTTCTACTTTTTGCGCTAGTCTACTACATAACTTTCAAGTTTGTTTCCTGCACTTCGCACCATCAGTCATTGGTCACCCATCCTTACAAAGACATTTGCGAAGCTCCATTTGTAAACAATATGGCTCCACAGGTTTTGTTCTGAAGCCAAGCAAATAATGTGCCCCAGAAATGCGACTGCCTTGCCGTCAGTATTCAAGTAAATATGGAGATCCCAATATTTCAAGTAAAGATTACGCCTATTTTATTTTTATATGAAAACTCTATCATGGTCCAACTTATTTCAGTGTTAGTATCAACAAGGGAGATACATTAAATGCCTGCTATTCAGGGTGCGATTTCGGTTTTATCCAGTGCCTGCACTGAGTGCAACCTGGCTCACAGGTTTGGTTGCACCTGTGACATTTTGGTTGCACTATAAAATAATGTCACTAATTGTAAAAAGTAACATAAATACTTGTTTAGCAGTGTACATGATGAATGATTCTGGTTCAGTTTTGCAGTACCTTTATTTATTAATGTCAATGATTTTGATATATGAGTACACAAATGTTTATGCTTGTAACAACTCATGTAGAGAGAAACGTATTACTTCCAGTCACATGCTTCCCAATTCAAACATGATGACAGCTATAAGATGTTGGAGGATTTATTATCATGATTATTGTTACCTGCACCTTGTGCACTTTGATACTAAAGGTAACCTGCGCCAGTGCAGATTGTAAATAGCTAAATCACACCCTGGCTATTGTCATATCAATTATACCTAGTGGTGTTCCGATTAATTGAAATAATCGAAGATTGGTCGCAGTGACCAAACGACCAAGCAATCGATCACATTTTCTCATAATCGAACATAAACGATTTTGGAACTACTGTTTTAGTCTTTGAAATACTTGACAATGGAACATATCTTAGAAGTTGTCAGGGCCTGAAAACATGTTTATTTCTTAGAAAACTCACTTCACTAACTGAAATGTCATGACTGAATATTTCTCTAAGACTCCAGGAAGTTTATGTTCATGATATATTAGTCATCACTTTAATGTAGCAAGTTGCAACATGTTATACTTTTCTGCAGTAACAACCTGGATAGGAAAATCTGAAAAATGATGCTAACCAATGTTTTTCGATGATTGTTCGTTGGTAATGAAGCAATCATCAATTGTGAGATTTCAACCAATTCCCAACACTAATTATACCATGTTTAATAGTTGTGTTATCATAATTTTATTTCTGTCCAAGGTTTACCACATTCAAAACATTTTGTCTAATTGTTATATCACCATATATATATTTCTCCATTTTTTCATCAGTGTTTGATGTATAGCACAGGGAAGAGCAAACACACATGACAGTGTAAATTCAACATCACCAATATTGATACTATCGTTTTGAAACACAAAGTGTTGTTCTATTGTTCTTGTCAAAAGTCAAAGAATTAAATGGAAATTGTTTAGGGAGTGTAATGGCATTTAGAAATTGAATGTAATCACAACAGGAAGCATTATGGGTAACAGCTTGTATAATGTCCACACATCACATTTCAGGGCGGCATCTTGCCCATGAATCATTCCCCTTTCAAATGGGCAAGAAGTACCCCAGAATGTTCTATATGGACAACAAAGAAATTGCTGCCCTTAAGAATTGTTCTTGACATTTGTGGAGCTAAATAATGTTCTATTTTAATCAGTTACAACCACACTCTCATTCCCTTTTTCTCCCTGGTTATCACTGTTGCTTTGTCAGAACCATAACGTCACCTTGGGTTTTCTTCCCACAAGACATGTAATATTTTTAACTAAACTAGTCAGGGATCATGATTGTATTCATATTGTAACCATTTAAATATAATCAGTCTTCACTACAACAAAATATCCCTTTAAATGTTCACAACACCACACTATTTTTGTTTAGTATTAAACTGGAATGCTGTTCATAGTGTTAAACACAACTCTGTAAACACAACACAACAGTGTAAAACTCATCCCCATTCAAACTGCAGAAACTGTTGTCCAGAGATATGATTTGAAAAAGTTCTTTTCCAGATGAATGTTTGAAAACAGATTTCAGACATGACTGAGCTCAAGGAGAAAGCTCTGGACCGGCTGAAAGCCATCTTTCCAAACCATTGTGAAGATATGTTGTCTGATATCGTCATCGCACTGGAGAATGATTGTGGATCTCTTACGGAAGACAAGCTGATTGTCCGATGTGTCAACCAGATCCTAGAAGGAGGTTGGTGAAGTTTGTGATGTTGCAATTACCGGTATTCATGTCTTCAGTGCTGCACCATGGCTGTAGTTGACATGCTTCTTTCCTTACAATTTGTCAATATCCAAGATATTTTTATGGATTAAACTTCTTTTATTTTTAATTTTAATTTTTATAAAATAAATTAAAAAGAAGTTTAATCCATAAAAATATCTTGGGACATCAGTGTACAACTTCTAAATGCCACTGAAAGACATCAATTTGTCAATAGTTTTGAAGCCATGCAGAGCTACAGATACTATTCCTGATTGCAAAATGTATGCAACATAACAGCCATGTCTCATCTGAATTTGAGTTCATTGTACAAATAATCATAAAGATAACTTATTTGAGTGGCATATAGAAGCTGGTATGATGAAAAGGAACTATTTGATATGTAACATATGTGATATTTGGGCTTACACTTTCTCAGTAAAGTACAGATTCTTGTACTTTTTGGGGGTTGAGTCCCATCTGGGATTCGAACCCACACCCTTAGAGTCAGGCACCTAATCGCCAGCACACTAAGTCAGACGCCTAGACCGCTCAGCCACCGATTAGGTGCCTGACTCTGAGGGTGTGGGTTCGAATCCCGGATGGGACTCAACCCCCCAAAAGTACTAGAATCTGTCCTTTACTGAGAAAGTGTAATCTGATATATAACGTATATTACATTTGACCACTTTCTAAAATGGCATTGTGTATTTCATATTGATATATAGGCGGAAAAGTCACATCTATTGCAATAAAGAATGTGTGAAGCCCTGGTGTTTCCCTGCCATGATATTGCGGGACTATTGCTAAAAACGTCGTAAAACCAAACTCACTCACTCATCACCCTACCTAGCCATAAATTATGGATGGTCCCTTGGTGTTAATTAGGGCTGCATATCACTGTTAGGGGCTCTTGCAGAATATGACTCTCTTGGAACAATGAGCATATAAGCTTTTGGGGGACTCTAGTAATGGGTTTCAGACCTACTGGCAAACAAGGATAAGTTGGACTGGCACAGAGAACGCGTTTATGAGAAGTACGTGGTTCACAGCAATGATCAAACCCATTTGGTTTGTGAAAGGAAGAGCCGATGTAGGCTAGTGCACGTGCATTGCATGACGATGAAATTTATTCTGCGCGTAGCTGCACATGCCTTGCTCATAAGACTCTCACATCGGTGTGGCAAGTCGCACTACACTTGATCGGGAGACAACCTGGGCCCCTTCGCTAACAATGGCAAGAGCCAGTGGGTGGCACTCATACATGCTAATACGGGTCAATTGTCAGGTCGGTGCTCAACTTATCCTTGTTTGCCAGTAGCACCCATGTGGGGAATCGAACCTAGGTCTTTGGCGTGACGAGCGAATGCTTTAGTAACAACGTTACCCCACTGCCCCAAATGGAACAGGTGCAAATTTGAAGTCACCTGAAATGGCTTTTTAAAGAGAACTATATGACGAAAAGATCTATTCACCTGTTCAGGAATACTCAGTAGACTGAAATGAAGTACATAAAGATTTTTTCTGGGTTACATCTTCTTTTTATTCTTGAGTACAACGTTTCAGGGCTTGTTCTGGCCCCATCATCAGGTAAAACTGAACTGTAACTGTTAACTCTGGCCGTGACGTCACAATGCTTATGACGTCACAATTGTCATAGCATTGTCAGTTAGCATTGATGAACAAGCCTGAAACGTTGTACTTGAGAATAAAAAGATGTAACCCAGAAAAAATCTTTATGTTCATCAAATATCATCTTCTAAAATGCCAATCAAGCATCTGAAATGAAGTATTTTTGAAGTATTGAAGACCAAAGAAAATATCAATACCTTGTGTGAATGATAGCGTACTAAATGATAAAAACTAAATGTCCTGAAAAGAGTCTGGAGACATCATGAATGATATTTTGCGTTATAACACGTCATTTCTGGAATTACACTTTCTCAGTGAAGTACACATTCTGGTACTTTAGTTGAGTCTCATCGGGGATTCAAACCCACACTCCTAATCGCCAGCACACAAAGTCAGCCATCTATCCACTCCACCACCACGACATCCATATTTAGACTTCAATTAATCAGTCCCTTGTCTTTTAACATTACGCTTTATGATAATGATGGATATCTGCTTTCAGAACAAGCTGCAGAAAAGAGACTTAAAGTTGCCAAGCAGGGAACCACTATTGCAGGTAACCCTGGTATTTATCTGCCTATAATTTCTTCCTGTCAATAATATGTAGTTTTTTCCCTATTATATTACGGTAAAAAGTAGGTGACCATGGTAACCATATCTGTATTATATAATAATCAATACATGTAAATAGTGTAGTTGTGGGGTGTTTTTGGTATCGTTTGCATTATATGTCGTCATTATATTCTCTATGTATCGTGTTTACGTTGTGTCACCATAGTTAATGTTTAATGCTACTACAGTGTATTATGCTTTGAATGGCTGTAGAACTAGACACAGACAAAATGTTTGTTGGCAGAGGCTAAGAAACAAGAACAACATGAACAGGCACCAGAAAAAAGGACAATAAATGCCCAGAAAATAAAACCAGGTAACCATGGTAACAGTGAACCCTGAAGTTACAAATAAGATGAGATAACCAAGGAAAAAGAGCAAAACTTGAAGTTACCAAAAAAGTCAGGTACCATGTTAGCAGTGACCTTTAGGTTACAGATTAAATTAGGTAACCATGGTAACAGTGAACCATGAATATCCATATGCAGTGGAAACCATGTAATTCTTTTATAATTTTCATGATCTGTAACCATGGCATCAAAAGAAAGAGATGTGGCGTAAAGCAATAATAATTATTGTTTTCATTCCAAAGATTCCACATGGGTCCTGTGTATGACCCTCATGAACAAATGATCTTCCAAATAATACTGTTGAAAGATGTTGATGGGTAATTTTCAGGAAAGCGTATGATATGCGAGAGAAGAATTACACGATCTCTGACGAGAAAAGACAACAGCAGAAAAGCAGGTTTGCGGCTGAATAGTTCACCTGTGTTGAAAACCTCGTAGGGATTCAGATCGAGATTGGTCACCAGCAAGTGACGCTGGTCTTAACAGATGACCAAATGTATTGAGTGGCCAGACTCCGTCATTTGCTTGATTTCTTTTCATTGTACCTGAGAGCATTGATGTGTGTACTCAATAATAGAATCAGTGGCCAGATTGCCTGGCCAAGACTTAATTATTGACATTCCTCCATGCTACAGCTGGAATATTGCTGAGTGTCGGATTAAATAACGATAAGGATTATGTGACAGGTGGCTGAAAATGGTAGTTTTAAGAAGTGAGGTCTGAAACACGTGCTACATTATTTGTCATGTTAGACATTTGTTAAGTTGTGGTGTAGCGATACAGTAGTGTATCCAGATACGAGGGTGTCTTCTAATTATGAACTCTCTGTCAATACACTTCCTTGTTCAGTGACCTATCTCTGTTTCTGGGTAGAGTTGGATGTTTCAGTATTGTATACCGATACGAGGGTGTCTTCTAATTATGAACTCTCTGTCAATACACTTCCTTGTTCAGTGACCTATCTCTGTTTCTGGGTAGAGTTGGATGTTTCAGTATTGTATACCGATACGAAGGGTGTTTTCTAATTATGAACTCTCTGTCAATACACTTCCTTGTTCAGTGACCTATCTCTGTTTCTAGAGTTAGATGTTTCAGTATTGTATGGATGTTTTCTAATTATGAACTCTCAGTCAATATTGTTCAGTGATATCTCTGTTTCTGGGTAGAGTTGGATGTTTCCGATACGAGGGTGTTTTCTAATTATGAACTCTCAGTCAATACACTTCCTTGTTCAGTGACCTATCTCTGTTTCTGGGTAGAGTTGGATGTTTCAGTATTGTATACCGATACGAGGGTGTCTTCTAATTATGAACTCTCTGTCAATACACTTCCTTGTTCAGTGACCTATCTCTGTTTCTGGGTAGAGTTGGATGTTTCAGTATTGTATACCGATACGAGGGTGTCTTCTAATTATGAACTCTCTGTCAATACACTTCCTTGTTCAGTGACCTATCTCTGTTTCTGGGTAGAGTTGGATGTTTCAGTATTGTATCCCCGATACGAGGGTGTCTTCTAATTATGAACTCTCTGACAATACACTTCCTTCTTCAGTGACCTATCTCTGTTCCTGGGTAGATTTGGATGTTTCAGTATTGTATACCGATACGAGGGTGTCTTCTAATTATAACTCTTTGTCAATACACTTCCTTATTCAGTGACCTATCTCTGTTTCTGGGTAGTGTTGGATGTTTCAGTATTGTATACCGATACTGAGGGTGTCTTCTAATTATGAACTCTCTGTCAATACACTTCCTTGTTCAATGACCTATCTCTGTTTCTGGGTACAGTTGGATGTTTCAGTATTGTATACCCGATACGAGGGTGTCTTCTAATTATGAACTCTCTGTCAATACACTTCCTTGTTCAGTGACCTATCTCTGTTTCTGGGTAGAGTTGGATGTTTCAGTATTGTATCCCCGATACTGAGGGTGTCTTCTCATTATGAACTCTCTGTCAATACACTTCCTTGTTCAATGACCTATCTCTGTTTCTGGGTAGAGTTGGATGTTTCAGTATTGTATACCGATACGAGGATGTCTTCTAATTATGAACTCTCTGTCAATACACTTCCTTGTTCAATGACCTATCTCTGTTTCTGGGTAGAGATGGATGTTTCAGTATTGTATACCGATACGAGGATGTCTTCTAATTATGAACTCTCTCTGTCAATACACTTCCTTGTTCAGTGACCTATCTCTGTTTCTGGGTAGAGTTGGATGTTTCAGTATTGTATACCGACACGAGGGATGTCTTCTAATTATGAACTCTCTGTCAATACACTTCCTTGTTCAGTGACCTATCTCTGTTTCTGGGTAGAGTTGAATGTTTCAGTAGTGTATCCCGACACGAGGGATGTCTTCTAATTATGAACTCTCTGTCAATACACTTCCTTGTTCAGTGACCTATCTCTGTTTCTGGGTAGAGTTGGATGTTTCAGTATTGTATACCGATACAAGGGTGTCTTCTAATTATGAACTCTCTGTCAATACACTTCCTTGTTCAATGACCTATCTCTGTTTCTGGGTAGAGTTGGATGTTTCAGTATTGTATACCGATACGAGGGTGTCTTCTAATTATGAACTCTCAGTCAATACACTTCCTTGTTCAGTGACCTATCTCTGTTTCTGGGTAGAGTTGGATGTTTCAGTATTGTATACCGATACGAGGGTGTCTTCTAATTATGAACTCTCTGTCAATACACTTCCTTGTTCAGTGACCTATCTCTGTTTCTGGGTAGATTTGGATGTTTCAGTATTGTATACCGATACAAGGGTGTCTTCTAATTATGAACTCTCTGTCAATACACTTCCTTGTTCAGTGACCTATCTCTGTTTCTGGGTACAGTTGGATGTTTCAGTATTGTATACCGATACGAGGGTGTCTTCTAATTATGAACTCTCTGTCAATACACTTCCTTGTTCAGTGACCTATCTCTGTTTCTGGGTAGAGTTGGATGTTTCAGTATTGTATACTTTTAATTATGAACTCTCAGTCAATACATACTGAGGGTGTTTTCTAATTATGAACTCTCTGTCAATACACTTCCTTGTTCAGTGACCTATCTCTGTTTCTGGGTAGAGTTGGATGTTTCAGTATTGTATACCGATACGAGGGTGTCTTCTAATTATGAACTCTCTGTACATACATTTCCTTGTTCAGTGACCTATCTCTGTTTCTGGGTACAGTTGGATGTTTCAGGTGTAGAACATGACAAAAAACAGATTCCTTGTAGATTTCAATTGTTTTTTTTGCTTCATTTATTTATTTTCTTTTAAATTTATCTTTAAATGTGAGAATTGGGTGATAGACATTTTTGGATGCGAACAGATACTGTTTAAAATTTGCATGGGTTACTGGAAGATCAATATTCTAACCAGGACCTTCACGGGTTAGGCCTAAAAAAAAATGTTGAATTCTGGTGCCGACCCTATTTTTTTTAAGTGGTATGAATAAGATAAGCTTTCCGATACCAATGTTTTTTCCCGGCACCGACAGACATCGGTCATTCTGATAGAGAAAGTCGACAAGATGTCCGCAAGCTTGATTAAATAAACAATTTTCCACATTGATAAATGTGTTATTAGTTTGTACTTTACTTCTAAAAAAAAATATGTAAAAAAATATAAATTCCTACCTACCTACCCTAAGTTTTAAATAGGTGTAATCGGAACCACAACATTTTTTTTATTTAGCCTTATAACAAACTAAAATTAGTGGTCACGATGCATTACAAGTTACGCTGGTATGAAATTGTGTGAATGATAAGATTTAGAATGTTTATGGAACTGTTCGACACACTGCTTTTGTGGATTTCCTAGTATTTCACCATTGGCAATAAATAACATGAGATTCACCACATTCAAGCTGAAAGGTTTCTGTCCTACAATGTACCGTATTGGCATATGAATTGTATTGCATCCATAGTATGAAGATATGTATACTATATTGCAACCCGTTGTATCGTTGCACTGCTACTGTTAGATCAATGTAGGGGGCTGTGGGGTAGCCTAATGGTTGAAGCATTGGCTCGTCACGGCGAAGACCTGGGTTCTTCACCAAACTCAGTCAGTCAGTAGATCAATGTATCTCAGTCAGTCAGTAGATCAATGTATCTTTGTGAAGGGACCAAAATCATTCAACATTTGCTAATCACTCACTCACAAACCTGACAGACTCATTCTTCAGCTACAATTATTGATTATTGAATTTATCAACTATAAATCATGGAGAGTACATGTTATCCTTTGTAATTATGCAGATACTAAAGGACTAAGAAAAGGTCGGTCAAAAAAGACCATGCCTCCAGCCAGGAAAGGTTTGTCCTGCAGAAACCACCATTTGCATGGCGTTCACATGTTGCACTGTTGCTGTTTATTGTTGTTTTGTTCACATGTTCTCCATGTTGAGCTTTTTGCGAGCAGAATGTTTATGGAAGCTTACAGATGGACATGTCTGTCATGTAGATTAGTACTGCCATTTCGACTTCAAGACTTTCCATTTTAAGCATCTTTTACAGGGAACACAGGTGGCGCAATTGTCTGATGTGTGGCAAAACATGGTACAGAGTTGTGTCCCTTACGTGTGACAGGAACCTGTGATCTCAGATTTGCCCTCATCATTGCTAGGTTTGTCAGCATTAGATGGGTGGGGATGGATCTAACGCCTGCATTATTTTGGGATTTCCTTCCACATCACACTGACCCGCTGTGATGTTACTGAAATATTGTTCAAAGTCTGGGTATATAAGCCTCTGGCAACTTGACACAGTCTGGGTATATAAGCCTCTGGCAACTTGACACAGTCTGGGTATATAAGCCTCTAGCAGCTTGACACAGTCTGGGTATATAAGCCTCTAGCAGCTTGACACAGTCTGGGTATATAAGCCTCTAGCAGCTTGACACAGTCTGGGTATATAAGCCTCTAGCAGCTTGACACAGTCTGGGTATATAAGCCTCTAGCAGCTTGACACAGTCTGGGTATATAAGCCTCTAGCAGCTTGACACAGACTGGGTATATAAGCCTGTAGCAGCTTGACACAGTCTGGGTATATAAGCCTCTAGCAGCTTGACACAGTCTGGGTATATAAGCCTCTAGCAGCTTGACACAGTCTGGGTATATAAGCCTCTAGCAGCTTGACACAGTCTGGGTATATAAGTCTCTGGCAACTTGACACAGTCTGGGTATATAAGCCTCTAGCAGCTTGATACAGACTGGGTATATAAGCCTCTAGCAACTTGACACAGTCTGGGTATATAAGCCTCTAGCAGCTTGATACAGACTGGGTATATAAGCCTCTAGCAGCTTGACACAGTCTGGGTATATAAGCCTGTAGCAGCTTGACACAGTCTGGGTATATAAGCCTCTAGCAGCTTGACACAGTCTGGGTTTATAAGCCTCTGGCAGCTTGATACAGACTGGGTATATAAGCCTCTAGCAGCTTGATACAGACTAAAGTTCCATGTTACTGTTTATACCGGCTGATATTACCAGCACTTCTCTGTGTACTAATCTATTTGATGTAAACTGCTAGTAAACTATATCTTCGTGTTTGTTTGTTTAACCTTGGTTACAAGTGACATCTATTTAACCTTGTTTACAGAATTACATGGATGTACTGAACATTTGTTACTTGATTATGAGACCACAGAATTTGGTGCCAGAGATAAATATTGCCTTCATGTTCATTGTCTGCTTCTTGTGCGAGTAGCCGAGTTTTGTTCAGGGATGAGTCCAAATTTGAATTCCTCTTGTTTGCAGGGATGAATGGGTGCCTTTGTGGATAGTTGTTGTAAAGTAACTGAATCAGGGTTGTCAGGTCCATCATCAGGTCCATCATCAGGTCCATCAGCTTTATCTTCAAAAGCAGCTGTTGTAGTAATGAGACTGTAGTTACTCTCACACTAAATAGGCAACAGTCTGAGATTTCTTTGTTGAGTCCAGGACTGGGTTATACATACATTTGTTGAAGACGACACTGTCACTGTGTCCACAAATCTCACTATGGGGAACACCAGAAATACCATATGTTACTGTAGATAAGCCGACCCCATACAGGGGGCGATCAAAAAGTATGTAGAATCACCAAGAAAACGATACAAAAGCAGTTATTTTTATGTTTTCTTTTTCGACATACTGTAAACGTATTATATTTCGCGCAGGTTTTATTTTCGCGCTTTTCGAGCAAAACATTTTATCGCGAAAATTTATACACCGCGAATAAACCTGTCATTCATTCTGTCTAGCCACGCTCGCCCCTGAGTTGTTACCATAACACATCACGTTTGAAGACAGAAATCAACGGGAATCTTAAAATGACGACTGATCATACTTAACTGTCGCTGTAATGGATTTCCCCAAACATAATTAAATAATGAGCCAAATCCCATTGCCGAATTAGCGAAAACAGCAATGTGTGTTGTGGCCGCCATGGAAATTGGTCACATGACATGGTTTGATACAAAACAGATTACCGTGAAACGACTCGGAAAGAAATAATACAGCAGTATTTTATTTATTCATTAAGATTTTATTCACCAGTACATCATGAAGCTTAATAGTCACTAAAACTCAATCATCTCATTCACAACAACCCGGCTTGTTTGAAATCACAAAGAGCTTCATATACAGTATAAGTTAATTAGATCAAATCGTCAGAATTGAACATAAGACTGATGTGTTTTTCATCTCTTCCGGGAGTAAACGGATTACTGTGTACTAGTAATCGCACAGATAGGGATTTCCTGTGAGTAAGCAATAAACGCCGCCTGACAGGTTAAGCCACTCTGTTTGTTTTCACTGCTATTAGTGGCGGCCAAAGAGACAGCTGACAGTTCCGGCAATTACTGATTGCGCGAATAATTGACCGCGCGAAGTAGTCTAAACTGTCAATTCCGCGAAAATTGCACCACGCGAAAATAAGTACGTTTACAGTATTATCTGTCAAGCTCAAGCAATTTGTCAGCTCACAATATATTGTAAACAGTACCAGCTTGAATATCCGGACACAATGAATATCCTTAACCACATTACCCACATATGTGAAATTTTGGATATGACTTTGCTAAAGATTCCTTCAAAATAAAATGGAAGCTTTTACAGTTAGTCTATGTACTTTTTTATCCACCACATAGATAAGCCAACCCCTTAACTTGACCCTTAAAATCAGTAACAAAATGGTATGTTTTGTACATGAGCCGACCCCCGCGATGGGTGTCCGGGTAGGCTTTACAATTCCACAGGTGTTGAATCAAACCTGGGCCTTAAGCATGATGACCCAAACCTGGAGTCTAAAATGGGTAACTTCTGAAACAATAATATGGTTGATAGGGTTTGGACACTATGGATTTTTCAGCATCGGTTATAATAGTGAAAGTTTTGGTATTATTTCCCAGGTTGGCTCCGATCTAGGTATTATCTTGAATAATAAGCAAATAAAAAAACCCAAAAATCCCAACCCTGTTACAATTGATATTTTTTCTACTGCGTGTAATGGTTGTGGGTAATGCCAGAGAAGAAAAGATATATTACAGCTACCATGGAAGTATGGACTGTAGCCACTCTAGTACACAGTGAAAGCCATTCATGGTGTCCCCTTCAGTGGCGAAATATTGCCATGAGAGCTGTTAACTCACTCACTCACTGTCTGTCATGTTTCAGGGAAGAAGGCCAGGCCTACAACAGAATACAGGGAAGAGGAGCAGACGGCTGCTGATGGTGAGTCCTGGTATTAGGTAGTGTCCCTTCTGCCTTGTCCCTGCCCCTTCTGCCTTGTCCCTGCCCCTTCTGCCTTGTCCCTGCCCCTTCTGCCTTGTCCCTGCCCCATGCCCTTGCCTCAGCCATGCTTTCTTGTGTTAAAGCATTTTAGATGCCTCCCTAAAATTATAATTTCTAAGTAGCTGAAACTTTGCATGAGTGATTATATCTGTTGTCTTATCTTAGCTGCTTACAAGGTTTTGATCTGATGTTAAACAAGGCCACCTCAGAGGCCAATTATTACATTTAAAACTTTGCATGGGTGAAGCTTGAGTCAAGCTTTATCCAGCCTCTGCTTTAACATTGTAGGTGTGGGTGAGGTATACATTCTGTAATAATTAATGTAAAGCAAAGTACATGCAAAAAGACTGACTGACTGAGTTTGGTTTTACACCGCTTTTAGCAATATTCCAGCAACATCATGGCGGGGGACACCAGAAATGGGCTTCAAACATTGTGCCCATGTGGGGATTCGAACCCGGGTCTTCGGCGTGACGAGCCAACGCTTTAACCATTAGGCTACTCCACCGCCCCTTTAACCCCTGAACACACTGGACTGCCACAACTTTTCTACTAATAATTTACAGAAAGTGGGATTCAGTCACAAACAGTTGTTTTTTGCATATTGTTGCCATGGAAACAACGACATTAGAATCTATGTCGAAGTGTCGCCTGTACAGAATAAAGAAGTTGTATATCCACAAAATTGTCCTCATTCTCCTGAAATAGTCATTGCGTCTGCTATGTCTAGTAAGGGTTGCTTTTTTGTAAATGATCGCCATGACCAGCTAGAAGTCTGCTGATGCTGTGTTTTGTAATACTCATTACAACAACAAGAAAATCACTATTTGCAATCAATAGTGGTGGTCCGATTAATTGAAATAATCGAAGATTGGTCGTAGTGACTAAACGACCAAGCAATCGATCATAATTTCTCATAATCGAACACAACCAATTCTGGAACACTTGTTTTCAGTAACAATATTTTTCACATGGTTGGTTTTGTCTGTTACATTTCGCAAGCACCGCAAGCTCGTTTCAAGTCATGATTGAATTTATCTTAAAGATTCCAAGAAATTTATGTTTCCAACATACTAGTCATCCTTTAAAGATGTGAAATTTTGCCAAAAAACCCCTAAAGGAACTACATGTTTTTTCCTTATTTTTATGTGCATTAACAAATTTCATAAATGATGTAACCATTTATTTTCGATGATTGATCGGTAGTAATGAACCAATCATCAATTATGAGATTTTAACCAATTCCCAACACTAGCAATCAACATGGTTGTGCTAAATTCTTTGGACCAGTTTTCCAAAACTATCAATATCTACAAAATTGTGGTGAACTTCAGAACAGTGTTTCTCAATGTTTGTAAACCTTGCTGAACTATGTATACATCATGCTCTTGATGACAACTACAAGCCTTCAGGTTCCAATATAGGTCTTGTAAAACAATAATGTAGTTAAATGTTAGTTCATTCACTTTAATGTGTGAATGCAATATAACTGCGCTGACAATCAGTCTGTTTGCCTGCCATTTACTCAAATGATCATGATAGTGCTATCAATGCTGTTCATGGTTCGTCTGCACCTTAAATTACATGCCGGTACAGTCGTTCACATTGGAAAAAACCCCATAATATTAAGGCGACATTTCTTGGGGCTTATGGTTTGTGATGTACCTGTGTTTGAAATAGTACTGTCAGTGGCATGAAACACCATTACTCACAAATACATGTGACAGCATGTGCACACATTGTGTGGTTAAAACCCTCTCACTCCCTCCACCCGACTGTTCCCCAGGCTCGCCGACCACCTCTTCCAGTGACAAGTCCAGCAGCACTGACCGAGATGCCCATCTCGAGGTATCCCTGTCCCCCAGAAGCTCCAGCTCCTACGGCCTCTCCTCCATGTCCTTAGACAACAGCGTTGACTCCAGCAAAATTGGTCTGAAAATGGGTCATGGTGAAGGTAACGCAGCAACGTTAATGAAAGACTGGTTGGCAAAATGTGGGCCCAGCAAAGATGGGAAGGATGTGAAAGATGGTGAAGATGTAACCAACAGAAGCCCCATTACAGGTATGCTACTACTTCCGATAAAGTTAAACTTTCAGATTGTTTTAGTATTTGTAACAGACTTTATTTGAACAGGGGACTTCTGATGCCAGGCTGTACACACAACCAAAGAGTTTTAGGAAGCTGGCAGGGTAAGGATATCAGCTTTGGGATGACTCCATGTCCAGCTACGCCTCGTTATAATGTCGGGTAGCATGGTTCTTCAGATTTTTTCACTCTGGTTTTGCTTATCCATCTGATTGTCAAAGAGTTGTTAGCAAGTCAAGACCATCTGCTTTTGTGGGAGTGACTTTGCACTGCTAACCTCGAGCTGTGGAGAACCATAAAGTCTAGTGAATAAACCATTTGCTCATCATGCTGAAGACCTGGCTTTCATTCCCTCATGGGTACAATGTGTGCTAGAATATTGCTAAAAGTGACGTAAAACTCAATCAATCAATGTAACATGCTCAGTGTTTAGATGCGTTTGAAGAATGTCACATTTTTATCACTTAGTATGTTTTCTTTGTTGTTTAATGGGACTATTAGCAATATTCCATGGTTGTATGTACAAGATACGTCTGGACCAGACAACCCAGTGATTGACATCATGAGCATTGAACTGGGCAAATGGGATACGATACCAAATTGCTGAATCAGACCACCTGATCCATGGAATATTGGTGACTGAAGTGTGAAGCAATATTCATTCGTATACGAAATATTTAGAAGGAATATTTCATATTGTGAAATACTATTGAATGTTTGCTACTGTGTAATCAATGTCTCCCCAGTACTCCATACATTGCCTATATAGTCTTCTTCAAATCATGGCTTTCACCCTACTTCTCAGATGCACACAACTCATTGCCTATTTTAACTGCTATATTGGAGAGATAATCTTTCTTCACTCGGGGCAGTGGGGTAGCCTAGTGGGTAAAGCGTTGGCTCGTCACGCCGAAGACCCGGGTTCGAATCCCCACATGGGTACAATGTGTGAAGCCCATTTCTGGTGTCCCCCGCCGTGATGTTGCTGGAATATTGCTAAAAGCGGCGTAAAACCAAACTCAGTCAGTCAGTCTTCACTCACCCCCTCTACCTCCTTTAAATAATATTAATGGCCTTTTCTCAGAAAACAGCTCATTCCAGATTTTCCAACATAAAACATAAAACTAAGCATGGGGACTATGTAGGCTCTGGATGTGGTTGTCTGAGATGTCCTGTTTCCCAGGTGATGAAGGGGAGACCACTCAGTCGTCTGCTGATGGGAGATTGACTCCAACCTTCTCTGAACTCGCCAATTCCAGAGATGGACTGCACAGTGATATTTTCAACTCTGACATCCCATTCTCCCCCGCACCATCTACTACTGACGCATGTTCCAATTCCGACCTGGAAATAATTTCTCTTGGGTCCACTGCTGGTGCAAAGTCTAGGGACACTTGGTCTCAGGAGTCACAATGTGGAGGTCGTGACACGTCATCCAATGAAGGTCTGGACTCAATAGACAAGTCAAATGGCAATAGTACTGAGTGTGACAATGAGGCTAAGAAATTAGACATGGATGTTGTGGATATTGCTGAAGAAGCTTCCGGTTCAGGAACTGCATCTGCACCATCAAACCCTGTCCCGAGTCACCAAAGTATGAACACTACTGAAGATAGTTCTGAGAATGAAAGTGTCATCGATATATCAGATAGTGTTGATAGTTTATCTGACAGTGTTATTAACATCAATGACACACCAAGAAGGAAGGACAGTGGTGTTATAGACATTTCTGACATTGTTGAACTGGAGTCACCGAGGCGGCTACCTCAGTTGTTGGACTCTGGGTTCAATAGCTCTCGAAAGGTTTGTCAATCGGAAGACATGCCGATTGACCCGCTTGACCTTAGTGTGACAGACATGGATGATACAGACACTAGCATCACTGAAGAAGGTGCAGGTGATCAGGCGGAATTAACATCTGTAGACAGACTCCAGACATCTGATTCTGTGACCAATCAGATAAGACACGAACACGTCACTGACATACCCGCTATTGCCACTTCTGAAGTCGTAAAGGCTGTAGGCCTTACTACATCAAAGCAGAAACCTTGTGGTGCGAAAGAAACTATGGGCCTAAGCGACCATGTTTTGGTCTCAGATAATATGGCAATGGAGCAGGATGATCAAAAACAAATTGTCAACAAACAGAATAAAGTTGCTGAATTTTCAAAGACTAAAGGTAAACATCCATCATGTGTCACAGTAGATTCAGAGTCAGAATCCGAGTTTTACATCAGTTCCTCTGAGTCAGATGATCCAGAGGATTCCAGTGAGCAGACGCTGTCTGCTTCTGCGTCTGCTTCTGCGTCTGCTTCTACTTCAGTGTCTGTGTCTGCTTGTGCATCTGTGTCGGTGTCTACATCTGCGTCTACTTCAGTGTCTGCTTCTTTGGGGACAAATTCCAGGCAGAACATTGCTGTTCAGATAGCTCAGGTTTCATCAAGTTCCCCAGATGTTGTATATCTTGGGAAACAGAAAGCTGTCCCAACTCCAGTCCCTCCAGTAATTTTAGGCAAGACAGTGACAACTTGTGACACTGGGAACTATAAGGAATTAAAACATAAATATCACAGGATGAAAAATGTAAGGAAACAACTTTTGTCTGACAAAAGTAAGGCAGATCCTGTTTATTGTAAAAAGATTCATGAAACCTGTGAGCAGCTAAAAAAGGAAATAAGAAAAAAGAAACATGACCGACGGAAAAAGGTAGAGCAATATATTAAATCTTTAAAAGTGCACAAAATTGATATAGTTGATGGTTCAACTTTGCGGGTCACTAATACAAAGACTGACAAACCAGCTGTCAGAAGAACCACTTCTGTCTCACATCCTACACAAGCACATCCAACAAATAATTCCCAATCCAGTTCTGCGCTGTCTTTTATGAAAATAATAGGAGAAGCTAGAAAACTTCTTACTGGAAAAGATAGCACAGAATCAATTAAGGAGAGACAATCTTCACAAAATTCACTCCTGCCTCCAAATTTGTCACTCAGCACTGCTGTGACAACATGCACCACCGTCGCCTCAAACCTGTTCAGTGCCTTACTACCTCGGAATGTGTGAATCCATCACTGCCCAATTCTGCGTCTGCAACCAAAGGACCTAACATGGCTACAGCCACCACAGGACCTAAAGCGCCAAAAGGTGCCAAACATCCGGTGGGTCCTGTTGCTTTAGCTGTCAGCTCTGCTTCTCCCTGCAATCCTGCTGCAGTACTGGCCAAACATACAAAGACCCCAGCTTGTCTTCTAAACAAATCCTCAGCAAGTGTGTCTCATGCCCAATTCATAACTGTTCCTACAGCAACAACAGCAACAAGAACAACAACACCTACCTCAACAGCAAGTACAGTGTCAAAGGAACTGGACACAGAACTACAGCAAGTGGTAAGAGCCTTGGTTTTAAGTAATACTTCAACAAATATAGCTCCTTTTTCTATTCTGTGATCGTTTCTGTTTAAGTTCAAACTATTCGAATCAACCTCATGTTCTGGAATGTTGGGCATATTGTGTAGTCAACGTAGAGCTAGGTTACGTGTTGATATTTCTGTACTAAGTATAATGTGCACAGAATCCTTGAAACATTTTAAAAATATACCATACAAAATTGTAGAGTATAAAATAAAATACCGCCTTTCAATTTTTAATAATTGTTGTACTGTGACTGCAACCTGACCCTTTTTTCCAGGTACTGAGTTGTGGTCGTAGAACATCCTTTCAAGAATTTCAGCCTGGTTTTGACACCTGTAACCATGGTAGCACTTTTTTTTGTAGATCTCCATCTTTCCTGATGTGGAAGTGAACTGGGCCTTGGCAAAACTGAAGACCTTGAGTGCCAAGCATCCAGACGACTTCCTCCCACGCTTATGCTCTTCACTGGCTGATGGTGGCTACCAACGAAACCAGGACCAATCAAAGTGCAAGTCGAAAGGAAGAGGGAAACACAAGTCTGTGAATGTTCCAGGGACACTGGGGAAAATCAAGTCATCACAGAGATACGCAGATGTTTTGTCAGAAATAGGAGAAGAGGAAAAAGAACTTGAACGTTTTCAACGGAAACGTCAGTCTGAAGAGCTGATGGAGACGGAAGTCCCTCCAAAGATGAAAATTGTAAGTTATATATATAACATGAAGGGTTACCCAGAGTAATGAGACGTTCACTGACAAACAAGTAATGGAAACATGACAGATCAGTATTAAAACCCACTTGCATTCTGCTATATCCAAGGGACACAACTCTACAGTGAATTGCTGCGTCTGAAGTCTTTATTTAGAAAATACACAAAGTCAAGAAATATAATCTTGGGAAAGTGGAAAGTTTCTAATTACTTTCCTGTCCGCCCTCAGTCCAGTTAGTGTTTTGGGAAGTTTTGAAACATTCTGTTTTGAGTTTTGTGAAACCTGTGTCAATTAAATCTGTATTCTGCTTTTCCAGATGACTGATGGGAACGATTCTAAGGGAGACAACAAGGATCTTAATGAAGTAAGGGAGACAAGTCAATCAGGTATGTATGCTGGGACTAATGAGCCTAGTATAGAAGAAAACTTATCATGAGCTATAATAAATGACACTTCTTCTTGACAGATTTGGGGCGGTGGGGTATCCTAGTGGTTAAAGCATTCGCTCGTCATGGCGAAGACCCGGGTTCGATGCCCCACATAGGTACAATGTGTGAACCCATTTCTGGTGTCCCCCGCCGTGATATTGCTAGAATATTGCTCAAAGCAGCCTAAAACTGAACTCACTCACTTGACAGACTTACACAAGTTGGCTTAAGGAAAATGTCATGAGTAGAGAAGCTAAGGATCAGTTAGTCACTGGACTGAACCTTGCAAAATTGCAGGGTTTTGCGTGATGCACAAATCTGCGTCCAGTACGCACAATGTAGAGAATGGATGCAGAAATCCGAAAATACTGCATCCAGAGAGACTCACAAAAAGACTGTCCTTGACAGTACTTGACAGTACTCATATTGACCAATAAAATGATTGATGAGTGTCCATGGCCTCCCACTTTGAAGGTCAAGGTAAAACTGGCAAATTGCCAAAGATGACTAAACTAATGCATGTCATGTGCAAGCATAAAGACAACCTCGAAATACCAGACAAAAAACTTTCTTATGCCCCCTCATACAGCCATATGTTTACTGGATGTTTTGTTTAGGTTGAGTTCATCTATTGGCAAGAAACATCTAACATTGATGACATAAATATGCAACATGTCGGTCTAACCATGTGTTTTTAATGCTACAATTGAGTGAGTGAGTGAGTTTAGTCTTACGCCGCACTCAGCAATATTCCAGCTATATGGCAGCGGTCTGTAAATAATCGAGTCTGGACCAGACAATCCAGTGACCAACAGCATGAGCATCGATCTGTGCAATTGGGAGCCGATGACATGTGGCAACCAAGTCAGCGAGTCTGACCACCCAATCCCGTTAGTTGCCTCTTACGACAAGCATAGTCGCCTTTTGTGGCAAGCATGGATTGCTGAAGACCTATTCTACCCAGGATCTGCTACAATTGAATAAGAGCACCTAACCTTAGTGTTTGCGAAGCAGCTGCACTGCAATATACACCAGGAAAGCATTGCTTTCTATAACCTATCACCTACTACTGACCTCAGCCAGTGTAGGGAGGGGCACCTGTCTGATGTATATATATCATGTTTCAGACACTGTGTTTCGCCTGCAGTGTGAGTCATGCAGTAGGCTGTCAACTACCACTGACCTCAGCCAGTGTAGGGAGGGGCACCTGTTGTGTCGGGCTTGTATAGAGAAACAGGTCAAAGTTGTCCTGTCTAAGGAAATCGAGGTGAGAATGACCTAATGGCCTGTTAATCCTCAAAGAAGACTCTATGAATGTGTTTTGCTCACTGTCTTTGACAAACGTTTTAAAATTGTGTCATAAATGTTTTGCAAGTATGTGTGTGTGATACCAAACAGTTCTTTAATTAACTTCTCCAATCATCTTTGTTTCCAGACCATCATAACTTGTGCTTTAGCAGGCTGCAGCAGTGAGATCCGCTTAGGTAGGTTCTCTTAGACAGCCTTTGAATAAGATGGGAGACATTTATGCTCTGTACCACATTACCCTTGCTTGATGTATGAGATTACTAAAGATGGTATTTGATGGACACAACTGCACACTTGAACTATTGTGGCAGCATTGTGAGCGTTGAACTAATGTGCCTCGATTGTGATACTAGTGTGGCACTGTAGTGAGCATTGAACTATTTATGGCACTGTTGATAGTGTTAGATTAGTGTGGCACTGTAGTGAGCATTGAACTATTTATAGCACTGTTGATAGTGTTAGATTAGTGTGGCACTGTAGTGAGCATTGAACTATTTATAGCACTGTTGATAGTGTTAGAGTAGTGTGGCACTGTAGTGAGCATTGAACTGTTTATAGCACTGTTGATAGTGTTAGAGTAGTGAGGCACTGTAGTGAGCATTGCACTATTTATGGCACTGTTGATAGTGTTAGAGTGGTGTGGCACTGTAGTGAGCATTGAACTATTTATAGCACTGTTGATAGTGTTAGAGCAGTGTGGCAACATTGGGATTGTTACCTATTGTGACCCTCTTGTGAGCGTTGAAATACTGTGGCACTGTTGTGAGCATTGAACTATTGGGGCATCATTATCAGCAGGAGCTAAACACCATATCCACAGCATGATCACAGTACATCTATGACAAATCAGGGCCGCGTTTCACAAAGCGATCATAGCCCAATGACTATGGTATCTCCTATACTTTAACATAGACTTACGACAGTCGTAGTGCTACGATAGCTTCGTGAAACGGGGCCCTGGTGATGTATTTACAGTGACAGTAAAAGAATGTTATCACTTTGTGAGATTTATGAGCCAACTTTGCACAGATGCTCATTTTACTTCTTGCAGCTGACGCTAAGAAGGTCCTGCCACAATTTGTGGTGGATCTGCTTCAAGAGAAGATAGATAAACAAGAACGTCTGTGCATCAGCAAGATGGGAAAGGTGGTCAGGTGAGTGACTAAACAATGGAGAAACATGCCAGGTATGGCAAGGTTTGTGGATATGACAATGATAAGCAAGGTAGATGTTTGATTGGCATTTTAAAAGATGCTATTGATGAACATAGAGAATTTTCTTGGTTTCATGTTCTTTTTATTGTTTGGTACAACGTTTCAGGGTTTGTTCTGGCCCCATCATCAGGTAGAAATACCCGATCAATCAGTTCTACCTGATGATGGAGTCAGAACAAGCCCTGAAACATTGTAGAAAACAATAAAACAAGATGAATCCCAGAAAATTCTCTATGTTCCACTAAGCAAGGTAGTCAAATATGACAATCATGGGCAAGGTGATCAGATATGACAATGATGAGCAAGGTGGTCGGATATGACAGTGATGAGCAAGGTGGTTGGATATGACAGTAATGAGCAAGGTGGTCGGATATGACAGTGACGGGCAAAGTGGTCGGATATGACAGTGATGGGCAAAGTGGTCGGATATGACAGTGATGGGCAAAGTGGTCGGATATGACAATGATTGGCAAGGTGGTCGGATGTGACAGTGATGGGCAAGGTGATTGGATGTGACAGTAATTGGCAAGGTGATCGGATATGACAATGATTGACAAGGTGGTCGGATATGACAATGATGGGCAAGGCAGTCGGACATGACAATGATGAGCTAGTTGATTGGATACGACAGTGATGGGCAAGGTGGTCGGATATGACAAGGGTTGGGCAAGGTGGTCGGATACGACAATGATGGGCAAGGCGGTCGGACATGACAATGATGAGCTAGTTGAGTGGATACGACAGTGATGGGCAAGGTGGTCGGATATGACAAGGGTTGGGCAAGGTGGTCAGATATGACAATGATGAGCTAGTTGAGTGGATATGACAGTGATGGGCAAAGTGGTCGGATGTGACAATGATGGGCAAGGCAGTCGGATATGACAGTGATGGGCAAGGCGGTCGGATATGACAGTGATGGGCAAGGTGGTTGGATATGACAATGACGGGCAAGGTGCATGGATAATACATTGATGGGCAGGTAGTTATTTATAACAATGATGGACTAGGTGGGTGGATACTACATTGATGGGCTGGGTAGTTATTTATAACAATAATGGGCTAAGTGGGTGGATAATACATTGATGGGCCGGGTAGTTATTTATATCAATAATGGGCTAGGTGGGTGGA